GTGACCATGATGCACAGCGTTGTGCCGCCCATTGTCAGCGTGGAGACACAGACCCGTGGATTGTCGTGCGAAATGTACAGCATTCGCACTCCGGCCACCACACAAAGACAATGGTGGATCAGGCAGTAGACTCGCAGCATCCTTGAGTCCACCAATCTCTGCCGCTTGCGGCTGTAGTAGAAGGTGTGCAGGCCATTGAGGACCAAGAATTTGCTTAGCCAACTGTAGAAACTCGACTTGCTCAGTTGCATTGTGGAGACTGCTGAACAGGAGCTCTCTCCCGTGCACATTTATACCCTCTCGAACGGGACCAATTAGCTCTTAATTGATGGCCAAACTATTAATAATCGAGCGGCTAAGAACAATGAGTATGAAATGCAAATGGGAGTCATTTGTTTGAGCTGGAAAATTGCCCCTAGCTCTTCCTCCTCTGTCAGGTAATCAAATATGTATTTTCTGTACATCAAAGTCAGGGAAATTCTGTTCAAATTCAAACAGAAACAGAAACGAAAGCTGCTCGAAAGCCCCTACTAAAATGGCCAAGAGAAATGTAATTTCCATAGCTGCTGGCAATCATATTCCTCCCAGCGGGTATACCATGTACCATGTACCGTGTACGTTATACCAATAAAGATGTCAAAAGGCAACGAATGAAATGAATTTCAATACTGATAAATCAAATAATGTCACTGCCAAAGCCCTTTGTGTGTGGCAAACTATAATAAAAGTATGAACACACAAAGGACCCACAGGGTCCGTTCCGTTCGTGCTCCGCCCAGGAGGCAATCAATACGGCTTTTTAATGAAGAAATAAAAGTGGAATGTCCACTTGTGTTGTTCGGGCAGTGTCGTAAAAATTGTCTACATTTTTATTACGTATCTGGTGGCGGCGGCGGCGGCCGAGGGGGGGCATTGAGGCATTGCACGGCCAAAGGGCCGTGAAAAGATTGTATCCTGTCTGCCGTTCCTCCGTCTCACTCACATGGCTAATGGTCTCAGGACAAGGAGAGCAGAGCCTGAGCAGCACGCACCAGCGCCTAAACGCGTGCTGAGCTGGAAAATATTCTCATTTGTGGTTGGAATGCGTCCCCACAACCCCACTTGAAGTGGCGTCGCCAGCGACAAGTGTTTATTTTGGCATTTCGCCCCCAACATTCTTTGCCTGGTCAGCATTTGGCAACGCTCTCAACCCGATAGAGGTACCTCCACAGAAGCCTCGAGACCGTGACTGAAGAGGCGAGGCCTTTGTTGGCCCTAATGATTATTGCTTTCCTTTCGTTATTTCTGCCTCCCGCAAGCGGCATTGTTCGCTTTTGCGAAAAAGTCCCACATTGTTTGGCCGTTCTTCGCTTTTTCCTTTTCTTTTTTTTTGTTTACGACGATTTTCAATGGTCGTAAAAATATGTTCGGCAAAGCGGATGCTGGTGGGATAAGGATTTGATGCCGCTTAAATGATTTTGGGTAAGCAACTCGCCAGCTTGTGGTGGGTTCTTCCTGAAATGGCTCCATAAATAGTCTTAATTGGGAGGAAACTGCACGCTCCTAATGTCAAATAAATAAACTCTTATTTCTACAACAGGAACTGGGAAGAGAGATGCTATTAATGCTCATTTCAATTTCTCACAGCTTTCTCTTCATTTGCTACTTAGTTTATAGCTACGAAAATTGGTCGCTTTTGTAGTTCTTCGCGGTCTTCTGGTTCTCACCGAGCTGTAGTTCGGATCAAGTAGTCTTGGATCTGGTGTCGCTGAGGTAGTTTCCTCCGCTTCTGTGACTGTCGTCGGCTCTGTTTCTGGTTCCACCGGCTCCACTGGCTCGGGCTCGATAAACTCAATGCAGTTCTTAATGCATTCCTTGCGCGTCGCGTATCCCTGAACGCATGTGAGGCCGTTTCTGCATATGCCTCTTCTGTTGACCCACACCCAAATCGGTGGATGGCATGCGGATCTCGTGAACCCGCGACTTATCGTCGTCTTAAGGTTGCACTTTTCTTTCCTGCTCAACACTCTCCTCCTGGGCTCCAGCTTATCCAATTGTCCCATCATAAGTCCGGCCAGGAGCAGAGACAGCTGCAGCATGTTGTGCATTGCGACGGCCACTGACGCACAGAGATCCCCGCAATTTGTCATCGCTAATTCATTTCCATGTAACGAATTCGTTTTTTTCCGCTACACAGCTGGAGTTCCTTTACATTTTAAATTTACATTTAGTTTATGGACGCAGCTGCGGTTGGGCAGTCTGCAGCATCATTACCCCTAATAGCAGGCGGAATGTAACCAACTTGGAGTGGGGCTCTGTCTCTCTTGTGTCTCTGTGAGTGTCACTGTCGGGAATGTGGATTATCCATGCAGCTGTGTTGGCCGCGGACATGGGGAATTCAACCTCAATTAGTGCTGTTTATTCAACAAGTAATTGTGTAAATGGGAATCCGTGTCATTGTGCCTAGCCAAAAGTTAAACTACAATTGGCTGGCCAAAACCCGAAACTATCTACCAGGCCCAACCAATGATGCTGAGGAGTATTCTCTGTCGAATTTGTAGACCGTGCCCCGACGCCCAATCCCACACACACACACACTGTGATGGCATTTATAATTAAGTTTCGGGTGCGCGGCAATCATTAAGAGTGTTTGGAGCCAGACCGAAACAAATTTATGCAAATTTTGATTAATTTACTCTTGACACAGACTGCGGAAGCAGCTGCTTCGCGGTTCCAGCATCTCATTAAGGTGGGGATTCGCCTGCTAATTGTACGGAAATCTTGTGCTGATGGCAAGAAGAACATTGAATTCGCATCCGTATGGCCGTGTTTATAAATCAGTTGCTTGCAGCCGATCAATCAATCAATCAATTTGCGCTCTGTTCAGTCTGGGTTACATTTGAATACCAAAGTAATGAGAGCGCATTGCTTGGGAATCGAGCTTCCGCCACTTGCTGCTGTGCCCAGAGAGGACATTGTGCAGCGCTCTGCACAAATGGGGCAACCAGCTCCAAATGTGGTTCATATTTCAATTTCCGGCAGGGAAAGGGAGAGGGAGAGGGAGAATTGTGTACTTTTCAGCTTTTGAGCTGTCTGTTTGCTTGGACAGCTACCGACCACTCCTTCCGCCTTCCCTCTGCTGTTTCACGTCTTCCGTCGCCTTCGCTCAGCTGTTCACTTTCAGCCTTTCAGCTTTTAGTTTTTTTGGAGCGAAATGGCATTTCACTTCAAATTTGATTGATGCTGCGGAAGTTGGTTGCGCCCTCGAGCGTGTGTCCATTTTGCTTGATTTTGTTTAGCCATTTTCTACATTTCGATTTATGTTTTGCGGAGATTAAGTTCTGTGGCCTGCCTGGCAACTTTGAGAGCTTCCCGAAGGCTGCGATGTGCCACATGAAGCTGAAACTGAAACTGCCAGTGGTGAGAATAAATCGTTACAAAATAACCCAAGAAAAAGCAAACACCATTCAGATGTGCAGCTCAACCATCTTTCTGCCTCAGCCATCATCTGTACTATATTTATTTAATAGTTTGTAATTTCACATCCACATTCCCCCAAATGGTTCTTCGATGCATGCTGAACGATTTCCCATCCATTCTCGTATCTTTTTCCTATGCTTTTGGCACAGAGAAAGCTCCCAAAAGAATAGATGCTAACACTCAAACACACAACACACACAAATATGACACGACGAGCATCGCTGCTGCACACTCTAATCGGGAAAACTCTATCATTTTTCCACAAAAAAAAAAAAAAAACAACAAAATGAATTAATAAAATAAATACAAAAATTACAATGCATTATAATTGGACGCTCTTTCGGACCAACAAATTGTCGCACCAAAAACAACAACAACGCAAATCAATGAAAATATCCGAAAATAAATCAAAATCGAAATTGTGCTGCTATCAAATCCATCAACGCCACTGCCTGCCTATACCCTGAAACCTAACCACCGCCCAACGACCAACCCGCCTGCAGAATGTCAATGTTCTTCTTTCGATTGCATAACCTGCAGCGCGCCGAGGAGAACAAGCGTAAGAAACGCGTCGAGCAGCAGCGCCAACAGCAGCGCCAGCGGCGTGGGGCCAAGGTCTTCAAATGTGTCAGCGACTCCACCGGTCACCTGACCCTGGCCCCGTCGCGACTCTTTGAGCGCACACCGATGAGTCCATCGGACAGCCTGGACGAGATAGCGCTGCAGATACCCAGGTGAGTCGAGTCGAGCAGCCGGTGCCGTGCTGCTGTACTTTTGGCTGCCAGCCAGTAATTGCTTTCGCACCTTCGCAATTGTAACAACCAACAAAAAGTAAAGGGTATTCCGGGGGGTTACCATGGCAGCAGAGAGACAGCAGAGCCTGTGGCTGTGAGGCCTTTGAGTGCAATTCAACGGCAATGTAACACAACACCCAGAAAAAGAAACGCGTTTTGTGCGTATTTAAAAGCCAAATAAATAATCTTATTTGAGTTTATTTTGCCATTTATTTTCGTGTCTATAAATGGAATGGCATTATATATCAAATTGAAGTGCAAAAGTAAACATTACACGAGTAATTATTCCTGGTTTGAGTTATTCTATCTGCTACTCGAGGACTACATTTACAAACAAAATCCACTACGTATAAGAGCAGACTTGTTGCTGGGTAAATACTGCAGCTTGTTTGTATCTTGGGTTTCCCATTTCTTAATCATGTTTCGCCAAGTCAAAGCAACCTTTGTGACATGTGTGGAAGCCGCTTTCAAACAGATGAAATGCGAGAGCTTGGTGGCGGGGACAATTGGTTGGGGTCAGATCAGAATGTACTTTTATTTTCAATTTTGGGGACAGAGCTAATCCCAAATACTTATTTTAATGGGCTTGCGAAATCCTTCAATTAATTAACGACGGCTGCGAGCGACCTGAACTTGGCTTTTGTTTATTTCACTTACTCTGTTTGGTGTGGAAAGTTCTCGCAAAGCAGGCAGCGAGTTTTCCATTCTCTGCTTGAAGTATTCAGGGCTTATTCAGTTATAACATTCGACCCGCACACTCACACACACACGTCTGGCAAAAATAACAATTAGGCGAATATTTGTACAAATTCAAAAGCGAGCAAGCAATTTGTTAAATTAGCCAAAATGCAAATGCTGTGTGAGCGTGTATCCGCGATCCTTGCGGGTGCCATTGTGGGCATGTGGTATGCCAAGACCTTTCCCGCAGAACAGAAAAAGGATGGTGGCAAGGACAAGAAGGGCAAGGGGGACAAGAAGTAGGCGAAGGCACCTACCTCCATACCATCCTGTGACCTTCCACCACTATTAACTGTAAGTTGAGTCAAGTTTTTACCTTCTCTGGTTTCCTTCTCTCAAGTATTCCCCGCCAGGCTTGGGGCAAACCATTGGAACACAGTCGTCGAGACAAAGCCATCAAATCAGCTGACAAAATTCAGTTCTCGTTCGACTTTCATCTGCAACGTTCCGTTTTTTGTTTCGACCAAAATTGCTCCATGTTTTCATTCTTTTTGAACTTGTACACAAAATTTGGACTCTAAATTAGAGCGTCTTTAGATCGAATTTGAGAGGCACTCGAAACATGCCCAGTTGCAAGCGTCACGAAATCCGCAGGACGTGCCGGCCCCGGCCGTCATTGCTGGCCCGCTTCAATTGCACTCAATGCAATCGACTGATGTTCTTTATGGTCGGAGTATGTGCTGGGGCGCTCTACATACGGAACAGGTTCAATGAAACGCCCGAACCTGACAAGAAGAAGAAAAAGTAGTCCGTCCGGCCTTACCCTTGGCCTCGATGCAAGCCGATGCCGAGCTCAGTCTTGGCGTATGCCACTCGGAAGATGCTGCCAGCAGGGATCAAGAAGCCCAGAAACCCCCGAATCTTCTGGGTTTCATTTTTAAATCAGCTTAAAAGTCAAGGAAGGGCACTTCTCGATGTCCGAGTAGACCAGCAGGCGAGCAAGTCGATGGTCGATTGGCAATTGTTTAAAGTTACCTCTCTACAATGTGCCAAATGATTCAGTTTAGCTGCTTTAAAGAATAAACGTACTAATGGGCTCCTTCCTCTTCACAAATATTCTCTGAATATATACAAAAAATTACTATGTAGAGGCGGAGCAGGCAATCCTAGAATGTTAATACTTTTCTGGCTTTTCTTTCGTACACCAATGCCCACCCACCCGACTGATGGAATGTTTAAGTGTTTTAATCTTAAGAATTTGTTTATTGCAATTAAATTTTGAACTGATAATTTCTAGTTTTGCGAGAAGAAATGTTTCTCATTTGCTTTCCTTTTTCTCCTTCTCTTTGCGCTCCTTCTCTTTGCGCTCCTTCTCTTTGCGCTCCTTCTCTTGCTGGGCCTTCTCTTTCTTCTCCTTTTCCTTCCTCTCCTTCTCCTTCTTCTCGCGTTCCTTTTTCTCCTTCTCTAGCTCTTTGGGGGTCTTCTGAGCCTGCTTGGCCGATTCTTCCCGTGCATTTTTCATTCCCTGCTTCATCTGGTCGTAGTACAGCCCAATGCCGACGCCGACCACAAAGAAGAACAGTCGGTTGCAGGGCAGGCAGTTGAGCTTGGTCCAGAGAGTTGGCCCGGGCCTGCATGGCGGCGGAGATGGCTTGGGCGGACAGCTGGATTTTGGAGTCGGACAACTCGGACGCTGGCACATTTTGTTCTGCTGTTCTGCAACTCTGCTCGTCAGAAGATGGTGTACAAAACAAAGGGAGGGTGAATTTGTCACCCAACCGAAATAAAAGAATTTCCAAAATAATGAGACTAAACTGGACAGAGTTTGTGAAGTGAATGGGAATGTTTGACTTGACATTGATTTTAAATTTCCTTTAAAGGGATTCGAGAAACTGCCCGTTCAGTTGGCCGATGATTTAAAGTCAATCTGTACCACAAATCGTGTGCTCCCATATTTCCACAACCTTTTGGAAGGAAACCTCAAAATTCTCACTACCATTTCGGTCATGGATCGTCTGCTAACTTTGCTTGTGGGCGGAATTGTGGGCTACATAATTGGCAAGAAAATGTAAAGGTAAATGAAAATTGACTCAAGCTATCCACATGCCTCGGAGACTCCCGATAGTTACGTATAGATAATGCATTTATCTTTCAGTTACTTTACGACACATACCTGGCTATGGAGAGCGCTTGGCTGCTCTTGGTTGGCCAGAACTATTAGCAGAGAAAGGTGAGAACATTCTTGCCAGCTCAGTGTTGTTCCTTACTGCCTTTCGTTATATGCAGTTTCATTTACTTGGCTAGAAAAAAGTACACAACATTTAGAAGAGTTTTTATCAGGAATGGAAGTGGATTGGGTGCTTACATTCGTGATTGGTTGCTTGGTGGGCTATCTGATAGCCAAGAACACTTAGGGTATGTAGGCAAAAAAACAATTTAGACTTGGAAACTGCGATGCTAATCTAAGGCCTTTCCCTATACTACTTAGCCAGAGCTGTGGGCCACGAATTTATTCAAATTAAAAGTCAAGAACCAAGCAATTCCGATCCCAAAAGCAAAATGACGCACGTCATCTCCTTTGCCCTGGGCATAATAGTTAGCTTGATGCTCTGCAAGCGATGTTGAAGCATTCAAACCTGCCCTAAAATGAACTTCAAATGTGTACAAAATTGATTAAGCAGAATTTACAAATAAATAAACAACAAATACAAGTGGTATAGTCTATAGCCAGAGCTGAGTGGAGTTTTCTTCTCTCATAATCTGGGGCGGAACACACATTTTGGACTGAAGACACAGAAGACCTGTATGTAGTTAATCTGTTCGCTTTCAGTAGGCTTTGCTAGAGCAGCAGTCAAAACTAGTACGGAAAATAATTCAAATCAAGTCGTTTCCTTCAGACGCATACAACTTGGCAGTTTTTCAAACAATTTCTAGTTTTTTGGAGCCCTAAAAAGGGGGTAAAAGAAAGGACACAATGGAGTGGCTTTTGACATTTATTGTTGGTTGTATTGTGGGTTACTTGATTGCCAAAAATTAGTGCGTATAAAATTGTAACAAAAAGTGAAAGTATGCCTTGCTAATATTCCTACATACATATTTTTCATTCCCTCAGTCGGTAGCTATCCAGGCCAGAGGCAGCACAAAATTGTATTGTTGAAATTTTTTAAGTTTTGGAATAGGATTTGGCAAAATCAAACAAATAGAATGCAGCGTTTTCTGACTTTCATTGTGGGTGGAATCGTCGGCTACCTCGTAGCGAAGAATACTCGCGTAAGTGCCCAAGATAAATGGGATTCGTTTTTGCTTTGTGCAATGCTATGTATTTCGCCCTACAGTAAGCTAAGCAAGTATGACCCATTTGATCTGCTTTGGTCTGGGCGTGTGGGTCGGCATGCTAATGTGCCGACGCTGCGGCCCCTGAAGAACCAGCCAAATCCACTGAAGCCTTTGCGGAATGTCAAGCAAAATTCAAGTTTTTTTTCTCGAACATTTATGAAATAATGAATTAAATAATGATGCACCATTAAAGTAAACTTATTTCATTGTTTCTGCTTTCAGGTAACTACAACAATTGATTGAATTTCACCTTTAAGAACCCAAAGGGGGACTTGTAAGTAATTCCAGTCTTATTTGTAATACGAAAAGGCAGAAATCACGTTCTGAAGCTGAAGGTTTATTCTACTACCACACGACACTGCAGTTTAATTGATGTTTAGCCGATTGGGATTTGAAATCGACAAACCGACAGCCAAAAGTTGTCAAACGAAACCCCTTTCAACAGTTTTCATCCTAAAAGCGGGGTCGAGTTCAATGCATTTATGACTTTGAGGAAAAGTTTCTCATCCCCGTAATGGCCGAGAAGCAAAGGGAAGCCGCAATAAATATATGTGTCAGGCGCCCTGAGTTGGGTTAAGTTCGAAAGTTGGGGGGGAAAACTTTCCATTTCCTTTAGAGGTCCCTGCACAGAGGTGTGAGGCAGAGAGCACTTTAGGGTTTACTTTATCGTGTGGGGAGAATATGAATACAAATCTATCCTTTGAATACCCCTCCTACCCCACCTATCATTCATTATGATTGATTATTGAGCAAATCCAGGGCGATGTGGCACTCGTATGACGACGTCAGACTCACAAAACGTTTAACAAATGAGAAGAATGTCTGGTCGAAGAGGTTTCCCTGAAAGCACAAATGAACTCTTTGCGGTACCTAATGGCATCGCCCCGGCTACGCTACAGCATTTCAATCAGTCTTAGGCCCGGGATCCGCATCCGAGCCACATCCGCATAAATAAATATTTCATGAGTTCAGCAGCAGCAGCAGCTTCAGCTCCAGCTCTTTCTCTATTTCCAGTTGGATTGGGTTCGGTTCGAGTGCGTCCCTCTGCATAACTTACGACCGAGCTGTTTGTGGTGAGTCTTATCTGCGGAGCAAACAGACAAAGGTGTGCTGGGCTGGGCTGCTGGGGTAATTGGTTGAGGTGCCGTTCAAAAGATTGACTCGACTACCAAATGAAATGGTGCTCCCAAATGATTGATGGCAGTGAGCGCGATGCCAGGATGGGTGCCGCCAGGGTGGCCAAAGGTTATATTGCTTACCCGTGCGGGTCTGGAGTTTAGATTTATATGCCAGCCAACAGGTAGCTCAAGGCAGCTCAAGGGTCTCGTCTCGTCTCGTCTCTCACTTGGCCTTGTAGCGTCTCCACCCACACCACAGTCACTGATTGGACCCGCACCAAAGAGCCTTTCAACAGCTTTCTGGTGAAGCCATTCCGAATGCTAATTTGTCAATAGAAAGTTTTAATTGAATTTTGTTCACATGCTGAGAATTAATTTATGCAGTTTGCCAGCAGCCTAACAGCGACGGTTTGAATTTCGGTTAAGCTCGGCAAAAGCTTTGGCAAGAAAGCTTTCAGTTAACAGCGCTCTGCTCTGCTCCTGTGCTCTGTAACGTTTTGGTTCTCTCTTTAAGTCTCTCTCTCTCTCTCTCTCTCTCTCTCTCTGTGTGTGGGGGAAAAAAGGTAAACAAAGATAGACAAATAACAGTTGCCGGCATGCGGTCGCGTCAGCTGTTGGCGCCTTCAGGACTCACCTCACTGTGGTGGATTTCCCTGTGGCGCTGCTTGGGGAGCCTGCGCCGCTTCCTTGGTGCCTCGTGCCTCGAGCCACTCGGCTTCAGTCCCAATCCCAGTGCCGATGCGTGCGAAAGTAGCCCAATCGCGTAGCCGCATGTCCAATCGAGCTATTTTCAAACCGTAACCGTAACCGTAACCGCTCGAAAAGCATATTCGAAAATCATGTGTTGCGGCCACGAAGCAACGCTTTGCTGACATCGAAGGATAATTTTCTGAGAAGAGTGTGTACAAGTGACTGAAAATGATAAGAAAAGTGCATAAAAACAATCAAAAGGGGAAATACATAAAAATACATTTCAAAATACATTCATAAAATAGCGAAAAGTAAACAACAACGAGTCCTTTGAGGAGTGAAGCTTACAAGAAAACTTATTCCATTCAGAATGTCAATGTCGTTGAGTTCTTCTGGGGATCAATGAGGGCTCACACATAGCGAAGTTCAGGCACCAGGAGCAGCGGCAACGGCAGCGGTGGCTAGTGCAAATTACGCAACTCAGAGAAGGTCTTGTCAAACAACAAGTTGACTTTGCAGCCAGCAGCCAGAGAGATGGATGGGATCCAAAGTTTTTGACAAACTTTCCAGAAGTCAAAACCATTTATGGTGGCTTGACATGCGCCACATGTTACGAGTGAGCGAGACTTAAGGGAGTCAAATGGGGAGGATTAATTGGATTCAATATTAATAAGGATCCCAATTCATATGAAGCCGGAGCAGCGTATAGCCAAGTCTCTAATTAGCTGGGCACGAGTGGGGGGGGGGGGGGGGGGGGGGGGGGCAGGCGAAAGCTGAACAGCATGTCCTCCGCCTGCCCGCCTTTCATTCTTTCTTTCATTCCGTTCGTCTGGCCATATAATTGAGTTATTTCTCTCGGATTTTACCATTTTATTATTATTAAATGGCTGCTGCGACAACAAGCTGTTGATGGCGTCCCATAAAATGGCGTTTCTCGTATATTTGTGTGTGTGAATGGGGGTGTTGAAGCATGCGTGTGAGTGTGCGTTGCCTAAGCGGCGTCATGATTGTTTTAATGGCTACTTGAACGGAAATTAACTGACAGCGACAGATGAATACAAGCGACAAGTTCTCCTCCGCCTTTGTGGCACATCCTTAAAGCTCAGCCTACTCGGAACCAAGTGCAGTCAGGCATGAAATGCTAACTGGCATTTTCTCACGATTTCTCACAAATTTCGCCACACACTCGAGTGCTGCTTACCCAAATATTTACACACTGAAATGTCAAAGCAAGCTAATTTGGCACATAATTCCATATTTCGTACACAAATGTACTAACATATGTACTTATGTATGTATTTATGTATGTGTGCAAACTCAGGCAATGATAAACAGAACTGTCAACCAATTTGCACCGAAACAAGCATGAGAACAGCATGGATAAAAAACAGCAAAATGCAAATTGCTTCTCAGGCGAAGAATATGAAAATTATGAAATATGTGCTGTGCGGCGTTCCTATTTGCATACATTTGGCCAAAAGTAAATTAGGTGTGGCCTAGGGCTAGGGGTGTGCAAACAGGAGGGGCAAAAGCTGCGGCCCAATTGATAAACAAAATATAATTTATGTGAGAGGTGAAACCTGCGAAGTTTGCGCTGAATATCGACTCGAACAAACCTCTAGAAGAATGAAGCATTAATGAATTATGCCGCTAGATTTGGTGGTCCAGGATGTAATTCAAACAGATTAATTCCTCTTTCTAATAGGATAATTGTATCTGTGCACAAAATGCATACAAACACAGATATGTACACACATACTATGTACAACAAGAACTCTTATGTAATAATTAAATCTAGGAGAAAAACATCCACAACACGAACAAGTTGAATGTAATGCAACTAACATTCAATTTTTCCCCAAGAAAATGTTTTTGGCTGGCAATTATGTAAGTTTAAAAGGCAATCATGTTTTATGTACACATAATAAAACGCCAAATGTAATTTAAAATAATAGTTTAACAAGTAAAGAGCCAGGAATAATGTTGGAACTGCTCTGCCCGCTCGTTAACTCATTTGCTTATGACTTCATTTTCGTTGTGGCTCATCAACTCTCACTTAAGCTCCTGGCTGGGCTGGGCTGGGCGCATATAATAACTTCACCTTTGGCGGCCATTTCGCTTTGTTCACTTTTCCCTCTATTTGTTTTGCATGGCCATCGCATGCAAACATACCCCAGCAGATACACTCACACAAAAAACCAACCAACACTCACACGGGCGGGCTACCACAAAGGAGGGATCAAGTGAAATGTAAAAAAAAAAGCTAGAGAGAAACACGCTAAACACTTTGTAATGCGCTTTTGTTTGGGCCAAGAGCCATTAAGCTGGACAAGTGATAAATTTGCCACTCAAGGCGGCTCTGCATCTGCTCTTGCGTTGCCCTGTTCTCCGCTCTGTTCCGTTCTCTATTGTTATTTTCTGTTGTGGACTGGACTGGACTGCCACTGGCGGAGAAAGGTCTCGTGCGGCACTGATTTATGTTCTCAGGCCGAGTGAGGACATTAGCCTTTGCTTTTGTGGCCAAGGAATGCCCTCTGCTTGTGCCTTATGCCTGTTTGCTTGTTGCATGCAATGACGTCATTACTGACAAATTGCCTCCTATTTAACGGCAATCGATTGTTTCCGCACGATTAGGTATGCTAAGCGAAAAGGGGCATGCGACAGCAACAGTTTGCTCCTTTACTTACACTTGCCACTTTCCCACTTTCCCACTTGTTTATCCTTCTTGGGGCTCTGCTGTTTTTGCCCTTGTTTTGACATGTCGTGCCCTGACGGGGGTGACGCCTACTTTTTAAACTGTTGCGCATTTGGCCGTCAGCCAAGGCGTGCCGTTGTCTCCGGCACTTAGTTCCCTCTATCACTTTCACTTCCTTCTGTGTGTCTCATTCCCCCAGTTGGACGCGTGCCAACGTACACTTGAAAAGGGAAAGGACACGCAACACGGGAGCAGCAGTAGCAAATTCTCATCAACAAGTTGGAGAATTATCAGGGATCGATTTTTGTTGGGGTTCTCCATTTGTGTTTCTTAACATTTTGGGAGGAGTATCTAAAGATTATTTGCCTTCATTTGCTTAATGAAATCAACGTAATTCAGATATTCCCCAGAAATGCCGTGCCAAGTTGGTGATGGGATAAACGTGGATATCTTGAGAGCGTGAGAAATGGCAATATGTCGGAATAGCCTCGCTGCCTGCCAACAACTATTCGTAATTCTAATTTAAGCGGTTGCCAGTGAAACATAAGTTCCGCTCGGAAGACATCAAAGCCATTTCGTGGCCTGGACATGGGGATAAGCAACATTAGAAGCGAGAGAGATACATCATCGTATATTTTTGCAGTGGGGGGGACTTGTGTGCAATCAAGACTTAAGGGCATTAAAATGCGACCTTCACTCAATCTAAACGATTCAGCCATCAAATTTATTATGCTGCACATAAAGCCAGGACATAAACTCTGAGCAGAAATCATAAAACGGAGCACAGACAGACCGGACGAGGCAGTAGAAGGCGCTGTAGGATCCTGTAAAAGAGTTCACGAACTGTGACGTCTTTGGACTTCCGCGCTGCTGGGCGTGGGGTGCGAGCAAAGGTCGCCTTACCAGCCTTACCAGTGTCTATTCGCATGGCTCCCCAAAGTGAATAGAGATATTTCGAGTATGCAAATGCGAAACAAAGCCAAGCTGTCTCTTGTCTGGACAATGAAACAAAAGCCAGTGTGCCAGTGTCAGTGCCATGAGAAAACATTTAAATTTGATGCAGCCAAAAATTGATTCGCGTTTGCAAAGAGCAGCAGCAGCAGCAGCTAGTTCAATGCTCTTCGAAACGGGGATTCCAAGATACTACATACACACATTGTGCAGGCATACGATGCAAATCTACCAATTCCGATACGAATTCTGCTCGAGTGTTAATGCAAATGTTTGCATACATTTAGGCGACACACAATTCCGACAGCCAAAGACACTTTTTCCTCTCTGTCTCTGTCTCTGTCTCTGGCCTCGGCAGCTGTCTGTTGTCGTGCCAAGTGGTGTGGTGTACAGAACTGAGTGCCCTGCCGCTTGGTGCCCAATCGATAAACCTAATGAGCTGTGAGACAGACAGGCAGACAGGGCGAAGGAGAGGAGTAGAAAGCAGAGCAGAGCGAAGGTGGTTTTAAAATTAACCTACAGAGGGAACTGAAAATAACTCGCAAAAGAACGCCAGCCAAGGAGCAGCACTTCCTCAAGCAATGATGGATGATGCTCTCGCAGGTAGAAATTTGGGTTACTTACACCCCTGAGACACCAACTGCCTGTGGCGCGACTGGTAGCCCATAAAAAGTGTTAGACATGGGCTCCCGCTCAATTAATGTAATTGCCACGCACACGATTCAGTGGCGACACCAAAAAATAGCGCCACATCACACCTGCAAACTACTACTGACCAAAGCGTACCAGAAACAGGGAGCGTATACTTGATGTGGAGCAGACAGTCGGTCGTCGGGTCGTCGGGTACACGCACGAAATTCCCTAAAAAGAAAGCACTTCGATTAATCACTTCGAATGGCTAAATAATTCAAGGGCCAGCCGGTGCTATGCAAATTGCATTTTGGGAGGACAGAAAACGAATACGAAAACGGGGATACGTGAAAGTTTGCCTGTGGCAGGGCATGGCACGGCACGGCACGGAAAAACTGCATTAAGGAGCACGAAAAAAAAAGCAGACGACGTGAAGGGGTTGGCTGTCGCTGTGGCAAGAAAAGTTCAAAGTTCAAAGACTAGAGACAGATTCAAAAGACAAGGGATAACAATTTTCTCTGTTTTCTAATTGAAAGTCCCGGGTGAAGGCCAAGCGAGGCAAAAGCCATAAACGCAGCAGCAGCAGCAGTTGCCTCGGCCACAGACCAAAAATGTAAATTAAAGATACGAGAAGGAGAAGCTCAAGGACAAGACAAGACAAGACAAGACAAAACTGAGGAATTTATTTTGGTTTCTTGGGATGGATGACAACCGCAGAGTGTCCTTTGACTGTGACAATTCCTTGTCCTTGTTCATGTCCCGTCATTCATCAATGTGTCACTTAAGCCACTCAGTCTACTCAGGTCACGTCTAATGATTTGGCTTTCCGTCTGTCAGCGAGATTCGAAGCCATAAATCTGCTAGACTCGTTGGAAAAACTCGATCCCACTTAAGGCAAAGTCTCTGATTAATATGAAATTAGCCAGCAGCGCAAATCAATGCAATCAATGCATCAGCCTTGAACTGTGATGGCAAGCAATTAGAGCAGTAGCAAAGGGGGAAAGGAAGGATTAAATAAATGAAAAGATTTTAACACTTGATGGCAGGAAGACAATTCAATGTCAGATGATGATAATAAACAGTGTAAAAGGAAGGGGATTTAATTGCAGGCTTTACTTCTGCTCCTTTCAAGGCTATGGCCGTTTGGGCAATAAATTTATTAAATGCCCAAGGAACAGTCACAGAGGAATGGCATGGCGATCGAAGAGCACCCACTCGGCCAAACAAAAAATCATGTTAAACAAGCTATAAATAAGTGTCCGAGTGACTGCCACTGCCATGCTGTGTGTGTGTGTGTGTGTGTCCTCAATTGCGTGTTCAAACAAAACGAAATTAATTGCTCAGCCAGAGGAGCAATCAATTCTGATTAAAGTTGGATGCGGCAAGCTCTTAAAGCTGCTGCTTCTGCGTGTGATCCGCAATCTCATTGTGACTGCCAGGAATCCTCCAGTTAAAAGACCAACCCAATATACCGAAAAAAGAGAGATAACAACAAAAGCAATCCGTCGAGTAGGCGAAAGTGTGAAATTAACTAAAGTGCTTCTCCGTTTGCTACGTGCTTTTGTGCCCTCGAGCCAATGGAACATCTATTATGCAATATGGCGGGAAACAGTCGCAACTCGTCCTACAACTGTCTGTCGTCATGGGACTCCTACGATCGAATACCCAGGTAAGCAGAGGGCAAAGACCGAGGAGAGAAGCAGGAAATCAGCGGACTCGCAGCGGGGGCCTTAACTCGATTAGAAATTCGATTTGAGCGTCCTGTGCCAACCTGATTGCTATTAAGAGGTCCAAGAAGGTGGAGCCGAGGCATCTCGTTGCCCTGCCAAGGTGTTGAATCATAATTGAATTGGGTCCCAACTAACAGCGTAGCCAGTTCGGAATTTATTAATACTTGAGTAATAGATCTGAAACCAGCTGCCTGCAATGCTAATTGCCATGGAAAAAGTGCATGCTCTTCGGTATCAAGCTTAAAGACAAGTCACAACTTCCAAGACGAAAGCTCCTTGAAGTGCTCTTTACGTTTTTATGAGAGGAGCAATCAATGCAGCGACAGCCAGTGATGGATGCTCGAGCAGAGACTCGTACTCGTACAATAGAGAGCACCCATTAGGAGTGCAATAAATGTGCACGGACCAACACACAATTATGTTTTCAGGGAACTCTTTCGGCCTTTTTCCGGCCCTGCCCAGAAATGCAATTTGTTGCTCCCCCGCATAGAGTGGACAAAGGACAAGGACCCGTACCCGGTCCCCTTTGGTGCCATTGTGTAGAACCAGCCACAAAAACATTTGCAGGCTTTGCTGGTCCATGCGTCCAGCCAGCTATATTTTCGTTCCCTTTGTGGCCTTTGATTCACGGGGCTTTAATGTGTTGCTGTTCAAGACAAAAGTGTACTCAAGGCGGGGATGTAATCAAATCTCGCACGAACACGGTAACTCGAGCCCGCAACCTTAGCGAAATGAAATCAAATTTCCTTCCAAAAAGCTCAAAATCAAAAATCAATAAAGGTAAAACAATCCGAGCAGTTTGCAGCTACCCATTTAGGTAATAGCTAAAAGACTTCAGCTTTAAATTCAATATCCATGGATAATCCAATGATGGCACAACAAAAACACATTAACGTGCAATTTGGCTTTGGTCTTTGGCTCAGCCTCAGGCCGAGAACCTAATAGATTTTTAAAGCAGAAAACTGGGATTGGCTCGGGAAAAAGGGAATCAAGCTCAATTTTATGTTTCATCAATATTAATATGTTATTAAAATACTAGATTTTCATTTTAAATTGCTGCATAAGCGTGGGTTATTCAACTTATTGCATTTTTGCGACATTGCAGTTGTTTCTGCCAGCCAAAGTGAATTGAAAATGGAATTTCCATCAGCATTTTACCACCCGCTGCTGTAGCTGTTGCCGTTGCACTGTTATTATTTTTTGATGCAAATATTTGCATTTATTCTCCATATGAATATTTATTCAGTTTTGATTGCAGCCGCTCAGCTCAGGATCAGGATTTTGTGTGTGTTTCTGTGCTGAAAAGACTTAAAGCTGTGGGGGGGGGAAAACTACTCAAAGTGACAAGTGATTGCGCTCCGCTCTCCCTCTGGCTGGAACTTGTGGCCATGTGGCAAATGATTGTGCCGCGTTCAATGGCCAGAAAGAAAGGAGGAATGAACCCGCCCGCCGAAACAAACCGCAAAAGAGTCAGCCAGCATTTCTTTCCACTGGGCGATTTTCTAGAAGGTCAGAGTTGATTGTATGCAGTGGCCAGGCCATAACTGATTGGTCACTTGCGAGTGTGTTTATGAGTGTGGCAGTGTGGGTGTAGGGGCCAGGAGCTCGTTCATTTCACCACGCATTTCTCGGTGCAGTCATCGTCCTCAGCTTTTGAATGGCCCCCAAGGTGCCATTGCTGCCGGGAGCAACTTGAACTATTTTCTCGCTCTTTCCCGGGGCTGTCTCTGCGTGCGTTAACCTTGAAATGAATATTCACAGCTCGCAATGAGTTAAGCCAGAGTCCCGAGTCCCCGGAATACATCCCATCCCATCCCATCCACGAATGGTGCCCGAGGACAGAACAATGGCTGGCTGAGAGCCACAAAAGGTGGCAAGCAGTTAATAGAGTTGTTCTCTTGTCTGGGTCTGTGCACTTTAAGATGTTCTTTTAATTACTTAAGCCCCGATTTGTGCCCCAACATCCACTGCCATCTCCACTTTGTTTTCCACTCTTTACGCGATATCTGCTGCAGTCAAGCGCCTGGATGTTTCGGATGCTTCCTTGGACTGCCAACGCTTGAGCTGAGGGAACCATTTGTGGCCTGTCTGCCAGCTGGAGCCATTTGATGCTGAACCTAAGTTGCTCATGGAAATATTCTGCGCTTGACTTAAGGCGGATGTGCTGCAACAGGCATCAAGAGCAGCATGTCTGTGTCTGTGCGGTGGTGCTCAAGTCAATCCCTGCCCAAAGTTGCAGCATTTATTGAGTAGAAGGCGCCAGCAGGCTCCTTTGATCTCCCATCGATGGCAGCGCCTGTGACATGGATGTGAGCAGATTCTATACCCCACTGGGAGCCACTCGCAGACGCTCGTGCTGCTTGAGTGGCAGCCAGTCACGTGTGTGCCACGTGGCAGGGAACGTTTGCTGCTGCTTTGTACATCTTTGGCACCCAGAGGGCAATGGAGGTGCAGAGTGCAGTCTGCTTCGCGTCGCTTAATATAATAAGTAAGCGCATCAATTGTAAAGCGGAGCAAGGCAAAAGAAGGAAGAGACAATTCAATTGTGTCTGCGGAGAGGAGAGAGTGAGAGAGTGAGAGAGGAAAGGCCCACTCTAAGTACTAGTTCTGGGAAAAGCCTTGTTCGAATTGAATTTTAGCGCTCAAACGTTCATTTTTTTCCTCTCTGTTTTGTGTATTTTCAGAGTTCGTGTGGAGTACTACGTGAATGAAAACACATTTAAAGAAAGACTGCAACTCTACTTCATTAAGAATCAGCGTTCAAGTAAGTTACCCCTACCGCACGCGTACATATTGTCTTTGAATTAACTCAAATATGCGCTGGGCTTTGATTACAACAATCAACAAGATGGACAATTTAATTGAATTTGATTAGTGATTCCGGGCAAAAGGCCAAGAGGCCAAAACGGAAAACTTCCACTGACCAAACAAACACACAGAGACACACAAACACACACATGCTTATGCACTCATAGAGGCAGACAGACGGACAGACACACGGACAGACGGACGGACAGACAGACGGACATGAAGATAGAAAGAGAGACAGAAAGATAGACACAAGAATGACATTACAAAGGCGAATTCGATAATCTTGGGTAAATATTGATTTGGAAGGGAAAATAATTGAGCAGGTAAACAAGAGCGCAGAACAGGATGGTCAGGGAGGGTCAGGGAGGGTCAGGGAGGGTGGAACCGCAACATCAAACATTCCTCTGTATACATTGAATTGACCCAAATTCTTAAACAACTTTCTTGGCTTCTCCCCTACTTCTCGTTGGCTGCCCCCTACACCCGTGAAGGCTTACGCATACGAATTGCCGATTTATTCCTTAAGTTACTGTCGTGTGTTCTCTACATTATACGTGTGATATTGGATAAGAATCCAACATTTATAACTTGGTGAGTGTTGAGCATTGAGTGGGCCTCAGATACATTGACTGATTGATGGCATTCTGCCCCTGCCCCTGCCCCCACACAGCTATGGCTGCGAGGTGGGCAATAAGACAGAGTTCATCATCTCGGCCAAACTGACGGAGGAGGAGTTCCAGGAGAGTCCGATCATCAACTGGGATGCGATACTCTGGGTGAATCGGCCCACAGTGCTGTGGGTGCTGCAGCTGCTCCTAGCCATGGTGTCGCTAACGCAATCCTTGGTTCTCACCTATCTAGGCTATAAGGTGAGACCGAGTAGTGTGATGCCAAAGGTATAACTTTAAACTTATCATGGGTTTATGTATTGCAGGGCAACATTTGGCAGCAGATACTCTCATTTCACTTTATACTAGAATTAGTAACGACAATACCATTTGCACTAACGGTAAGTCCGATCTGCCAGAGAGAGAGAGAGAGAGAGAGAAGGAGATTTCTTATTAATTTCGCCATTCAGATCGTTCATCCTCCACTACGGAATCTCTTTATTCCCATCTTCCTCAATTGCTGGCTGGCCAAGCGCTCGCTGGAGAATATGTTTGTAAGTCTAAGTCCCTTTGTAAATTCCCTTCAGTATTCCCCACATTAACGTTGCTCTACTTTAACCACAGAATGATCTTCATCGTGCCATGCAAAAGTCTCAGTCTGCGTTGTCCCAACAGCTGACCATATTGTCGGCCACGCTACTCTGTTTGGTATTTACCAGGTGAGAGCGGGCGTGCAACGAATCCACTTTGTGGCATGCCGCAATAATATTTTGTGCCCGTCTGTTTCAGCGTTTGCGGCATTCAGCACTTTCAGCGGGCTGGACATCGGCACTTGAACCTCTTTCAGAGCACGTACTATGTGGTTGTGACCTTCTCGACAGTGGGCTACGGCGACTTTGTTCCGGACATTTGGCCCTCTCAGCTGTACATGGTCATCATGATTTGTGTCGCACTCATTGTGCTGCCCACGCAGGTGAGTCAACAGAATATTATGCCATGCAATTCGATTGAATGGGGGGGGCGGGATCCATTGCCAAGTAGTTGGAGCAAATATCTCTGAAAATGGTGGAGCAAACTGCACATCAAATATTTAGGGACCCAGCGTATCCTCATCCATCATCTGGGCAGAGCAGACATTGGCCATCAATCGATATTAATAAGTATGGATGCTGTCAATGGAAATTGTTTACCATTTTGACCCGTCTGCCAGGCGGGAGCCACTGATGGACCGACTGCCATGTTCAACATTTTGCAAACAATTGTTTTATCAACAATATCAACAATAGGAGGGGAGTCTAAGCTTAAAAAACCGAAGCACGCACACCCTTGGTTGGATGAGAACAAAGAGAAGGATAAATGGCAAAGAATCATCTTCAATGGTGCAGATATGACGACAAGTCAAAGCAAGTTTCAGGAAAGGAAAGTGTGTACAAAGTATGACTCGGGCTTGTCGAGTGACGAGAGTGACCAGTGAGTGGACCCATTTGGCCGAGCAACAAACAACAGGAGCATCAATCAAAATCCGCGTACTGTTTCGGGGCAAGTGAAAGCAGCACTAAAAGTTGCCCCAGTGCATGTCAATACTCGTATGCTGCTGAAGTTATGACCTTTTTTGCACCACCATAAAAATGGCAAAAGGTTGCAAACGTTTTAGACAAAATGTAGCAGCGGACAAAGTGCACAAAGAGCTGGGCTGGGTTGTGCTTTATGCCTGACAATTGACTTATCCCCGGCATGAATCTGATAGTGTTCTCCTCTCACGTTGCAGTTCGAGCAGTTGGCCTTCACCTGGATGGAGCGCCAGAAGCTGGGCGGCAGCTACAGCTCCCATCGAGCGCAGAGCGAGAAGCATGTGGTGGTGTGCTCGACCACCCTGCACGCGGACACCATCATGGATTTCCTCAATGAGTTCTACGCCCATCCCCTGCTGCAGGACTTTTATGTGGTGCTGCTCAGTCCCATGGAGCTGGACACGACAATGCGAATGATTCTACAGGTGCCAATTTGGGCACAGCGTGTGATTTATATTCAGGTGTGACTTTGTTCTCCCTTCCCATTGTCATGAGTCCCATTAACCTGCGCCCTTTCGCTCTCTCTCTATCTCTCTCTCTCTCTCCTTTTGGCAGGGCTCCTGTCTGAAGGATGGCGACCTGGCCCGGGCTCGCATGAACGAGGCGGAGGCGTGCTTCATACTCGCGGCCAGGAACTATGCGGATAAGACGGCCGCGGACGAGCACACCATCCTGCGCTCCTGGGCGGTCAAGGACTTTGCGCCGAATGTGCCGCAGTATGTGCAGATATTCAGGTGGGTTTTGCCCGAGAGAGGGACTCTACGGCACCCAAACGTAGATAAAATAATTCAATTTCCACTATTTGCACACGCCAAACGAAACAAAACGCATCGGACATCGGACATCGGACATCGGAAATCGGATCTCCAACCATTCGAATATCCCGCGGAAATGCAATTTCAACACCGCTCAGGCCGGAGCACAAGCTGCATGTGAAGTTCGCAGAGCATGTGGTCTGCGAGGATGAGTTCAAGTACGCGCTGCTGGCCAACAACTGCACCTGCCCGGGCGCCAGTACCCTGGTCACCCTGCTGCTGCACACCTCGCGCGGACAGTACGTATTTCTGGCCAGGTCAACTGTTAACCAGTTAACACACATGCAAAAGTCGTTCAACTATCTGACGTGCGTCATCTGTACGCTTGGTAGCGTCAGGGCCCATAGGTTGGTCAGTCAGACGCTCGCTCGGCTCCGTCCGGCCGCTTGATTGCCCATTCAAACATTTTTTTCGTTCGTTCGTTAGTGGGCGTCTAATTCGGATCAGCCTGCGGCTGACGGAATGTTTACGCTGGATAAGGGAATTAGAACTCAGTCGTCCATGCCTATCAACTGTTATAATTGAATGTCCAGCGATCTGCAGTGGCATTGAATAGGGGCAACCAACGAGCCGCTGAGATTACACAGAACTTGCGTAGGCGAAAAGGCAATGGGGAAAGTCCAGTGTCCTGTGTCAGCTAGCAATCTTCAATCGCAATTGTGGTTAATATTAATTTTCTCGAATTAACTGCAATGCCATTTAAGTAGAGGGTTCTTGGGGTACCAACATATTCTGTGCATGACATCGAAACGCAATTTAAAATGAGAGTTTTAATTAAATGCCATTTGCGTCATGTAAACGCTGAAAGGAACTCTCCAAAAGGGGAAGCTCGAGGTGAAGTATGTGGTAGCCGTCAATTAAACGCTTTCAGTTTTCGTGTGCCATGCACAGCCAAGTTAATCAGATGTCACATGTCGACGACGTTCGGTGCTAATTGGAGGTTTGGGAGCAGGCCACATATTGACTACATATCTACATATTGCTCTTGTGTTTTTGGCAGGGAGGGGCAGCAATCGCCGGAGGAGTGGCACCGCCTCTATGGCAAGTGTTCGGGCAACGAGATCTATCACATTGTCCTCGGCGACAGTCGCTTCTTTGGGGAGTACGAGGGCAAGAGCTTCACCTACGCCAGCTTCCACTCGCATCGCAAGTAAGTAAATCTCTGAATCGATTTAAATATGTGAAATTTATGCACGCTCTCCCTCAGATATGGTGTGGCCTTGGTGGGTGTGCGGCCGGCTGAGCTGCCCGAGTTCTATGAGGATACAATACTCCTGAATCCGGGTCCCAGGCACATTATGAAAAAGGATGACACGTGCTATTATATGAGCATCACCAAGGAGGAGAACTCGGCGTTTGTCGTTAATCAAAATCAAACATCGGACCCCACGGCAGCCAGCAAGGATGGGGCTGGAGGTGGCACATCTACCGCCACTTCCCATCATACAGCAGCTGCAACTGGTGGGTAGAGCTTTGTGGATGTGTGTGTGTGTGTATAAGTGTGTGTGTGTGTGAGGATGGGTTGGTATTATGATAACCCTAAAAACTACTTACAGTGAATGAATGAATCGATGCATAAATAAATAAATATTTATGTACTTTTAAGCTTTCACTTTTTGAGGCACTATTTCCTAGCTCTCTGTCTCTGTCTCTTCCTCTCTCTTTGCCTCTCTTTGTTTCTCTTCTTCGTTTACTATAACTTTGATATTTGAGTTGAGGCTGAGCTCAAAGTTTTTCTTTTCTTTCTCTTCTGGTTACTATTATCTCTACCCACAAGTTGTTTTCATAATTTCGTTTGATTTACTGTCTGAATGAAACAAAAACGCTTTCAGTGTCCAGTGTTTTGTGAGCGTGTCTGTCTGGCTCGAATTACTTCGGTTATTAATGATATTCGCCTTGCCCGAACTTTATTTTGTAAAACTTTCAACTTTAATCGATTTGTTTGGGTGCCGTTTAACCCAACCGTACGCCAAACTTACTCCTCAAATATATTTACACTTGAACAGGAGACTCATCCGCTTTGTTATGTTTTGTAGCCTGTCCCCGAAAGGCAACAAATTATGATACATAGATACATCAAATAAACACATAATATATTCGACTAGAGATGCTGAAGAGAACGTCCACAGTTTGCCCAGAGGAATGTCTCTTAGAGAGGGAGCTTAGTTCCTTAGAAATAGCTAAGAGTTGGTGCTAACATTTTAGTTACTTTAAATCACTTGGGATGGACAAACTTTAGGTTAGCTTATGTCTAAAACATAATCCTTTGCCCCCCCCACACACACACACAAAACACACACATAAACACACACAGAGCATTATTGATTAATGTAGAGTGAAAGATCTCTGAGAGCGTAGAGCTTACACCACCTACCTAGACCTAGACCTATACCTAGAGCATAACCCATACCTATACACGTGCGCAATAATCGTGTAATGTTATGTGTGAATGTAGCCGATAAAACAATAACCAGAACTACTACCTCATCGATTACAATAACAACAGCAACAACAACAACAACAACAACAACAGTACAAGCAACTCCAACTACAACTACAACAATAAGCACAACTTTCACATCATCAACATTATTATCAGCATCTACAACAACAGCAACAATAAATGCTGGAACTGCCGCCCCGTCCGCAGCAGCAGCATCAGCAGCAGCAGCAGCAGGGACAGGGGCAGGGTCAGGCGCCACCATCATTGCACCAGTGCCGTCTGTTTGTGTTCGTGTGCCCCAGCATAGTCCCAGTTATGAGAGTGGCGGCGCGTACGGCACGAACCACTTGCAACCGTATTCGCATCCGCATCCGCATCCGTATCCGCATCCGCAAATGCAAACTCCAGACAGTGGAGAGTTTGCATCACTATTTGTGCGTGAGTTCGACACCAGAAACCCCAACCCCAACTGCAACACCCAACCCCCCAACACCAGCCACAGAAAAATGAAGCAACACAAAAATACTTCTTTGGTCTTTGTCTTTTAGCTCGTTTTTGATCTCACTCCTTTTCAATCACTCAATCACTCACTAAATCACTCTTTTAAGCCTCATCCAGACAACTGTCTCTGTTCCGTTCCCCTCTTTGGGCTTGGCAGCTTGAGCCGCCTCCCCTCCCCGTCCATTAGCCATAATAACACTTTGCAACAAAATCTGAGAACAAGATTCTAGCCTTGAGGCCTTGATAATAATTTTCAGTTAAGTTGGAACATGCTGCACCTTTGAAATGTTGTTTCAGCAGCATTCAATTAATTATTTTCGTATGCTCACAATACTCACGTATAAATATATAGTGAATTGAAGAGTATCAAATTTGTTGCAAAGTGTGAGGCATTCATGTCAAAATACATTTCCGCTGCACTCAAGCCCACTCAAACACTCACAGAAACACACACACACACACACAACACACACTTTCTCTCTCTCTCTCTCTTCTCTTTCTACTTGCTTTCTTTCACCGTTACTTCCTACGCATATGTGGGGGCCGGGCCGCACCTAGCCACCACGCCTTGTCACATCTTCTTGCTAGCAAAAAACTATTTTTGCTGTTTGCTTCATATTTTTGTTTTGGCTGTTGTTTTTTGCCCGGTTTGCCTGTCTGGCTTTCTCGTACAACTTTTTCTCCTTCTTCGTCGCTTGTGTTTTGCATTTCTTTTAGTTTGTTGTTTGTTTTGTTTATGGCATTTGCATTAGTGTTCTTCGTGTATGTGTGGCGTGTATGTGCATGAGTATTCGGTGTCTTGAAATTCTTGTTAACGATATTCGCAACTCACTCCGGCGACTCCTGTAAAGTTACTTCATGTATAAATAGTTTAGCTTTAATGAAGCAACTGTAAACCATCACAACCAACTCCATTCACACCCACACCCATGCCTCCCCCGACCAGAGCTCGGTAGCCTGTAATTAAGTGTTCCAAAACCATGGCCAACAAGAAAACAGAAAAGAGAGAGTCAACATTTTCGGCAGAGTTTGCACGTTAACTAAACACTTTGGCGAAAGTTTACCGGCCAGCGCCAGTCAGTCTCTGCCTCTGACTCTGTCGGGGACTTTTAATGAGTTGTTTGTGCCTCAGGTTTGTCTTGTAGAAAACCCCCAAAAACCCAGCCACACCCCACCACCCTCACCAGCCCGCCGCCTTTATTTTCTGTCACATTTTCTTCGCTCAGCTGAAATTAGTGGACATGTATTTTGTATAGCAAGCGCCCAAGTAGATGATTCGATTTCAATCGATATCCGAACAGAGCGTTTATCGAAAAGGTAAACCCAACTAACGACATTTGTTCCCTCATCCCCCCCCCCCCCCCCCCCCCCCCCCCCCCCCCCCTTCCTCGCCAGCCTGCGATAATCCGACGGCTGTGATAATATCGGACTCCAGGCAGAACCTCAAGGACACAACGGTGACCCAGACGGCGGCCACGACAACCACAATAACCACAACGACGCTGCCACCACCGCCCATGACGCTGGGCGGATCTTCGGGCATGCCCGGCGGCTCTGGTGGCGGTGGCCACGGAGTGGGCAGCGGCCACAGTCTGGGCACCTCGCTGAGCGTCACACCAGCCACACTCTCCACGGGCAATCATCTGGATGTGCCCTTTGGCAACAATCCCAATCTGCTCAGTCCGGATGTGCTCAACCAGCGAAGAGGTAGGGCTTGAGGGTGACTAACCGTACACACTATAATCTGATATATTTGATATCTGAGCAGGAAGCAGACGTCCCTCGATCCTGCCCGTGCCCGATATGTTCACCTCCTCATCGTTCAGCATTGCCGGCAACGATGATGGCGAGGAGGGAGACGAGAGCGACGATGAGATTGACGATGAGATGCCTTGGCGCTCGCCCTCCGAGAAGATCGCGTGAGTATTCAACCCACATTCACGATAAATCTTACCTCCTTACCTTACCCCCAACAACTTTCCAACAACTATCCGAGGCACCGAATTATCCCTCTCTCCCTGTGTAGTGTCTCTCTCTCTCTCTCTCTCTCTCTCTACATAGATTGTGTATACCTCGTATATGTATCACTAACTGTACTTTTTAGCCAACTAATTGTTTCAAAATGAAAGCAACTAACTAACCCCCTTGAACATGAATCCCCCCACCGTGTACATAGCTAGTACCCCGTGCTAGTAAGAATGATTTTTGCAATCCAAAATGATCGAAGAGAGAACGAGAAAAATATCTGTCACTGTACATATAGAGTAAGCTTCCAAAAGCGTTCATTTTGGAGTGTGAATGTGCAATGAATGTAAATTTTATATGTTGTACTTGAGCACTAGATTCCCCATCCCCAAAACCCTCCAGTAACCCCAACACACATGTACACCGAACTAAAAGAAAACCAAACCCAACCAAAATTCGCAACAGCTGCTTGGGCGGGCACTTTCCCCAATCGCGCACCTATTCGCTCATCATGAGCTCCTCGGAGGATTCGTATCAGCGAAGTTGCAGCTTTTGCAGCCGCAATGCCGCTGCTACTGCCACCGATGCTGCAGCTCCTGCTGCTGCTGCTCCTGCTGCTGTCAGACCGCCTGGGTCTGGTCTGGGATTTCCTCTTGAAGATTTCACCACTACGGAGCAACGCAGGCGTGCCATGAAGAAAAGCTACAGCTGCGACAGCGAGTGTCGTAGTGGTCTGGGGCCCGGACCGGGCCTGGGACTAGGTGGCGGGACTCTGGCCATTTTGGCGGCTCGAAGAAGGCAGCTGCAACAGTGCTGCACCTGCAGTTGCTCCACCACCACCTCCTTCTCCACCACCACGACTACGACAACATCAGCAGCAGCAGCAGCAGCAGCGGCGGCGGCGGCGGCAGCAGCAGCATTCACATCGAGCAGTTCCGTTGAGACGCGTCGCCTGTCGCGTCCGGTGTGGGCCTCCGACTACTCCGGGTAAGTCTGGGGGCAGAGAAGCCATTCTACGGACGCCATTTGTTGAAGAGTTCTTGTCGTTGTTGTTCGTTACTGTTACCGTTCCCGTTGCCGTTGCAGTTTGTGTTGCTTGTGGAGTGTTTTGTTTGCCTGCCGCAGGACATCTTTTAATGACGCCTCCTCCGTTTACCTTGGAAGAGCCGTGTGCAGCATATCCCGGTGCCCATACCCATCCATGCGAGATTCGTTTGAGTGTTGATGTTGCTGTTCTGCTGCTGCAGTTCTGCTTTGTCTTGAGTTTGCTTGTTTTTTTTTGGCTTCTGGGCGGGAGTCAACCTCTCGAATGGGGGGACATGGACATGCCAGGGGGAGGAGAGTACACCTAAAGTTCAACCATTTGCTAATTCGTTTGGTCGTTTTGTAGTGAATGCTTTAATCTCGTTTTGTAGCTTGAATCCGATGTCACCTCTCCCCACACACACACACTTCCCGGCCTGCGCTCTCTTAGTCAATGTCATGCTCGCCACTGCTCGTATCCGTATCCCGGCACTCTGCTTATCCACATCCCAAACACAACTCATTACCTGCTCTCCAGTCCGCCACCTCACGCGAGGAGCACATTCCCATGTAACACGGGCTTCTCGCTGCTATTTCAGCATTGTCAAGGGATTCCCGCCCGTGTCGCCCTTCATCGGTGTCAGCCCCACACTCTGCTTTCTGCTCAAAGAGAAGAAGCCTCTCTGCTGTCTGCAGCTGGCTCAGGTGAGACTCGAGACTCGTGACTCCAGACTGCACTTCAATCAAAATCAATCGGTTATCCTTCACAGGTGTGCGAGCACTGCAGCTACAGGAATGCCAAGGAGTACCAGTGGCAGAACAAGACGATCATTCTGGCCGCCGACTATGCCTCCAATGGGATATACAACTTTATCATTCCGCTGAGAGCTCACTTCCGCTCGAAGACTTCACTCAATCCCATCATCCTGCTGCTGGAGCGACGTCCGGATGTGGCCTTTCTGGACGCCCTCTCCTACTTTCCCCTGGTGGGTATATACAAACGAAACACTTCTTCGCTGAGCTGATTTGGCTTACTTGGGGGGGGGTTACCTAGGTCTACTGGATGCTGGGATCGATCGACTGCCTCGACGATCTGCTGCGAGCGGGCATCACGCTGGCCGAGAGCGTGGTTGTGGTCAACAAGGAGCTCTCAAACTCGGCCGAGGAGGATTCCCTCTCCGACTGCAACACCATTGTGGCTGTGCAGAACATGTTCAAGTGAGTGGCACGAACTAATTGTGGATTGTGCATACCCAATCATTCAATGTGTCCCTACATTCCATTGCAGATTCTTTCCCAGCATCAAGAGCATCACTGAGTTGTCGCAGAGCTCGAATATGCGGTTCATGCAGTTCCGGGCCCATGACAAGTACGCCCTGCATCTCAGCAAAATGGAAAAGGTCGGTAACGAGTTGGCCTCGCCTGCCGCCGGCAGATGTCAGTTGGTTAATTTGCCGCTCACTTCTTTGCAGCGCGAGAAGGAGCGCGGATCGCACATATCGTACATGTTCCGGCTGCCGTTTGCGGCGGGTGCTGTGTTTAGTGCCTCCATGCTGGACACGCTGCTGTACCAGGCATTCGTGAAGGATTATGTGATTACGTTTGTGCGCCTCCTGCTGGGCATAGACCAGGCGCCGGGCAGCGGTTTCCTCACCTCGGTGAGTACCAACTGATGGCAGTCTCTAGTGGATGTGGAGATAATGGAATGGAGTGGGTTCCCACAACAGATGCGCATCACCAAGGAGGACATGTGGATACGCACGTACGGACGGCTGTACCAGAAGCTCTGCTCGACCACTTGCGAGATACCGATTGGCATCTACCGCACCCAGGATACCTCGAATGCGGACACGTCACATGTGAGTAACTCGCCGGTCGATAGATGGGGACCCTTCTCGGCCTTCGGCAGGCATTGTGTGCGCTTGCGTCCATCGGTGAGTCCAAAGCAAAAGGCAAACAAACAGCAACAACTCAAGATTCGGCCTACAGGCCATTCCAATCTGCTCCTTCTCCTTCGCTATTCTTCGGGGTTCTTCGGGGGCCAGAGCCCCCCTTGTCACCTTTCTAACCCAACTAACACGCTCGCTCACACAGACACACTCTCTCTCTCTCTCTCTCTCTCACACATAGCCTGTCCACTCTCTCTTGCTCTTGCTCTAACTCTCTATCTCTTTCCAACTCTAACTCTTATTCTGTCTCTTGCTCACCTATTCGCATCTCGAGTTGCGCTTAGGTACACACACACACACACCAAAACAAATCGAAATTAAAATTTAAAACAAAATCGAGCAATTGTAACCCTAATTTGCGTAGTTCCCCCATTGGTTTTTGTTTTTATTTCTTTTTTGTTTCGTTATTCCTTTAAGTTTGTATTTATTTCTCAATCACACGCTTACGCTTATATATTTTCAATATTAACTGCATTTGGGTCTGACGTCTGCTGTCTGCTGTCTGTTCATCCCAAGAAGTTTTTTTGCATTTACCTCCAGTAACGTTAAGTGCAGTGCATAGTCCCCCCATCAGAACTTGTAAAATCTTTCACGCTTACTCTCTCTCTCTCTCTCTCTGTCTTTCTCTCTCTCCAAGCATATAGTGTATAATCTTTGACTCTTCTTTAAGTAAATGAGAGTTCTGGTAAAGACATAGATTTACCCAATAGGCAAGTAACTTATGTGCTTGATTCCACCACCGGAGAGTTAACCCACCATAAAAACAAAAATCATGTTAATTAATTATATTTACAACTGCATAAATGAAGCATCTAGCGTGCTGATTCTGGCTTCAGTTTCCCATTTATTATTTATTTTTACTGCCAGTTCCGTCCATTTGCCGTTTCCTTTCAAAATCATTTTTCATTCGACTGAAACACACACTGAACGGGGGGGAGCCCAATTAGCATATGCAAGAGTTGTGTGAGCATTTCTGATCAGGTCATTGAAATTACCAACAATTACCAACAACACAGTTGAACAGTTTACAAAAAAACCGACAAAAATTGTACCAAAAAATTAAAAGAATTGCGTTTGTATTGGACCTGACGCACACGCACGCAGTGAGTCCCCCGTACCCCCCGAAAAAAATACAAGGAATATCCAAAAAGTAAAACAAATACCAGCTACACTTCATACAATCTCATAACCGTATGCTTGACCCCCCCCATTAGCCACCACCCGGCCACTAATTGTGTGTGTGTGTCTGTGTTTCTGTGTGGGTGTGCGTAGTACTAGCCTTAGTTGTGTGTGCCCCTACGGCACCGTGATGTAGTAGCCATAGTTTCACTTTCTCTCTATTTGTTTCTCTATTTTGTCCTGCGTGACCTGTTGGCTGCTGCATGTTTGCTTATTTCGACTTTAATTTGTTTTTTGTTGCCGTTTGCCGTTTTCCGTTTGCCGTTTCTGTTTCTGGTACCGCTTCCGTTTCCGTTTGTTTGGGCTTGTTTCATGTTGTTTGCATGCCGCTTTTAATTAGCTGATTGCATTTTCTTGTTCTGTTCTGTTCTGTTTTGTTCTGTCGGGCCTTGGCCTGGTCAACCCACTGTCCTTTTTCAAGCATGCAAAGTTCAACAGTGTTCAGGGAGCTCATTAAAAATGCCTGCAAGACGAGTTGGCAGAGTAGAAGAAAGGCAAGCATCTGTGGGATAATTGGCAAAAAAAAGCAACGAGCAATAATTACAATTTCATCAGATTAGAAAATTAAGTTTCCCCCAGTGGAAATGTACGAAATATTCTTAGCAAAGCATCCCGCCTTTCAGCTTGCCTCCGCACTTTTCTGCTACGTGTTTTTCTGTTTTTTTCTCGGCTTCTTGGATCAATAAATCGCGTCAATTAATTTCCTTAAATGTTGTTTTCATCATTTAAAAGTGCTTACATCCCCCTCCCCAGTCACTTCCAGGCATTTATGCGTGTTTCTGTTCGGCAGCATGTTTCTACTCGTACAACCTAAATGTTAACTTTTTTGCTGTGGCCAACACCAACCCAAACACAAACACAACACAACACACAAAGCTAAACCACCGCCATTACACTCTCTCACTAATACACGAACACTGCTCACACGTACAGAGAGCAGTGCGAGCGGTTTGCCGTTTCAATTAAAAACCAATTAAATATGTAAATCATTTTGTGTTTAACCGAACCTCATCGAAAAATTTGCATACACCAAAACAAATCCATGCCCCAGTACGACGAGGAAACTGGCACACCCGACTCCACCAAGGACTCTACGGAAATGCTGCGCGGGGTCACCTACCGACCGCCACCCTCGGCCACAGGTGGGGCCGGGGCCGGGGCCAGCTTTCGGTCCCCGTCGCAGCCGACGCCACAGCAGCAGCGCCAGAGGTCGACCAACTGTCTGGGCGGCTGCTCGGAGCGTAAGGGATCATCTGTAAGTAGCATTCGATTCGAGAGCACTTTCCATTTCACCTCTCCCCCAACTCAATTGAACTCTACTCGACTCTGACCCAGCTCAATGCTTGGTTTCTGTGTGGGTTAATGGTTGTGGCTTAGTGGGTTAGTGATTAATGGTTTCCCCTTTACACTGTTTAAGGGTTAAGGTAGGTCGTCTTGATTCGCCCTCTGGCTTTTGCAGCATGAAGTTTTTATTATCACCAGCATGTCTCACAACAACAACAACAACAACAACTAAAACAACTACCACTGATGGATCCGCGACGTTCTGGATCAACCAGAACTTTATTAAACGAACAAACATTCGCTTGGAGTAAAACGTTTTGGCTTCCTCTTTTAGTACTCCATCAATCTGGCGGACGAGGCCAAGGACAATCATGCACAGCAGATCGAGCGAGCGGAGATTGCCAATCTGGTGAGGAGTCGCATGGAGTCCCTGAACCTGCCCACCATCGACTACGATGATGTGAGCGAGAAGCGGAACCACTTGTCGTATGTGATAATCAATCCGAGCTGTGATCTCAAGCTGGAGGAGGGCGATCTCATGTGAGTTTCAGCAACTGTACAGCAGAGCCACCACTCATCCCTTTTCTTTTTACTTTTCTCTACAGCTACTTGGTGCGGCCGTCGCCGTTCTCGGCACAAAAGACCTTCGAACGGCACAATTCGCGTCGCAAGTCGAACATCTCGTTCTGCTCGAATATCAATCTGGGGGCCACTTGTGGTCCCCAAATGCAAAACATGTCCAACACCGCCGTCGGAGCTGGATCGCGTCGCGGCTCCGGCATCGCCGGTTTGAACCCCATGCAAATGCAGAGCGTTCAGACTTTGGCCGGGTATGGATCATCCTCGCAGCGCTGTACCCCACCGATGCAGCAAATTAAATCGAATTCTCTTTCTCTACCCGACAGTCCGACGGTGGTTGGCAATCAGCGTGGACGGAGTAACTCATTGCGGGTTGGCTATTATTCCTTTATCCAACACACACCCACCCACACACACCACCACCACCACCACCACCACTGCCCTTTCCCACTCTATCTCTATTTGTTTGTTGATTTTATTCACTTTCTTCACGTTGGTTTGTTCAATTTCCGTTGGGAATCACACAAAGGGAACCAGTTGGTTCGTAGCTCACTCTGCGGTCTCCAAGATCAAAGCGTATTATTGCTGTAAATCATCTCTAAAGATCGCTTTATATGGCTTACACACTTTGACCTTTGCCTGTGTGGACCGCAGCGGAGACGCTGTCCTGGGGGAATGTGAATTAGGGCTGCCCATGGGCCGGCAGCTCCAGTTCGCAGTCCGGCAGTACTCACACCTCGTTATCTTAGTTAAGTTCTTAACAAATTGGCTAAAACAAACTAGTAACTACACCAATGCTTGCACTTACACACAAAGCATCAAAATTCTCGTATGAAAGTTAAGCCGCAAAGCACTCGTCCGATCAGCAACAGCAACGCAGCATCAGACGCAGCAGCAGAAGCAGCAACCAAGAGCCAGCCAGAAGCAACAATCCACGCAGAGCACTACGCTGCCTTGACTCAGAATCTATGACTAAAATCAAATCAAAACCAGAGAGTCAAACGTAGAACGAGCAGCAGCAGTGCTGATTCTTGTGTATCCATATTTCCTCCATGGTTTGCCCATTTGTTTGCGTGACTTTGAGTAACTTTAAGTGCAATTTCAACTGAAAGTATAGCCAATTTGTGTATGTGTATTGTGTTGTAATTGAATATTGTTGGTATCACAAGCACCTGCGCTGGGTTTACTCCACACACTAATCCGGACCACTGTTGCGTGGATATTTCCCTGCTCCTTTGTACTTGCAGATCGACAACGATATACTGCTGCGGCGTTCCTCCTCGCTGAGGCAGGGACTGCCCAGTGTTGGCGTCAGTCATGGCCGGCGAAAGTCGTCGCTGGAGGAGATCGGCATCAGTCACTTCACGACCCTGATGCAGGCCACGAACCACAGCAATCCCATCAAGATCTCGCTCAATGGCAGCATTGGCATGGAGGTGAGTTACAGTCACACCAGAAAGTCCCTCCGATGACTAACGCCTGCGGCAGAACCAGATTTCCCTTCAGGTTACACCGCCAGAGGAACCCACGCCCATGCTGGGCGTGCCCTGCATGATGGGTGGCGGTGGAGGAGGCGGCGGCGGCATAAACCCATCCGGAGCTGGATCCTCAACTAGTGGCATGCTGGGTGCGGGCTCCTCGCTGGCCATCAACACGGCAGATCTGGGACCAGGTCCCAGCACCTCATCGGGCGCTGGTAGCTCGCTGCAGCCACAGGACTCGCTTGGCCCACAGTCGTCGCAGGTGTCGTCGCCTCAGCATTTGCAGGGAACGATCGTATGATACAACCTGATGTGGGGGCGCCGTCTCCGCTCCTCCATGTCAAAGAACAAATGGATATAGAACACGGCCCCCACACACAGACACAACCGTAGAGATAAGTTCTGAGAGCAAAAGTATTAGGAGACCAAAAACCAAAAAAAACCAAACCCGCCCAACGTCTGTGGTGTGCGTCCCAGTCCCAGTCCCCCAGTCCCCCAGTCCCAGTTCCTCCCTCGAAGGTTAAGCTATGGATATACATATGTATGATAGATTACGTAGAAGGAAGTCTCTAAGGAACATGCAGTATAAGTATAGGAGTAATTATTACGAGTATTTATGCTTTAAAAACAAACAAAGTTGAGGCAAAAATTGTGTTTTGGGAACAAGATATGTAGTTAAACTATTGGATAGCATACGAATGATGATGATCTAGCTAACTGTACTGTACATACAAAACTATACTATACATAATGTATGAGAGCATACGACCCGACCCTAATCCGTTTCCAGCATATCCGAGGAGCATAGCAAACTCTATGAAATTCTAAGTGTATATACCCTAGGTATAGACTAAACAATTCGGCACCAATTCGGTGCGGCTTAACTTCCTCCTCACACTATCTACTATATATACCACATATATGTAGATACTTATATGAAGGTGCTATCGATGTCATGTACTATACACACAAACACCAAACACCAACCACACTCACACATATAATTATTGTACCCAAGTTTTGTAAAACTCTTTGAATTGTTTTACACAACGGGAAGAAGAAAGTATATATATAAAAAACAGAAATGGAAAAGGTTTTCATAACGTAGTTTGAAACGGGCTTTGGTATACTCAAATGCTTTACAAAAAAAAAAAAAACCAACCAATTTGTATATATATACATAGAAACACTAGAGATATTAAGAACCAACCAAACAGCATTCAAGAGCAAAACTAAAACCACTATTAGAGCATTGGCAAAACGCAAAACGCAAAACGCAAAACGCAAAACAACAGAAGCTAGTACCTAGAGCTTAGAGTTATCTAGAATTAAGAGTAGTTACCGATAACCTATGTTACTCCGACCCATTGAGAGTGTCGGCAACTGTACCAAATTCCAATGAGCTATACACAAACACAAACACTACTATCGATAGATGTAGAGTCTAGACTTAGGAAACGCAACTGCAACTCTATTGAATTTTGAAGACACATCCCAAGTAGAACCGCTGTAGTGGTTGTGTAGCTGGAGAAAACCCAGGTGTACCTACACATACTATCACACACCCAAAAACACACTTGAAAATGTTAGTTAAAGCACAACAAAAAGCAGTTTTATAAGGAAATTTTACTCAACTCAAATGAGGAAGGATTGAAATGCATTCCAGTGTCTCAAACGCAAGCATAGTTTAAGCTACATATATCTATGCCCCTAATCTCACAACCAGATACTTATTTACATGCATAGATCTGTACAAACACTCATACATACATCATGTCCTTAGGTGATTGTGTGTAACTGTGTACCAACTAAGTAGCACAAACATAGATCGAACCGATGTCTCAATGTACAAACAAAAGATAGAATACTAAACCGCATCCTGGCATTGGCGGTATCATTAGAGTTAGAGAATATAAACTTGCTGTAATATTTATCGATGCTCTTTAAGGCATGCCGAACAGAATTCACAATAAACTCAAAATATAGTTGGAAACGCTGCTGTGGAGTGTGAACTCCAAAGAGGTTTAAGTATCCATCAGTTTAGTTAGGCAAAGTTGAGGATTTATTTTTATTTCTAGACCCACATGCGGGTGCTTACTTTTATTTTGTATTAAGTTTTCAGTGTTGATTTACATAAAATGGCACACAGGCATTCCTAGTTAGTACATTTAATTTAGTTAGCGTTTCTTAACTCTTTGTTTTGTTTGTATTTTCTTTGTGTTTGTGCTTCTCTGTATACGTATCGAAAAATAATTTGTCAATTTAGAGTTGACTCTTGACCTTGACTCAGTAGCCGGGATAGGGCGATGGCTGCTGACTGCAGCCGGTAGAGGCGCTGGTGCACTTGCAGCTCTTGCCCGAGGGAGCCTTGCGGTTCACCAGACAGAGTCGGGCGTCTGTGCAGCCTCCATTGTTGATCTGACAGGGGCTCTGGTACTGTGGACAGTTCTGCTCGACGACCGTCATGCCGTACATCTTGTGGCTGCCAAAGAATGGGGTCTGAATGGGCTTCTGGCGGGTTCCCAGGGCGTCAACGCTCTCCAGTTTTTTGCTGGAAAGTATATCAATCAATTGAAGGAAGAGCGATAAGGCTAAGTGCTGCTCACGTGGTCCAGTCGGTCCAGTAAAACTGATCGTGGGTAAAGGTGAGCCCGAATGGATAGGACAGCTCGTTGGAAATGGTGCGGGTCTGGCGGTTCTGTGGATGAATGCACTCCACCTTCTTGGTTCCCGCATCCGCGTAGCACAACTCGCCGCTGTTCTCCAGCACCACCAGAGAGTTGGGCAGGGTGACGGCGTCCTTGCCCAGCAGCAGTTCGCGTCCAGTGCCGTCCAAGTCGGAGAACTCAATCTTGGGCGAGGAGCGATCCCAGTCCGACCAGAAAAGCTTTCTGTGAATCGAGAAAAGAGTCACAAATGCTGAGCTTCGTGCATGTGTCGACTGTTCTTACTCTCTGTAGGGATCCACGGCAATGCCGCGAGGATTCACCAGCTGCTTGCTGATAACCACCGCACGCAGCGTGGGATCGTCCAGGCTGGCCACCTCAATTGTGTCCTTGACGGAGTCAGTCCAGTAGAGCCGACGGGAAATCACATCAATTGCAATGCCCTCGGGCGACTCAATGTCTAAGCGATACGGGGAAAGCAAACATTAGGCAGAGCTCCTTCTCCTCCAGAGACCTGGACCTAAGCCAGCTTACCCGTGGTAATGAAGGGACGGGCGTCGGTGCCATCGTACTTGGCACTCACAATCTTCTTGGCCGAGATGTCGCCCCAGTAGACGCGACCCTCCACGCAGTCCTTGTCCAGGCCGATGGCCATCGAGGCCACCGAAATGGGCAGAACATTGCGTCCGTTGAGCGGAACTCGGACAATGACCACGCCCTGGCTGACAATGAGAAAGTCCGAGTCATGCTGCTGCCGCTCGAAGCACACGGAGCCGTTTCCATAGAAACCTGCAAGGAGAAAGGTTAACTAAAAGTAAGTACGAGTAGGCTCTGCCAATTCCAGTTCATTCAGTCTCCATTCTCGACTCGGCATTCTCATATTTTTCTTTTGGCTAAACCCAACAAATTTCCAGTTTCATTTTCGAATCAACCCAAGAGCCCCAAACATGCGTATTGTTCAGAAAATGCTCACGAAGATGTCGCGCCTGTCGGGCAGCAACTCCTTGCGATGTGCAACGATGCGGCATCAGATCGTCGCCAGGCTGAAGCGCCGACCGACTGTGGCAGACCGTCGCTTTATGCAGAACATGAACGAAGAAGTGAAGAAGCCAGGATCGGCCCTGTTGTCGATGCGTGAGTTCTTCATGCATCCCCAGACATGGGACAGGAATAATGGCTACTTTAACGTGGTGCTGGCCCTGTCCATATTCGGCTTTTGCTTCTTCAACTCGTGCTGTCCCAGCGAGGAGAAGGTCGTCGCAACTGACAAGCTGCCAGTCCCGTCCAAGAAGTGAAGACTCACTCACCTTGATTGCACGCGCAGACCAGGCCGGAGTTGGTCGAGTGGCACTTGGCGTTCATGTCGCAGAGCGTGGGGTTGTTGAGGCAATTCTGCTCCTCGATACACACGTAGCCATCGCCATGGTAGCCGGCGATGCACTGGCACTCGTAATTGGCGGGATCCCTGAAAGCAGAGAATATAAATAAAATATTATAATGAACCTCCTCCATTCTCCTGCTGTGGCAGTGAACTTACTCTGTTGGCTCACAGGTGGCATGAATGCCGCAGGTATTCCTCACATTGCAGGGCGTGGGTTTGCTGAGGCAACCCACCAGAGCATCACCCTGATAGCCCTCGAGGCAGTCGCAGTACTGAACGCTCTGCACCGAGTCCCATTTGCAGATGGCATTGGAGCCGCAGAAGACGGTGCCGCAACGGCCGGCCGGCACGCACCTGTCGCTCACATCCCGCTCGTAGTCCTCCTGGCACTGGCACACACCGGAATCACAGAAGGCGTTCTCCCCGCAATGCTCCGCGGCCTCACACTCCGGTGCCAGCTGGCAGCGGTAACCATCGCCCTCGTAGCCGCGCTCGCACACGCACTCGGATTTGCCTTCTTGATCGTTGTAGGTGCACGTGGCATGAGCGTCGCAGATCTCGGGTTTCTACAAGCAGGTCAGGATATATACCAAAAACTGTTGGGTAGAGGTTCGTGTTGTGTCAGTACTTACAATCGCGCAGGAATCATCGATGGGCTCACAAGCATAGCCGTCGCCGCTGAAGCCCGCGTTGCAGGTGCAAATGTGACGCAGCTCGTGATCGTACCAGTCGCAAGTTGCATTAATATGGCAGTTGGCATCCACGTCGCAAGGAACTACAAGAGGTGAGTCAATAAGTGACCCAAAATCAAGTTGCTCCTGCACTCACCCAAGTCTCCATTCTTCTCCAAATCGGTATCCAGCGTGTAGCGACAAATGTGACCATCGTCGGTGATTTGGTAGCCCTCCGGGCAGCGACAGTTGCCGAGAAAGTCGCACGAGGGATCCACCTCCGCATCGAGCAGAATGGGAACGCAGCGTCCGCGCTCCCAGGCCTCGTCATGGCCGCACAGATTGGAGCACTGGTAACCATCGCCAGTGAAGCTTTCGCGGCATGTGCAGCGTCCCTCATAGCAGTCGGCATCGGGAGAGCAGCGCTGGAGGAACGAGATTCACAGAGATAAGATTTATGCAGAGAATGACTGAATGGCCTTGAAATGGTCCTTGCACTCACATAACACTCATCCGATTGTGCGTGGCCCTGTTCCTCCTCACTTGCATTGGGATAGGGATAGGGATACTGGTTGGCATCGGAATTGGCATCTGGATTTGCATTGCGATCAGACTCGTTCTCATTCTCAGTCTCATTCTCGGAGCTTGGTTCATCGACTGCCACCTGGTTGGCTGGAGTGGAGTACTCAATGTTGTCGGCGGTGTTGTCGCCAGCTCTGTCGCTCTCACTGCTGTTGGACAGGCATCTGTAGCCGTTACCCTGGAATCCCTCGGAGCAGAAGCAAGTGAATCCGCCCTCGTTGTTCTCGCAGAGAGCATTCTCATCGCACACATGGGTGCCCAGGGCGCACTCATCCACATCCACACAGACCTCGAGGCCGCGCTCGTCCAGCTGGGCGGCATAGCCGTGGCGACAGTCGCAGCGGTAGGTGTCCTCATACGGCACACAGACGGAGTTCTCCACGCACTGGCCAGTGCCGTCGGTGCAGGCATTGGACTCGGCATCCACACCGATCTTGCTCATGGCGCTGATGCGCAGCGCCTGGTCACGCTCCACAAAGTCCAGGGCGATCTTGGAGACCTTCTGCATGACGCTGGTGTCGGATGGATCGGCCTCGTCGTCGCGCAGGCAGCTCTGGTACAGAATGCGCTGGTCCACCTGGAAGCTGATCACACGCTGCTCCTCCACAAGCTCCAGCTGATGCGTCTGCACGGACTGCAGCTCCCCGGGCCGCACGAAGCGATACTCATCGATGTAGTCGGGCAGGTGGAGTGTGGCACCCGACTGAACGGTTGGCACCTCGCCGTAGATTTCGATTTTGACGGCCAGCTGGTCCCAGTAGTTGAGGCCCTGGAAGGTCTGATTCACGTGCAGCGTCTCCCCCGACTCGAACTGGATGCGCGAGATGTGCTCGTAGTCGCCGCCCGTCAGCTGGTAGCCATTCGAGGCTCCATTCACCGACTTGGCGAACAGCCAGGGCACGGTCGTGAGCAGCGGCAGGATCAGCCGGATCTGGGCACCCTGCTCCACGCTCAGTGGGTTGATGGTCGTGTAGGATCTGGCATCGGTGGTCACAACGTACGACTGCAGCTTGGCCTGCTCGTCCACCGGGCGGCCGTTCAGCTCACCCGCCAGCGTGCCCGTCACACGAATGGGCAGATCATTGGCCAGACAAGCCTTGCCGTTGCCGTAGAATCCCGGTTCGCAGACGCAGCAGTAGCCCTCGGCCTTGTCGTGACACTGCGCCTTGTCGTGGCACTGATGTCCATTCGCCTGGCAGCTTTGCGCCAGAGCTGGCGACTCTGTCCAAGTCTCTGCATTGTCGGGGATGCGCACGTTCTGCTGCGCCGCCACTGGAGCCACCTCGAACAGCCAGACACCGGACACACCCAGGTTCGTGCTCTCGCTAAGGAAACGGGCCTGAAAGAGGTACAAGAAATCAATTGGAGATCCCCCCATTGTGGTATCTCTCTCTCTCTCTGGCACTTACATTCGCCGATCCAGATCCATTCAAGCTGTAGTAACGTCCGTCCTCAGCCACGAAACCAGCCTGAGCGCGAATGTCGGGCAGGCCAAGGCCCAAGGACTCGCCCTGGAGCCAGTTGAGGCCGCCCTCTGGGTAGATGAACTGCACAAAGGTCTGCAGTTCGTTGGCAATCAGCGCCACTTGGAACGTGTTCACCTTGTCCGTTTTGGAGTCGAAGTAGCCGACGTTGTGCCAGGTGGCCACAACCACTTGTTGCGCCTCGAATGCGGCCTGTTCGCTGAAGGCGTAGCGCACCAGCTGCGAAGCTCTGTCCAGGGTGGCTGGATCCTTGGTCTGGAATAGCGAGATGGAGGTCTCATCCCCGCTGTTCGATGTATCCACGTTCGAGTAGAAGGCGGCTATCGAGGGATACTCCAGGGGGAAGGGCTGATTCAAGTACTCGGGGAATTCCACGTTGAACGTCAGGATGCCATTGGTATTGATCTGTGTGAAGGGAAAACGGAGACAAGCCCAAAGGGAAATTAGGAAGTGCGCCTCAGGGATCACAGTCAGTTCAAGTGGAAGTACTTGGCATTGCCATATGGCACTTCAAAGAGGCATTCTAGAACCCCTCCGTGAAGTGCTAACGGGCCACTTAACTCCAGAATGGGAGTTCTCATGGCGGGAAGCAAGCAGCAACAAACCATTAACAAGGCGGCAAATGATCATTTGAAGGGATGCGATAAGTGATCTCAGACGGGACTGGGACTGTCTAACTAATTGACTCCCACGCCAGAAGCAGCAACCACATCCGCAATCCTCTGGCTGCAATTAGTTCGATCTAGTTTCTCCCCCTACAGCCCCAACTCCAGCATATCCACAGCGATGCATTCCTTCTACATAAACAACAATTTTTGTGTGTTTGAGCAGAAAGAAATTTGAATTGGAATTGGAATTGGAATTGGAGCACAGGTGTTCGAAATGTGGCAGCACTGACCCAAGCATAAATCTGACTGCACCTCCAGGATAGCCGGCACCACGGGCGCACCTCAGCTCCGCGGGCCGTTGGCATGTTGCAATGTGTCTGCTGCACTGGCAAATGGTTGCCAAACCAAAGCATCTGCCGGGGTGCTAGGAATTTCTTGGCATCTTTTGGCAGGTGATTTGTGTGGCCTTGTTTGTTGTTTCTACGCAATTTGGTTAATGTTAAGAGTCTGTTTGTTAAGAGTTTTGTTTGTAGTTCCATTGGATTATCCACGGACAGACAGTTTGCACGGTATATTTAACCATTCTTCGGGCTGTTGAGGCTTTTGTGTGCAATGAAAGCAAATGCTTATCAGAAAGTATATATGCGAGTTCCCCCATGGGTATAGTACTTTTTGTGTGAACTCTCGAAAGTATCTAACCTCTCTCCCGGTTATTCACACGATAATTGACGATGACGGAATCTATTAATATAATTTTGGAATGGAGCAGCGCTTTGAAGCGGCTGTCGGGCACTTCTTTGCGAGACTACTCCCGCCCGGTTGGAATTCCAACTGAAATTTATGTTTAGTATCTGTGGCCTATGGCCATAATAAAACGCACCGATTCCGATTCTGTGCCGCGTGCTATTTTTCTACGTCAGACACATAAATTCAGTTAATTAACTAACAAATACAAAGCAACACAGACAAAGACAAAAGACAAATACGCTACAAAAATAGGCGACACTCTCGCACTCTCGACAGGCGCTGGCGGAGAACTCATAACTCTCGATGCCAAATGCTGAAACACTCAGAACCAAAATGCTCAGGCAACTTTGGCAGATGGCCAAGGCGGCACAGCGACATCACACATCACATCAGCTCACATCAATGGGTTCTCGTTTTGCCTAGGCTTTTGCCCGCCATCCATGGATATGGACCACCCTCAAGAGCGTGTAAATTGTACATGTGCTCAAAGACTGCGGCTACCTAGAGCTAGAGCATCGAAATATATGTTGATTTTGACACTCGTGGCTGCTGCTGCTGCTGCTGCTGCTGCTGCTGCTGTGTGTGGTGTGGAAATCGGTGTCCGTCCTGTCATGTTTTGCCGAAAATTAATGTCGTCTATAAATAAAATACTCGGAACACAACAAACACATGCTCCGTCAGCCGAAATAGAATGTCTTCCACACCGACTTTAAGCTGGAAACTATTGAACTGTTGTGTACGACTGAGAGTATGTGCATAATGATTGAGCGAACGAACACGTTTATCAGCGATCGGGGTGGGGAATGCCTTATCGTCTGCTGCAAAAATTCATTCAGTGCAGTGCACAATTTTCAAGCTACTTTGTAGCGTGTAGCCTGAATAACTGAAACTGGAAATGGCTCCCCACTGAACAAACTTTTACTCACATAGAGCTGCTCGTACTGCTCGCCATAGAAGCTGATTGGCTGCTCCAATTGCAGGACGGTGCGTTCGCTGTCGCCCTTGGGCAGGAACTGGATGCTGCCCGATGCGGATCCATCGTCGACGAACTCGTACAGCTCATTGGAGCGCAGGCTGTCCAGATAGTGCTCGAACTGTCCGCTGACCAGGATGGGGCTGCAGCACACCACCGCCAGCAGCAGCAGCAGCCAGGAACACAGTTTGTTGCTTAAGTACATCATTTGGGATTATTTGTATGTGTTTTTTTGTGGATTAAGTACGCGTTTCTCGATTTTGATATTTCAAAATTTCGCCAAAGGCATTTTCACGCGAACACACGGAACACAGCACACACCGAACCGAGATGGTACGAGACGAATACTTGAAACACTTTTGCTTTCCGCCCCAAGTTTGATCCAAAAATATAGAGAATTTATAAATAAAGTGCCACTGGCCGCACCGCACTATCTGCGCATAGCAATTTCTATATGCACGGGCTATGGTTTATGGTCTTTGGTCTCTGTCTGTCTGAATTTTTGGAACTGGTCGCTCCAAGTGGCGACTGTCTCCTGCGATTCCTTCTGCTTCTTTCTTGCCTTCTTGTGGCTTTCGGTTCCTCTACACGCGAGACCGAACGAACCGCACGCTTTGACAACAGAATTTCGATTGACTCGCCGCTGCCGCCCTGTGGATTCTTCGGGTCGGGTCGGTGCTCGTCTAACCGTTACATGCGCCACGCCACGGCACGGCACTCCCTGTGCTGTTTTGCTGTCTGGCTGTATGCGTGCGTTTCCCTGTGTGTGGAGTGGATGCCACATAGCGTGAACGTTGCAGGCTGCCTGGAGTCTGCTCCAATTGCCTTGGGGCCGTATGCTTCGGGCTAGCTGTTGCAGTTCGAATAAAATCCACAAATGCCAGAAGATGATTACAATGATTTGATTACGCTGCATTACAAACAGAAAAAGAAACATTCGCATTCGCAATTGAATTATTTATTATTTATATTGGAAGATCATTTTGGAAATAAGGTTTATTTTTTGTGATTTTAGCGCCAGCTCGCCGGGCCATTCGTCTGGATGTTTAGAGCTGTAATGGATGCCCTCCGCCGACTGTCTCTGCACTTGCAACTGATGCCAGGCAGTGATCAGGGATTCCTTTTTGCCGCAGCATCTGTGTATACTGTCAAGCGATTCACTGAGAAGGTAAGGTGTATTACATTGACTCTGCCAGCTGCTCTCTGCTTACCTATGTACATATGTTCGTGATTGTATTTTCAGAGAATCAAAACGCTCTTCGACGTCATGGAGTTGGAGGACGAAGATACACAAAGAGCCGATTTAGCACTATTTTACGATATCGGTATCGTATACCCAAATTGAGCTCAACTATGTGGTCGTCCAGCTGGAGAGCGGAATGCCCTGTGATTGCAGCCTTCTCCCGCAGAGGATCAAGGAAGGCTGGCTGGCTACGAAGTGGCTGGATTCCACTCTGAGAGTTAGACATAATTATTAACATAAGCATACAAAACGTACACAAATGTACATGCACACATATGTAAATGGCCATTCTGTAAACATATTTAATCCGCAATAAAAAGCGTTGCATACTTCTGGGGTGATGTGCTCGCATTTTAGCCAAATTTATGAAGTATCTTTTGGGGGTTGATTTGGTTCGAAACCTAGCTATGTCATTTTAGTTCCAGAAGTGGCCGTTGTTGTAGTGGGGGCGCTACTGTGAACACGACGTGGTTGTTGTACAACAAACATTTTCTTGTTGTACAACAACAACAAAAACAACTTTTTTTGTACAACAACAACAACCACATAAGGGACAACAACAACAGGATATTTGTTTTGTTGTTTTCTCCTTCGTTTGTGGGCTGATCAGGACATGCGACGCCTCCTCGTGATCGGGACAATGTCGCGGATCCTTTGCAATCACTTCGGGTTCAAGGACATGAAGGATAATGCCTTTTTACCGTTGTATTTAAATGGAACCCTTGCAACGCTATAGCTCGGCTGTTTCCTGTCGTATCAGGACATGCGACGCCTCCTCGTAAACGGGACAATGTCCCGGATCCTTTGCAATCACTTCGGGTGCAAGGACTTTGAGGATAACGCCATTGTCCGTTATTTGTAAGTGGAATCCTTACAACGCCATAACTCGGCTGTTTTCTGTCGTATCAAGACATGCCACGCCTCCTCGTAATCGGGAGCATCTCCTGTACCGTTTTCATCCGTCAAGGACCTCAAGGACTGCAGGATATGGCTGTTTGGCGCTATTTTGTAATACGAGTTTAGCCGCCTGAACGTATGCTATATTTTTCTCAATCAAAGCAGCCCCGAAAAGATACTTCATAAATTTGAAATAAATATAATCATAGCTCCCCGAAAGTATGCTATGTTTTTATTTGTAACAAATATTGTATGTTTACAGAATGGTAAATAAGGTACGTCTGTGTATGCTAATGTTAACCTGCGCCTTATTCCGATTCAGTTTCACCATCATAATTCAGCCACTTCGATGGGGAATCGGCACTACTGATTGCAGCAAAAGTAGGAGCCGCCAGCATTCCTCGATCTTCTGTGGGAAGGAGGACATCCGTACATCGGAGAGCTGCGATCCTCAACCTCCATCTTTATGATGTGGCAAAGCGCTTCGATTCCCTGAAAGATATACAAAATAGTAATATATATTAGTGATAAGAGAGCAACAATGTATTAAATACTTTTTACCCATTAAATGATGGTTGTTGGTCTTATTTGGCTGATCTGTGGATGGGGTTGCGCCTAGCCAGTTACGGCGTTCCAATTCCTACTAAATGAACTTCAGGCGGCACGTGCCGCTTGATTGCTCTTGCCCCCCAAATTCTCATCTCCATTCGAACGAAAGACATAGAATCCACACCCAATGCTTACCCCAATCCACAGCTCTGTTGTGCGAGTCAAAAATAAACATACGGGGACTTCTGAGCCAGAGGCAGCGACGCAACGTCTGCGCCTTGACTGATGACGATCGTCTGTTGCCCCGAGGAGCTGAATCTCGAACTGGAACTGGAACTGGGGCTGGGGCTGGAGTGCAGGGAGCGGCAGTTTGACTATTTATGATGCATTTCTCGGTTAATTAGTTGCAGCTGAACGCAGACAGAATGGCCACGGGATGTACGGGGGATGGGATGGCATGGAATGAGGCAATACTTCCGCATGCATTTGTAAGGCATCAGCGCCATCGTCATTGCCGTGGGCATGTCCAACAAGAAGAAAGTGCGTGTTTCGGCGCTCTCCATCATATTTTTTGCTATATTTGGAAGCGTTGAACATTATGCCCCGCTTGATCGGTGATGGATGCCCTCGCCTTTTCATTTATCATTTATCTTCGAGTGCTGCCGCAGGGGCTAATGGAAGTGAAATGCGTTCCAGGAACTGGAGCGGAACGGCGACACAGCCACTGGCACTGCACCCGTGATGCACTCTCCATACATCAAACATATGACCAAATGATGCAGCACTTTTGCTTGGAGTAATTAAACACGTAAATTAAGCCACAAATTAAAAACCATCAAATGTTACGCCAAATTAGCCCGATGCCTTCCTTCCATTCTGAACCATAAAAGCCACCCCCCGTCCGACTCATTGCCACACAAAGCGAATCGGAACATGAGACTGCAGCGGGTGGACGTCCGCGCACTGTGGCTGCTTCTCTTTTGCGGTTGGGCTATGGCCAAGTCTGTCCCAGATCTGGACGAGGGTTGCGAACTCAACTCCGATACAATGGTGAATAAACTTTAAGATGACACGTGGGAAGGGGACTTGCAAGTGGATAAAGCCATTCTTCCTCACTTACCCTTGCAGCACGACTTTTGCTGTGATCTGCACGACGAGAGTCCCCACTTCAGCGACTGCCAGATGGAGTGGCACGAGAAGATTCACTACACAACAGAGCAGGAGGAGCAGACCTACATGTTTGTGAGTACAGCCAGCCGATCAATTTGACCTCAGCACCTCTCTGACCTCTCTTCGGGCAGTGCACCGCCGAGTGCACTTTCAATGGCACCGATCGATTCTTGGGCAGCAATCGACAGTCGCTGGATCTCGCAGCGGTGCGGGAGCATTTGGAGAGCGAACTGGCAAACGATGCGGACGAGGAACTGATGTATCGAACCTATATCCAGTGCGATAAGCACGGTGGGTTGCCAATGGCTACAGCTGGTCTGATTCGCTGATCGATTTCCCTTGCAGCTCTCTCGCTGCTGCCCCACAAGGGCGTCAAGTCGCTGGCCAAGCGCATGGCTCGCTTTGGTTGCCATCCCTATGCTGGGCTTGTCATGGAGTGCGTGGCCAACGAGATGATCCTCAACTGCCCGGCCAAGCGCTTCCATCAGACGCCGCAGTGCGTGGAGACCCGCAACCAGCTGCGCCAATGCCAGCAGCTGGTACCTCAAGTACAGATCCTAAAGTGATCCGGAATGAAATAAACAGAGGAACATTGCAAGATGTACGTGTTCAGCTTACAACATTTATTTCCTACTCGTCAACCTATGTTCGACTTCCTTCAGTGCTAGCACGACTTGACCAGGTCCCCATCTAGTCGCAGCGTCGCACACAGCTTCAGTTGCTTGTCGAATCTTTTGTTGAACTTCTTTGCCTGTTTGTCGCTCAGCTCGTCCACAGCCACGTGCTTGGAGTACTTTTTCAGCAGCTTCTTTTTCAGCTTCTCCAGAAAGATGCCGTCGGCCTGCTTGGACACAATCTTGGCCAGCTGAGTGGGCCAATCAAAGTCGCTGCTACTGCCTTCGGATGCCTCGGGAGCGGCTTCCTCTTCTGGTTCGACTGCCACCTTTGACTTCTTCTTGGGAGGCGCCTCTGCCTCCGCCTCAGCCTCCGACTCCACCTCAGTCGTGCCGTTCTTCTTCTCGGCCTTGCCATTCTGAGACGCCTCCTTGGCTGCCTTGGCCCTGGCCAGTTCCTCCTGCTTGGCCTCCTTCATCTTGTTGAGCTCCTTCTCAAGTATGTCCCACACCTGGGTGGCCTGCTGTCGGGGCATGCGCATGCAGTTGCCCACAAAGTTCTCGAACTTTGCCTTCTTTCGGGGCACATTGTCGACGCTCTGCAGCCGCTGGAAGGCGGTGCGCAGCGCTGGCGTCAGGTTGTACTCGCTGCTGTCGAGAATGGCGCGTATGATGTCCATCCAGCTCTCCTGTTTCTGGGCATTCTTGTTGCGCGACTCCTTGGCCACAAAACTCTGATTTTGGTTGGCGTACTTCTGGGCCTCTGAGATGCATTTCGTGTGGGCAACGTACTCCTCGCCGTAAAAGTCTTTGAGGCAGTCCATGCAGGAAACGTTCTTGTCTTTGCCGCGACAACGCGTCTGGTAGTGCTTCTCCACCGACGGCTTCTTCACGGACTCGCCGCATATGTTGCACGTGAAGAATACCATTTCCAGGAGGGTTTTCCTTGTTAATTTTTTGAGGAAATACGAATAAATTTAGCGCCGGCACAAGCCAAACAAACGCACGTGGAGAAGAGTGTGACCGCTGTTCAGTTTACCAGTAACACCGCGGAGTTATCGATCAAGTATACCGACAGACCCTCGGAAATATACCGAAATATGCATCATTTCCAGGGCTGCAACGTGTGCGCCAAGTTTGAAATCATGTAGAATTGTCATCGAAGTACTGTCACTTTAAGTACTGCACAAATTGTACGTTCACTCTTCTTCCGCCAGATGCCGCTGTGTCGAAAGCATTTCTGTGTAGTTGCCGTATTGCAAGATGAATTCAAATTTACTGGATTTTGTTTTTATTGTTGAGAATCATTTCTTATATAGAATGCAACTACTCATATGCACATGTAACAAAAAAAAAATTATTTTCATTGAAAATGCAGTTTTGTCAAACATTCTCGGTCCGTTAAACATGCAAACAATAATTCGACATTGGACAACAGCTGTTCATCGAGTAACAACACGCGACGACCGGCCACACCGTCAGAGTTCCGCGGGGCAAACGAAATACGAATGATTTTGTTGAAATTAGCGAGGACCCCGCTTTATGGAACACTACGAAAACTGAAGATGAGCAGCTCTGTGGCTGCCATTGCCTCGGCCACGGATCCGTTGACGGGGCCCAAGTACGAGCGAGAGCCAAATGTGCTGCGCAAGAAGCTGGCTTCGGTGGTGCCCGGCACGGTGAGCCTCCAGGTGCTCGGAGCTGGAGCCAATGGCTCCCCCAGTGCCGTCTATCTGTTCACGGACCAGTCCCGTTACCTGTTCAACTGCGGCGAAGGCACCCAGCGGCTGGCACACGAGTACAAGACGCGTCTGTCGCGCCTGGAGCAAATCTTCGTGACGCGCAACACGTGGGCGGCTGTGGGCGGACTGCCTGGCCTGGCGCTGACTATTCAGGATGCTGGCGTGCGCAGCGTGGGCCTGCACGGGCCGTCGCATCTCGCCACCATGCTGCAGTCTATGCGGCGCTTCGTTGTGCTGAAGAATCTGCAAATGCAAACGGTTGACTGCACCGCCGGCGGCTGCTTTGAGGACTCCATTCTGAAGGTGACTTCGCTGCCGCTGGAGAGCGTGGAGGATCCGGAGAAGGTGGTGATCAACTACATCTGCCAACTGAAGCCCCGTCCGGGTGCCCTCAACTTGGTCAAGTGTGTGGAGAAGGGCGTGCCGCCGGGTCCGCTTCTGGGGCAGCTAAAGAACGGCCACGACATCACGCTGCCCGATGGCAAGACGGTTCGCTCCGTGGATGTCACGGAGCCCGGCGAAACGGCGCTCTCCTTTGTGTTCCTAGATGTGCCCAGTGAGCACTACCTTGGCGGACTGCTTACCCATGCCAAGACCATCAAAGATCTGGGCGAACAGCAGCTCACGGAGGTGGCATTGGTGGTGCACTTTACTCCGCATGAAATCACCTGCTGTCCGGGCTATCAGAGCTTTTTGCGGAGCAATTTCTCGCCTGGCACGCAGCACATTTACCTGAATTCCCCACACAACCAATTCTCGGGTTACGCGGCTGCCCACCGCATTCAGCATCAGCTGCACCAGCTGGCGCCTCAGATATTTCCACTCCTCAGGGAACAGCTGCCCTGCCAGAGTCAGAACCTTAGCCATAACCTGAAGAAAACCAAGCTGGATGAGGCAGACCCCGATGCAGAGGCGGATGCAGGCACGGAAACGGAACAGGGCGTGGTGTCCATGACGAGCTTCCATCTGCGTCCCAAGAAAGGTGAGTACCACTGCAGATATCCATTCTGATCCACTGATCCACTGATCTCACTTGCATTTCGCATAGGTCTCGACCAAACCCTGGCAGCCAAGCTTACGCCAGAGGAGTATGTCAAGGAGACGCATGCCGTGCCCGGCTTCACGGAGCTGCTGGCCAAGCTGAAGGCCCAGACTGACTTCCCAGCGGTATCGCCAGCCAGCAGCTACCCAAGAATCATCTTCCTGGGCACGGGCTCCTGCATTCCCAACAAGACGCGCAACGTCAGCTCCATTCTGATCCAGACTGCGGCAGAGGCGTTCATGCTGCTCGACTGCGGAGAGGGAACGTACGGACAGATTGTTCGGCTCTATGGCAGCACAAAAGCCGCAGAGGTGCTGCGGCAGCTGCAGGCTGTGTACGTGTCTCACCTGCACGCGGATCATCACATTGGACTGATTGGGTTGCTGAGGGAGCGCAGGCAGCTGTCCCCGATGGCTCCGCCGCTTCTCCTGTTAGCTCCACGGCAGATCGAGCCATGGCTGCAGTTCTACCATCGCCAGATCGAGGAGATTGAGGATGCGTACACTTTGATGGGCAACGGAGAGCTCTTGGCCAGCCCCCTGACAGGAGAGGCAGTGGAACCGTTGGGCATAACTGCGATTGCCACCTGTCTGGTCAGGCACTGCACCAATTCCTTTGGCGTGAGCCTCACCCTGAAGGCAAAACACGAGGGAGAGCCCATCAAGATCACTTACAGCGGCGACACCATGCCTTGCCTGGACCTCATCGAGCTGGGACGCAACTCCACAGTTCTCATTCACGAGGCCACCATGGAGGACGATCTGGAGGAGGAGGCGCGCATCAAGACGCACAGCACCATCTCCCAGGCCATCCAGCAGGGACGCAACATGGGAGCCAAGCACACAATTCTCACCCATTTCTCGCAGCGTTACGCCAAGTGCCCGCGCCTGCCCAGTGTGGAGGATATGCAACAGGTGGCCATCGCCTTCGATAACATGCAGGTGACTGTGGAGGATCTGCAGGACTATCACAAGCTCTATCCCGCGCTACTGGCCATGTATGCGGAATATACCGAGGAGCTGGAACAGCGGGCGGTCAAGCGAGAGCTGAAGCAGGAGCGAAAGCGAAAGTTGGCCCAAACGTGACGTGGCCAGCAGCCAGAAGGATGCATGTAGTTACCGGTCTACAGTTTAACTTATGTTAAGAAAGGAATGTCAGTCAAATCCCAAATGAAGAATATATAATTTGTATACACTCAGAAACTGTTTTGGATATTTGTACCTAGTGTAGAGAAGTTACACAAATTAGTTAAAGTTGCTAAAAACAGGCGAAGATAACATTAACTTAGCTGCTTGACTGATTCTATAGTTTGTTTGCGTCGTAAAAGATATAATTATCTGGAACCCCATCCGCAGGCATCCCTCTTGCTTTTCACTTAATTCTATTCCATCAATTGAGACATTTACTTTATCACAAACAAAATATTAAATTCTCGTATAACTCTTTCGTTTTTTTGTTTATTTATTTATGTACTAAATACGCTTGCAACAGTGTCTGTGTAATAAACGCTCGTTTTGTAATGATTAAACTAAATGATTAAATCTGTTGAATCGGCTTGAGAATATTTTGGTTTGCTACTTGACTCACTTTTGACTCCGACTCAACAGAGGCACTTGGTTCATAGCATATTGCAGCTTTGTGTTTGTTTCATTTTCCATCCTTCATTTAATTAATTTAGTTTAACTTCATTTTTAGTCATTAAACTTTCAACTTTAAGGCACTTGTTTTTTTTTTGTAGTTCAACGGTTCTCCATCATTGTGTTCTGGTTTTCTTTTTTGGAAATTATCTGTGACTAGTTAAAATTAGTAGGTAAACGACAAGGGTACATATGCATGTATGATCTTAATTTAGTTCTCTTTGATATTGGGATTTGTTGGGAGAGAGTGGGGGTGCTGGTGGCGTTGGTGTGCTGTCAGGGTTCTCTAGTTAATATTGTGTGTGGTGTGGTGTGGTGTGGTGTGTTGTGTTCGAGTATAAATAAACATAATTCCAACATTGATAAAATTAATGCTCTGTTTAAAAATAAATAAATAGTTTTACGTTACGGCAAACGCAAAGCAAGCAGGAGAACAGTATTAGGGAAATAAGAAGAATTCAACAACAACATAAAGTAATTCAGTTAAATCAAATCATAATTAATCTTAGAACTTCCTCCGTGTGTCCAGCTGCCCTGCCCTGCCCTGGCCTGGCCTGGCCTGGCTTCGGTTATTCCACATTACTCCCTCGGTATTAGACTACAAATTCATTAAGATTAGAGGTGAACGATTTTTTTTTGTTTGGGTATTTTGGTACTCGTATTCGGGTGTCCCACACCCGTCTCGATGGCTCCGCCTTAGGCGCGTTCCACATAGTTGCCGGGGAATGTGCCAAAGCAGCCGGTGCGCTGCGAGGTGCCCACGAACCATCCGTCGTCGCACTTCTCCAGCACATGCACCAGATCCCCCTCCAGCAGCTCCAGCTCATCGGAGTTCTGCGGCCGGTACTTGTACAGCGCGCGATAACTAAAAGGCAAAGGAATAGCTTGGATTAGTTGAGCTCCGGGAAGAGGTTAGGCGCAAGTTGCACTCACGCCAGTGGCTCCGAGCTGGTGTCCACGTGGAGTGCGTCCGTCTTGTGCAGCGTTCGTGTCTCCTTCAGGATGCCGTTCACGGGCTGAGCTCCATTCTGGGTCAGCGTGTTGAACTCATTGTTGATGTTTGTGCGCAGCACATCCAGATTGGGCCGCAGATTCGTGGTGCTCTGGCTGCTGATCACGGTCGTCGTTCTGGCCGCAATATCCTCGGCTCCAATGTCAGTGAGCACCTGCGTGTGAGTAAGTGGTATCAAATCTTGGGTCATTCACGTTAAAGAGGTGCAAGAGATAACCTACCTCCACATAGGACACTGGGAATATGCCCTTCCTGTTGGCAATCTTGCCCTCGAACCAGTTGCCATCCACGCGACGCGTCAACGTGACCAGCTCTCCCTTGTTGAGGGACAGCTCGACGCCCGACTGGGCCTGGAAGTTGTATTTGGCACGAGCCTGGCCCTCCGATGGCCGCTTGGACGGAGTGCGTGCCCCATCGCGGCTCACAATCTGTGCAACGGCAAAGAGAACAGACTTAGACACATGCAATCAACTGTACGGGGAGAGACACGACACTCACCTCCACATAGCTCGCTGGGAGCAGTCCGATCATCGCATTGTGTTCGCCCTCATACCAGTTGGGATCGATCTGCCGCCTTATGTAGATGGTGTCGCCCTTGCGGAAAGAGAGCTCTCTGCAAGGACAATCCATTAGAAACTGCAAACATTCGAGTGCAAGTGGAGAACTTACTTGGAGCTCTGTCCCTGGAAGTTGTAGAGGGCACGGGCAACTGTTTTGGGACCCACCAGCGACTTGAGCGTCACGTCGGTGGGGAAGTCATCGTAGCGATTGAGGGCGATCGGTGACTTCTGCGAGGGCGTAAAGTTGTCCGTGTGGCGTCGAGAGTTCATGTCCTGCAGCTCCTGTAGATACTTGCGGCGTCGCTCCTCGTGGTAGAGCTTCTGCATATGCTCCGCTTGGCGTGTGGCTAGTTCCTCCTCCGGTATGTACTGCTTCTGCTCATGCCTTATCGGTGTCTTGAAGTGAATGTTGACGTCTGTGTCATAATAACGATTGGGAGATTCTGTTGAGATGCGAGATGCGGCAAAAGGTATTCAGGCTCTGGCTGAAGCTTTTAAGCTGAGACTGACATTAACCCAAAGGGCGTTGGTCCCCATCATGGTAGAGGCTAGATTTTCGTATGGATTTCTTTGCTGATTATCCCCCAACTGCAGACATTTTTAAAGCTAGAATATCGAAGCTAAGGTCGCCAAGCTGTTGACATTTTTGACTCATGAGAATGTACCAGAGTACCAGATATATCCCTCCCTCCTCTAGCCCCCTACTCCAGCTTGTTTATTTTAAAAATAGCAAACTGAATCGTAAGACGATCTCACCGCAAATCGTTGTCATGGCTGTCAGTTGTCGTTGCTGCTGCTGCTGCTGCTGCTGCTTCTGCTACTGTTACGAAACGCCTGGCTTATCTGAGTCGCGGCGAGGTTTGTATCTGTCTGCCGATTGGTAAGCAAATAAACAGCTACCCCACCCTATGCCCCCACCCACCCCCGTCATTACTAGCTAAGCAGCTGACAGAGAGAGAGAGAGATAACCCGTCCCCCTACCCACAATAATGGGTGGAGTGGATGGGAGACGTGACGTGTCGCAAGCTCAAATTGATTTAAGCTTCTTCTCTTGATTCTCCGCTCAGCAATGAGCTGCAATTGAAGTTAATGCTCGTTAGCAAAATAATGATAATCAGTTAATTGGATACGAAGTGGAGCGGGAAGGGGAAGCCAGCCCCGCTCTATGCGCCCATATTAACCAGAAACGTTTTAGAGCTGTGCTAAGCCACTTAGCCTTGCGATAAGAATCATCAAGAGATTCACATTTGCATATGAATTGCCCATACATTAGCCTATGTAAAGTACATATAAAAATGTGTACATATGTATGTATAGCATGTAAGTGGAAAAATTCGCATCAGATCCATTCGATTCAATTGATGCATTAATGGAACTGCGCTGCATATTGATAAAGATGGAATACTACGCATCCATTTATTGACCCGATTCAAGGAAATCCCTTGACGGTGGGAAACCTTGCGCCAAGAGGTGCGGTCTTGGGGCTGTGCAAATGTTTGTGCTACAAATACCCCCGTACGCGTAGCCAGCAATTAGGAACAGCTTTGGGCTTTGTGTACGAGCGTATGTTGTGTATGTAGTACGAAGTGACTTCAAAAGAGATTTAATTGACACTTGAGAGATTTTCACTTTCACTGATTTGTTATGGCGCATTTTTGCCAGCGTTCGAAAGTGTTCGAAAGCGTTGCCTATTTTCATCTTTCACTGAAAGTCCACACACACACAAACACACCCAAGTAAGAGGGAATTTTCAAGGCTTTTCCTTCCTTTCACGCTCAATTAACTTTTTAAATGGGTTTTTGTTGTTTTTCCCGTCTTCGTATTTGTCTATTTGCCGCTTATTAGTCACAATAATCAATGAGAATCAGAACCAGTCCGCCGGATCGAAGGCCTGCCAGACTGAGGCAATTGTCTGATAAACCAGAGAAGAACGAATAGCAACAAAACACGAGATTCACGCTCCACCAGATCCCCCCACCCCCGTCTCTACAGCAAGACAGTGAGCACTCGAGGGGCGGGGGAAAACTTCGTACCTACCCAAAGATCCCCAACTATACCGTAGCACGCGTTGTGCTCAACTGAAACCGAAAACGGAACCGAAACAGAAACCCAAACTGAATGGGGCGGGAGAGCGAGCTCCGGCGCCGACGTCAAAGACTTTCGTCTCTGGGAGAGTGAGAGTAACGTGGGGCGACAGAAATCAACGGTCGCGTACTACAAGTTCCGTTGTGCGCTGTGTGACGGCGCCGCCGACCAAAAGTCACGTTTAATTGATGTTGTTGTTGTTGTTGCTTTTGTGGGGTGTGTGAATCTTCGCGAACACTGGGACCAGTCTGAGCCCGCATGGGTGGGGTCTTTGTTTGCTAAACATGAAATTAAGACTAGTTTTTGTCAGTGTAAAATGATTGCACATCAAATTACTAAATTTATATTTCTGCTTATCGCTAAATTCATTTTATGCGTTTCACATGCATCCCACTGTGCACGTGTTTGATCTTGAAGCAAAGCTCTTTGCTCGAAGCTTTTTATCGCAGAGTTCGGAACGAACGTGAGAGCGCGCGAGTGCCAAAAGCGCTCTCTCTCTCTCTATATATCTGTGGCTCTCACAATCTCACTTGCAGTACTTGCAGTGATAACGGGTTTTTTGGTTTTTGCAAAAGAAAAACCGTGAGAAAGTGCAAAACAGGAAGGTCGCTTGCCCGCTTAATCAAATGAGAAAGTGCCAAAAGAGAGATGGGGGCCGATTGATCACTTTTCCTTCTTCTCTTTCACATTTTTTGGTATCTAATATCAGATCAATACTAACTGCTTTGCCACTGCTGCTGCTGCTCCTGTTGTTGTTGCTGCTGCTGATGCTGCTGCTGCCACACGAGCAGAGGAATAGAAGCTCCGATTGCATGTCTATTGGCCAAGTACGCACGTCGCTGGTCCGGCAGTGGTGTGTGCGGCAGACCCACCATGTGATAGGACACCTCTCCCCCTCCCACTCCCGTGCCACCATTGGACGGCTGATGTGGATGGGGTGGCACCATGGGCGCAGGGCCGGAGTAGTCATAGCCTCGACGATGTATCCAAAGAATTTTCCCGCAATTGGCAATGTCGCAGCTGCTGCCCGTCGCCGGATGCACAACTTTGTTGCTGCTGTTGTTGTTGTTGTATGAGCTGCTGTCTGCCCCACTGCTGTGTGGCCGCTGCCAGGGATTTTGATTGGCTTCGGAACTGCGCCACCAGCTCTGCTGAGGGGGCTGCTCCGGCTGGGACAGCCTGTCATCTGTCAGCTCTAAATCATTGCAGCTGCGATGCAGCTTCTGGCTGGGATGCGCCTGCCGCCAGTGGACACTCTGAGTGGGACGGCTCCTCCTCACGTGGCCATAGCCGCTTCCGTTAACGTTGCTGTTGCTGTTGCTGTTGCTATTGCCGTTGCCATGTAGGCTCTGGCCATGCTGGCTGGAGTAGGTGCTGCTGCGACGCGGTGCCAAGGTTTGATGTATCATTGTGGGGTACAGGACTCATCCGACAGTTGCATAATTCGGACCCGAGGACTCATCGATATGCTGAGCTGAGCTGTGCGCGACTCTCACGTTTTGGCACGGAAAATTGAAACTAACTAGCGGCCGCGACAGGTATTCCACATCCACTGGCTGGCACACGCGGGGTTTGTTTTGTTGACGGCACTGTCTTGGCCATGGCAACGTGGGTCGTCGGGCAACGGCAGCGTGCGCAGGGTGGTTGGTGTCTATGGCCTTCCCTGTCCACTTGTTCACACAATGGGGTGGTGCTTCAGGTGGCTTTTGTGCCGAGTGTGCCGCGTGCTTGATAAGCAGGTCAGCGTCGCTTTCCATTGGACATATCGATTAATTTGGCCCAACCAACTAATGTCCGGCGCGCCTTCGAAGCGAAATTGCACCAATTGCGGAAATTCGTTTTCCGTTTGCCCGCTGTTGCGGTAGTAAAAGCAAAGCTTTTAGCAAAGGTCAGCGACAACGACAGCAGCAGCAGAGGGCGTAGCTGGTGACCTAACAGGAATTTAATTGTGCAGCAAATGGAACTCCTGCGGGTTCCACTTTAAGTGAATTTCCGGTCTTTAAACCAGTTACGTGATGGCTTGGTGTCGTTGATGATACGACGTGAACGATCTCTGGGTATACTTTTTAGCCTAAGCGAAAAGTCTTCTGTCCTAATAATAATGCAAGGCATTTTGTGGTAATTGAAAGGGTGGAAAGGGTGAAGAATACGCAGCACCTTCAAGTTTTTAAAGCAAGTGTCTCACAAATTGTGTAACATTATTTTGTACACCTCAAACAACATTGATTTTAGAGCGTTTCGGCCCTTCTGCATGGGCGGGGCGGGTCTTGGGTCTTGCCAACAACTTCATCACTCACCTGAGCCATCGATAGTGTCGGTGTTGTACTGTAGGTCGTAGGAGGAGCTGTAGAGGCCCTTGATTGGCGGCTGTGGGGGTATGGGGGGCGCGTTCGAGTCGGGATCTGCGCCAACGATTACAGATAACAGATAGAAAGTGAAGGATGGATAATTTCGAATAGTTACAACCAATGATAGTTAGGGGGGAACCTCAAGCTTATATGGCAAAAGCAGCAGCTGCGACAACCGAAGCATAGCGGAGAGTAGAAGCTCGCACCAGTTAGAGTTTTGTTTCCCTTCCCCTCACACTGCCAAACACACACCTGCACCTACACCCACACCCACCCCAGCCCAGCCCCTCTGTTCTCCCTGGAAGTTGTTCGTTAATCACCAGTTAATCACCTTTAAACGTTACCGCCATCGTCTTCTTGAGACGCTCCAAGGTGGTGGTGCCGCCGCCAGAGGCAGGGCTCCTCCTGGCTTGTTCTGCCCCATCCGGAACGTAGCGTGCCTTGGGGCGATGCATTCTCGGATCGAACTTCTGATTGGCGAAGATGTCGTCATAGTTGCTGCGCAGGGAGCTGGTCTGCTGGCGGCTATGCTGGTGACGCGGCGACCTGTGCGGACGGGGTGGCGAGGCAGAACTGGCGCGCGGAGTCACGCGCTGCGGCTTCTTGGGCAGAGCCTTGGGCAGCTTCGGACGTGGCTGGTCGATGGGCTGCGGGTGCTTGTGGGCCACCCAGTCGGCGCACAGGTGGGGCGAGATATCGTGCACATCCCGCAGATCCGGATGCGACGTGGACAGATGGCTGATGGTCCGCGTTTGGCTATCGGCGGGATCTGGCGACTCGTAGCGCATGCGCAGACGCTCGATGTAGTTGCTGCTGCTGCTGCTGAGGCTGCGCAGGGCGCTCCGTGGGGCCAGCTCCCGCTTGAGGGCCGCCGTCTTGCTGATGACATCGATGTGCGGCATGAGACGATCCTGGGCGCTGCGCTGGCGCCGGCGACCGCGCTCCGGCGAGGGTGTGGCCCTGCGCAACTCGAACTTGTGGGCATCCTGCTGCTGATCCTGCTGTGGTTCCTTCTGCGGCTTCGCCTCCGTAGCGTTGCCCGAGGCGTCTTTTGATCCCGCACTAAATTCGGGATCGCTGCGCGCCTTCCGCAGCGGGCTAAGCCCAAAAAAATCGTTCGACTGTTCGTTGGACTCCCGGTGGATGCCCTCGAAGTGCTGCCGCATCTTCTGCACCTCCCCCGTGTAGACGCGCTGCAGATAGGAGCTCGAGCAGGCCGACACCTGAGACTGGGGCGAGAGACTGCGCGAGCGGTAGTAGGACTCTCTGTCGTACAGCTCAAGGCTGGCGTCTCCTGGCCCGGGCGAACCATTCTCGAAGCTGAGCAGCTCTGCCTCTGCCTCCGCCTCGTCGGGCGGGCGCAGCGGGGGGCTGTGCAAGTGAAAATTTACCCGTGCAGCGGGTCGCTCCCCATAGACGCCGCTCAGATCCGTCAGCGAGTTGCTCAGCTCCGTGTGGGTGAGCACTTGGGCTTGGTTCCGGGCCTTCTGGCGCGCCTGCATGTTGTGCTCGATGAGGCGCATCACCTCGGCCTCGTCGGGCGAGGAGTCCTCGCGAGCGTGGTAGATGGTCTTGGCCGGCTCCTCGAACTGTCTATCCTCAAAGTATTGTATCTTTTGGACAATGTTCTCCGCCGGCTCCTGCTCCACAACCCTCGGGGGAGCTGCAGTCTTGGCCTGGCCCTTGACCTCGCTGGGCTTTGGACGGGGCGGCACATCGGGGGCTCTGGTCAGCGTGAGTTCGGCATTCTTGGCCGCAATGGCACCGCGCGTCTCCCTGGCCACCACCACCGGCGACTGGCTGCGCGTGGGACGTGGCAGAGTCTGCGTCTGCGCCTGCTGCTGCTCCTCGCGCTTGCGCAGAACGGGTCCGAGGAGCTGCTCCTTGGAGATGTTCGAGTTGCAGCGCACCTTCAGGGTGTGGGCATGGGAGCCCGGCTTGGCGGAGCCCTTCTCCACGGTGACCACATACTGCTCCTCGACAGCCGCGCCCTTGCGGTTGCCACCCCCGGCATAGATCTCGTTCAGCTGCTGCGTGATCTTCTTGATCTGATCCTTGGACAGAGTGCTGACCAGATCGTTGTCCAGGTGTCGGTCCATCTCGGTGTCGTCTCTCACCACACGCTGCTCCAGGCTGCTGGCCAGATCCGCCACGGTGTTGCGTCTCCAGTGGCGCTGCGCCGGCTGCACCGGCTGCAGCTGGCATTCCAGCTGGTGCTGCCTGAAGAGTTGCAACTGCTCAAAGTTCTCGCGCAGATCCTCCACCGACTTCTTCTTGGTGCTGAGCGCCTGGTCCGCCTCCTGGCGCCACTTGATCTCGCCCACATCCTTGGAGCGGAAGTGCAGATCCCGCTCCCGCTGATCGTGCTGCAGTTTGCCCACCAAATACTGCAGCTCCTTCTCGGCCCGCTCGTGCAGCCGCACCTTGCGCCACTCGTCAAAGGCCAGCAACTCGGCGTCCTTGCGCAAGGGATGGAAGCTGCTCGAGGACGTGGCTCTCTCCAGCTGCCCCACCCGCTCCAGGGTGCTGTAGAATCGATTCAGATCCGTGAAACGCTCGCAGTTGTTGCGGTACCTACAGCTGGGGCTGTGCCGCTCCAGATACGTCAGGGAGGTGGCACTGTGGGCCAGATCCCCGCACTGGTAGAGGCTTCCCGGCTGCGCCGTTCGCTTGCTGCGATCATCGGCGCTGCTCAGACTGCTGGCCCGGGCGATGGCCTGTTCCCTGTCCTGCCGCTGGCTGGATCTCAGACTGTCGATGCGACGACGCGAAGGAGAGCGCACCTCCCTCTGGTTCTGGCTCTGGCTCTGGCTCTGATTCTGATTCTGGGGCACTCGAACCTCCCGCGTGGGCGAGAAACGGCGCTCCAGGGACTTCTCATAGTCCGGCTGTGGCGACTGGGGACGGGCAATGTCCGTGACTGTCGTCTGGCATGGCTTGGCATGGCGATCGCGATCGCGATCCTTGTTCTCGTACTTCCACACCAGATCCTCGATGCAGCTGCTCGCTGGCTGAGCCTGTGCGCTGCCAGCATAGTCGTAGACATCCTCCGGCTCCAGGGAGCAGTACTTGTACTCCGTCTGCTGTGGCAGCGACATGGACATGGACATGGAGACGGACTGCTTGGCATTGTAGTCGTTCCAGAAGTTCGTCTTCTCGCGCACCGTGTCGCTGTACGACTGCACGGACACGGGCGGATGCTTCGCTTTGGGGTTGCTGGAGGCGGGCGGCTTTCCCACCTGACGCTTGCGCGGCACATGGCCCTCGCTGCGGCTGCTCTGGAGTGGAACCAGCGACTTAGACTTGGGGCTGGGGCTGGGCTTGGCCTTGCCCACATAGATCTTGGGCGGGGCAATCGGCACGTACTCCTGCCTGCCCATCGAGTCGATGGAGAAGGTGGAGTTGCTGCGCGGCAGGCTGTCGTTGGAGGCGTTCTTCGCCTGGTTCTTGGGCAGCACCTTGCGCAGGGATCGGCCGCAGTCGATGAGGGTTTGGGGGCGCACCTGGGGGAAGCACATCGTCTGTCTGGTGGTGGTGCTCACGGTGCTCTGGCTCTGGCTCTGGCGCAGTCGGGGCAGCGACTTGCTGCGCGTGTGCTGCGCCTTGCAGGTGGCATAGGAGCGCACCGCCTCGCGCACCTCCTGCGGTGACTTGAGGAACGGGTCCCGCAGGATGTTGGTGCTGGCCTCAAAGTTGGTCCGGCTGGGGGGCAGCGTGTTCTCCAGCCGCTTCTTCTCCTCGGCAAAGCTGCGCTCCTTGGAGATGCTCCGCCCAAAGGCCACCGGACTGCGACTCGATTGGCGCAGGGCCAGCACCCGAACCGGACGGCGGCTGGGACTCACGGAGCGGAGACGCGACTGCTGCTGTACTCGGGTGACGCGACAGGTGCCGCCATCCTTCTGGCGCGTCTCCTTGGTGGAGGCCGTGAGGGTGGCCAACAGGGTGGAGACTGCACCAGCGGACTTGGACCTAGAGATGGGTTCCCGGCGCGAGCTGCTTGACGAGGTGGCGACCTTCCTCAGGGTGATGGTTCCTCCGCCCGGTGGCTGGAAGCACTGCTCGTGGCGGGACTTGGTGGAGCTCGAGACACGCACCGTGCTCTTGGTGCAGGAGGACTTGCGACTGGGTGGCAATGGGGCAGGTGCTAGCTGCTCCTGCTGCTGCTTCTTGCTCATCGGAATGAACGAGGGCAGAGTCTTCGACAGCTGCGAGAACATCTTGGGGCTGCCGCTGCTGCTCTTGTGGCTTGTTGCTGGCGGCGGAGGAGGCGGAGGAGGTGGCGGAGGTGGTGGCTGAGTAATCACTGGACTGGGCACTGTGGGCTCGTCCTCCTGCAGCTCCTTGGTGCTCACACGTATCTTGGTGAGGGTCGGAGTGATCTGTATAAATTCGAATTCCTCCACAATTTCTTTGCGGGGGGGAGGACAAGAGTTCGACTTGGATTAGGCGACGGCTTTCGGCTGAATGTTGGATTGGGTGCCAGTGCCTGTTGGTGGGTGATTCATTTTTGGTGGTTCAACAGGTGCCTACATCCTTGTCTGCCTTTGAGGACAGAACGAACGAACAACTTCGAGTGAGAGCAGTGTGTACGTGTGTGTGTGTGTGTGTGTGTGAGAGGAAAAGGAACAACAGACTAGTAAAAGAGTGATCAAGAGACCCGATAGAACCAACACCATTTGGATTACATTAAGTCAGTGGATTAGGCCAGCGTCTTATTGTTTATGTTAGATATTAGCATTAGAGAAATGAACAAAGAAAGACTCACCTCTGGGCCTCTCGGGCGCTGGCTTGCGGAAGCCGAAGAGTGGCGGTTCTCCGCCTGCCTGCAGACTCTTGTAGGCCTGCCGCTGCTCCACGGGACTGAGGGGACTGCTGACGGGCAGCTCCTTCTTGCGGAAGACTAGGTTCGAGTCGCTGGTGTAGCCGGATTCCTTGGCCAGAGCTCTGCAAATAACAGAGGGTGGAATGTCAGCAGAGATGTTTACAGCAGCGGCCGGCAGCGCAGTCGGCGCAAGCGCAGCGTAAAAGCGAACTACCGCTGCGGCAGAGAAGCAACTTCGTGTGGCTTCGGCCAATGCACAGCGAACAACCGCTGCGGCAGAGAAGCAAGAAACGTTTTTTGCTTCGTTTCTGTGCATGTCTGTGCATGTCTGAGCGGCTGCGTGCCCGACCCCCTTTGGGCATGTTCTTACCTGGACAAGTTGCCTTCTGTGTAGAGCGGAGATAGTTTCGATTGTTCTAAGTTCTAGTGTGGGGAAAGAGAACACGGATAATGGATTAGATTAGATAAAGGATTTGGATGCCAAGTGCAATTGTGGATTTTGGTTTGCTTTAATTTGATTTTTTTTTGAATTAGTTCAAGTGCCTTGGCGATGATCCTGCCTTGCTCTTTCGCCCTAAGCAAACTTACTCCGAAGCCATCGAAATCATCGACAAATTCTATTATAATGCGCGGTATGCGCGTGTGCTCCCTAAGCCACTTTTCGCAGGGTGTCGCACGGATCAGTTAGACAGTAAAGACGGGGGGGGGAGACAGGAGAGATACAGTTGATTCGGTGAGCAGAGATTTTTGTGGGAGCGTTAAAGAACGGAAAACAACGGAAATCGGAAACTAAAAGCTAAAACTAAAACTTTGGTAACGGTAGTTATGATCTAGGAATACAAATATAGTAGAGTAGAGTGCCATACCCCGTTAAAGATGTCCATCACTTCGTCCCACCACTAGAATTGTGAATAGAATACATAATTGCCGTGAGTTAGAATATTGGCGCGATCTGAATGACTTTATGGGTGTGTATGAGAATGATTTCGGTTCAGGTATTATATCATGGCAGTGCACGGGTGGTGGAGGCATCGCCGATACGCGAAAATACGCGACACTTGCAAGTTTCTACAAATAATTACGCATAAACAGTCAAAGAATTGAACCAAATAGGCGGAAAGTGAAGAATATTCAGGTGGGAACTTAATTTCAGACAGACAATATAAGATAAATTCGACCAATAATATTTATAAATTACTTCTTTTTCTTTCTTTTCTTTTTTCGAGTTTCTGTAGAACCTTCAAGTGTCGTATAAATATTCTCGTAAGGGGATTAATTAAGCGGAGTCTAGCTCTGCAGCTGGATTAGAAGCATTAAATGATTGTGATTTGAGCCCCGATGAGTTGTATATTGATGAGTGGTCGTTGTGGCTGGGCACTTACCTCCTTCTTCTCCTTTTCGGACACGGACGAATGTCCTGTGGTGTAGTCCTCGATGCGGCCTGGCTGATTTTTATATGAGTTCTGAGCCGACTTGATCGGATTTGGCATAGTACCATACAACCTGAAAGGAGCACAAACTTTTAGTATATTTTAGATATTCATAACAGAATAAAGTCACTCACTTCTCGTCCTGGCTCAGGTTGCGCACATTGACAGCCGAGGAGACGGACTGCACACGATGCGGATTCTGTGTGCGATATCTCACCGTGGAGTAGTCGGAGTCGTAGTTGGGTTCGGGCTCGGACACGTAACCGTTGCTCTTGTACGACGGACGGGCTATATATGATTGGGTTCACAATTGACAGACATTAGTTCAGGGATTACTTGACTACTGTTCGCTGCTGGGATTCTACCAATGCTGTGGTTATGATGTTAGGCTAGGCGTTTGTGCTGTGGTTGTGGTTTGGTGTGTTTGGTTGGTTAGTCGTGAAATTTAGTACAAATAAGCTTCCAAATTGTCAATGAGCTAGAAATCAAGTACGAGATATGCCAAATAATAATACTAATAATAATATTTTACAGCATGCATGCATTGGTTGAGCAAAGACTACGGGCAATGAGAGAGCGCACAAGCACCAAAGCCAACGCAAGGGCAAAGCGGGTAAGTGGCAAATGGTGGAGGAGCTACTACTTAGGGCAGAAATTTGGTATAGTTTATAGATCAAAGAATCACCTCTGGGACACTTGTAGCGTATCACGAAATCATCTGGGGCAAAGCGAATGGAAGGAGAATGAGATTGAGATATTGTGAGGAGACAGAAGACCGAAAAGAGTAGAAACCGTAGATCAGACTGAAGCATTTGAAGGGTTTAGAGGGGAGTGTAATGGATTTGGGATGGGGATTGGAATTCATGGAGATTTATGGATAATGCTTCAGCCCGAAATGTTTGTCGGAGTGTGGGAGTGACATTTACCGCCGTTCTTCTGCTTGTGTATGGTCTGATAGAGGCGCTTGTACCACTCATGCTGATGCGGCTCCTGGACCTCCTGCATTTTTGGGTTGGAATAGGGGAATTTCATTTTAAATCGAATCCACAACTGTTGGCTATAACCCTCCCAAGCCCCACTGTATGTCCTTTACCGATCTGAGTATGATGGGCATTCCATCGTTGGTCACCGGACCGATGCCATCGTATTGCCTTCGACCTAACTGTGCCATTTTGCGCGGACGATCGTTGTCCGACTCCGGTTCGCTCATATACTCGTGCTTGACTTTGTAGACTGGAAACCGCAGATTAATTTGAGGTTAGTTCTGTTTGCTTGTGACTGGTGGGGGTTTGAATTTGGTTTGGGCTTTGGGGTTTGGGGTTGCGGGTGTGCAACGACGTGAGCCTTTGTGTGCTTCCCCTGTGGTCATTTGCCAACACTCTGAGTTCTGGATACTTACTGACTTCATTGGGCCTATAGGCTGGGCGGCTGGTGTCCGACAGCTGGCGGCGCACGAATGGCCTCTGCAGCTCCGAGTTGGAGGCTGAGCGGTTAAAGGCTTTTGGGGGCGATAAACGAGAACCGATCGATTAGCAAGGGACGAACGAGTGGAAAGGGCACACAAACAGAGAGAAAAGGGACAAAGAGAAGGGACAGGCACTCTGTGTGTGTGTGTGGGTGTCTGTGTGTGTTACTACTTCTGATCTTGTCCGAGACGCTGGCCGATGGCGCCACTGGGCCAAACTGTGCGCTGCAATCCGTTTCGGTGTAGTCGGAGTGGGCGTCTCCGTTTGTGTGCGACCAGGGTGTTGTCGTCTGCTGTTGTTGCTGCTGCTGCTGCTGCTGCTGCTGCTGAAGGGCCGTGTAGCGACGTGGCAGGGTGGGCGACTCGAAGCGCACCGGACGGAACTCCTTGCGGCCGCTCAACGCTGGCGATGGCTGCGGCGTCCACACGGGCTGCGTGGGTGGCGGCGGGGGCGTGGGCGCTGCCGATGAGCTGTGGTTCAGATCGCTGGCAGAACCGTAAGGTGTCCACACGCCTGTTGGAAGTTTCGAATGGTTGAGCGTGGGTCGAGGGGACATGGCAAACATGACAGCTTCAGGGGCGCCGGATATCGAGTGTGTTCAGAGATTGAGTTACCCTCCACCTCCTCCTCCTCCTCCTTCTCCCCCGCGGAGATTTACACTTGTCAACAGGTTCATACTCGCAATCTGTGGTTTCACCTCGCTTCCCCTTCTTCCCCTTCTTTTCTTTTCTTTCTCTCGAAAATAGTTTAGTCAACAAACCGAGCGAAGACAAATTGACAAACAAACATAGCGACGTGGAACAGCAATAATTAATACGACGAACGGCGAACGGCGACGACCAAGGAAGCCGCCATTTGGCACCCATTCAAAATTTGCCCCACACACACACACACACACACGCATACAACTCTCAGGCACGCACACACATGGCCGGATGGACAATCGGACGGAGGAGTGTAAAAGGCGCTGCGGATGAGTCATAGCATTTGGCGCATGTTTAGCATTCACACAACCAACACACAAATAGATATTCACGGATTCACGTCTACACGTATGTGTCTTTGAGTACCGTTAAAGAACGGCACGAGGTGTGCTTCAAGTGTTTGCTGACCCACAGCGAAATGGATTCCCCGATCAGAAGAGCGGAGAAGAAACGTTCACCACGAAATATAAGCAACAACACAAGAAATTGAGCCAAAGGAAGTGCTGTAACGAGTGAGAATCTTCTGTTCATCCCGCGGATAATTCAGGTTGGATTTCTACTCATTTTTTAAGCTCAAAAAGCCAACCCTGGCCAGCCTTTTGTCAAATTCCTGTCGTATAGTTATAACGATTTTCCTAAGAGTGTTAAAGGAAGATTTTTAGTGACGAAATTGTCCTAATTTATAGCTGCTTATACAACAAATTCCCCAATAAGTTTTCCTCTCTCAATTACTTGCAAAGAAACCCCCGGGCCTGTGTCTGTGCAGCCTTTTGCATTGGCTCTAGCCAAAATCTATTTGCCACCTGTAACAAAAAAAAAAAAACAAAACCCACAGCTAAAGGCAACGATACAGCGGTACACCGATACACAAGGGTGCACATATACATGAGTATGGATGATGCTGATGGCTGCTGCCTTCGAGACATTGACACGTATTTCACACAGCAGGAGGAGGAGGCAAGGCAGCAGCGATGCTGCCTCTAAATATGTTGGCGGATTTCTTTGGTCATGGTGTCTCGTACGAGTAGGTGTGGGTGTGGGTGTGGGTGTGCTGACGTCTTTATTCAATCAGCACTTAATTGAATTATACAATCGAATCAAAAGGAAACTTCTCCTTCCAAATGTCAATCAAATTCACAAACACACACACACAGAGTTCTTGAGTCACATTCGGATTAGCATTTGGATTTTGATGGATTTACCTAGCTGAAGCACAGGATGGGTCACTGATAATCACACAGATACACACGCTGAGACGCAGATACGCAGATACGGATAGGAATTTGTGGAGCGGAGCGATGTCGCTGTTTGAGTTGCTGACTCCGCGCACGGCTCGAGGCGAACTGAATTTTGCGTGACCCGGCAGCACCGAGCAGAGCGCGGCCAGCGCTGGCCCAAATGGGGGAATGTAATGGGATTGGGATTGGGACTCGAGACTGTAGACTGTAGACAAAAGGCCAAAATCAGCGAGCGAGCAGCCAAAGGCAGGCAGGCAGGCAACACACCCAGTTCGCTCCTCCACAGTGCCCAGCACCTAGTCAGTGTACCCCACAGTAGTTGATCAATGATTCGTTTTGTGGGAGCAGTTCGGTGCTCGATCAAGCGCGGACAGGGGAGGGCATACGAGAGCACCCCGACCCCGCACCCCGACCCCGACCACGACTTGGGCGCCATTTATGCGTGCAATGCGAAATGGAACGGAAATGTGTGTGTGCGGCGGCGGCGACAAAAGACTCCCCCGGGGGAATGATTTCATTGCGTTTCATTGGCTGGCCCAAAAACAAAACAACTCTTTGGCAAAGCCAGACCAAAAACAAAACAAATACCGCACAAAAACAAAAGACACAAACAAAGACAATTGTCATTGGAAGCGAGTCTCGAGCTCGGCTTGGATTCGATTCGCTTTTGGTTCGCTTTTGGTGGGGCACTTCCGGTGGCCGGGCAACCACTGTTGCTGCTGCTTCTGCTGCTGCTGCTGCTGCTGCTGCTTTAGAATCAAATCAAACGGAAAATTCGCTCGGAAAACAAAAATGTTAATAAAGGCACTTGAGTGCGATGGAGCGGCACACCCTCAAGGAGGAGCGCCCGCAGTCGAGCAGAAGTCGCATTTTCGAATGTCGTTGTTGGAGGCAATTCATTTGAAATTGATCGATTCGCCAACAAGAAAGATTCTGAAACGAAACGGGCACAGCGACAACAATAAGTAGGGGAACCTGCAGTAGGGAAAGCCATTTAATTCTCACTTTAGTTCCATTTCCAAAGTATTTTCCACACAGCCCAGCCCGCGCGTTGGCCTTGTGAAATTCCAACAACGACAACAAAGAAAGGCTTGCAGAAGGCGCGCGATAGATATACACAGATGGATGGATGCCTCTCTCTCTCTCTCTCTCGGCAACCTGTCACTGAATCTGAACGGCAAGTGGGGAGTTGGGAGTTGGGAGTTGGAGTTCCACTGAGTTCGGAACTGCTTTCGAGTCGGAAACCTGGGACTGGCACTGGGTATGGGTGCGGCTGCCTGTGGCAAATTGAGAGCATTTCCTGAGTTGATTTATGCGGAATGCATGGGGATTGGGTGGGGGGCTGGCAGTGGAAGTTGGGGACTCCCGAGCTTGCCTTATTTATGGAGTGAATATTTGTGGCTTTGCTAATTGCCTTTGGTTATGGACTGAATCGATCTTCTAACTTGGTAAATTTGTAAACAAAACAATAGAAAAGTAGCCGCACATTCTGCTTGATTGATCATCAAAGAAAGCAGCAGAAATACTCAACTAGAAGAGGACCATAATATATTTTCGTTTCAGTAAATATATTTTTCATTTTGTTTACTCATTATTAAATGGAATTCGTACATCAATGTTTGATACCTGTGATCTTGAATGTATCCATCATTAAAGCACTTTTCGAAATCTCAATCAGTTGAATTCCCTGACAACGTCATCAACCAAAATTGAATCCCATCCACGTCCAGTCCCCGTACCCTTACCACTCCGCCGATACGCGGATACGCGAAATTTTCGTTCAAGTTCAACTGAATTTATGGCAAAAAACAAAAAACGAAGCCTATAAATTATTTTCACTCACTAAAAGTCTTTGAATTTATACTTTTTCCATTCTTTGGCATGGGCAAAAAAGTATAAAAAGCACAACAAAAAAATAGAAATATAAAAAAAATAGAACCAGCGCGAAGGGGAATGTTAAAAATACCAACATAGAACTCGCACAGATTAATGCTTTAAATAAATATGTGTATGGGAGGGATCGCTACCAAACTATCAATATGCTACCAACACCGGTGCCACCACCGGAGCTACGTATCTGCCCATCAGATGACGCCAATCGAGAAAAACGATGGATTTTTGATGGATTTGCGTACGCCCCCGTGGAGAGCCACACAATGGCTAATGGAGAATGGAAAGAAAAGCCAGGGCGACATGGCGGAGCACGAAAATCTCTGCTTGTTGGTTCTATTTAGCGGCAACTTTTATTGGGAGACTGTAAAAGTCGGCATCCGTGTGGGCCGTGGCCAGCAAGAACAACAATTGAGAACATGGCAAATATTGTAATAAATATTCTACTCGTATTTTCATTTGCTCCGTGGCATTTTGCGTCATTTTGTATATTTAGGAATGGCGCACCTCCAGCAGGCCCCACCACACGCCAGCTTTTCCAGCTTGGGCTTTCCGAATTGCTCGCCTAAATCATGTGGAAATTTTGGTGTGTGTTTGGTGTGCGCACAATTAACATGAACTAATGTGAAATATTTAAAATAAACAATCCGAAACGGCCAGTGGGCAACGTGAGCGAAATCAAGTTCAGAAAAGCGGCAAATGGTATGGAGAAATCTTCATTAAGTAATCTATAAATCGAGAGATGAAAAGTTGATTGGGAAACTTGTATGCGATATTCGCGGGAATTTACTCAAGCAACTCAAAGATTGAAATTTCCATTCACACACAGATTTGGAGGTTGAATCATCAAAGGAAAATCACAGCCAAGCTGAAAACCCCACTGTAAACGTCATGTTTGCCATTTTGTTGATCGTTGCAGCTCAACGATGGTGGTGCATCCGCCAGCTGCTGCCATTTACCTGAGCCTGAAGGCGCGCGTGCCTTGAATTTTGGTGCAAACATCGCCGTGCCCGTGCCCGTGCCCGTGCTCTGTGTGTGCTCTGCAAAAGTCGAAGGGGGCAGGGAACTGAGGAACGGATTTACAATAGATACGATTTTGGGGCAGGGGCTGGGGGCGAGAAACTTCACTCAGTTCAGTTCACTTCACTTGAACGCGTCTGCCTCCTCGAATCACTTGCGTTTCCGCCGATGCGGTGGGGGCAGCAGGCGGCAGGGGGTGGCGGAAAGACACGGAAAAACACACAGAAACACAGAAACAAATTGGAATACAAAACGATCGACTAACCCTGCCCCATTTCTTTCTGCCGTTGGAAATATAGAAGCGATTTCTGATCTCTGATCTCTGACTTCAGACTTTTTCTATTTTCTATTTTCTATTTTGTAATTTTTTGTATTTTCCTTTTCTTGGTTTTTCGAACGCGCCTTCGCGTTGCTCACACGACTTTAACACGACGACGACTACGACTACGACTACGAAAAGAGACTACTTTTCATTTGCATGCAGGTTGTTTGCTCTGCCCGTTCGTTTCTTTCGTTCGCCTTTCAAAAACGTATTCAAAAACGGCCCGCCCCAAAAGATCCCAGCCGAACCACAAACCAAAAATCTCAATTTGTGTGCGAGCGCAAGACAACAAATTTGTTGAACGAAAGTTCTCCGCGTCTCGCAACTCGCATGAAATATACATAATGCTTTGCCCATTTCCTTCGCCCAGTGGCGTGCGAGTGTGTAGTATAAACAACCTTTTTATTTTGGATGCTTTCGTAAACAGAGACCGGAGAGGGAGGCCCTGAATGAGAGAGATTACGAGTGTGTGTGTGTGTGTGTGTAGAGATCAGATCTTTGACTCAAGTGGGTCATAAATTATGAACAGAATATACACACAGGCACTCGTACATACATATAGGCAGTCGACAGAGTGTGGGAAATGACCAGAGGTGGCTGTGCTCACGTCGTATACGCAATTTGGCACAGAGTTTTCCTGAAAATCGTGCACGTTCTTCGCTGCATACTTTCAGGCGGAGGCGCGAAAATTGTACAAGTTGAAAACTAAAATAAAACTCAATTTAGTTGTAAACTGTAACCAAAAATGGGTGGGGTTAGAGACACTCAACAAGCAGCGGCACAGATTAGCAGTGGGAAAGGGAGATCGGAGTTCGGGGTTTCGTTTTTTTTGACACACCATTCGCATAGAGGAAGCCCTTGGCCAGCTGCAGCTCGCTGTCAATCTCCTTGAGCAGATCGCTCTCGGACCAGCTGCGCCGTTGCCGCTGACGCTGCAGCTGCTGCGGATTGAGTAGGAAGCGCGTCTGCTTGGGCGGTCGTGGTCGCAGCCTTACACTCATGGCCGGTGCAGTCTCTGTGGCGGTTGCGGTTGCTGTTGCTGTTGCTCCTCTGTCTAAATGATAGCATTCGGTTAGGTTTCTGCATTCTCTCTCTGTCTCTGTCTCTGTCTCTGTCTCTCCGCTCAATTGCCCCCGATTCCGTAATTCTTCGTTGGAACAAACGAACCGTCTGTCGGGTCGTAGTCGGACTCGGGTCGGACTGCACTTTGTTTCCATGCAATTGAATGGAATTAATTTAAAATTTCCGCTTAATCGCGATTCAGCTCTTCTATCTTCTCCTTCGACTGTCGTCTCTGGCAAATTCTGTTGCCTCTCTGAGGGGTGGTGGGGCGAGTGGGTTAAGCCGATTTCAGCCCTAAGACATTTGAGCGCAGAGGCTGAGCAGTTAAAAGGCAATTTAAATGATTAACTTAAATTAAGATTAAACCTAAACATGTATTTATTAATGGTTAGCCTGGCTGAACAGAAACATGAACAGAAAATAATAAGCGTTTGTACATCTATTTAGGTCATCTTTTGAATGGAATCTCTATCTCCATGAGCTATTTTGAGCTATTTTAATGGTTGCTTCAAGTGGCACGATTCTGATTTGCTTGTCCAGTTCATCATCATTTTCAGTTCATTTATCGAATCATTCCCCTTAACAAATGGAATTCAATTGAATGATCACATGAATGGATAACTGAGTTAGCTGGAGAAACATTGAATTCAAATCAATTGCATAATTCTGCAGTCGCAGGACTGTACTTCTCCACTTCTCGACTGATAATTATGTAAAATTGTACAACTTTACATATTTTCTGTACAATTACACAGAGTGGAATTGGTTTGCCCGCTTCCAATTAGTTTTCTATTGTAAAATGCAATGAAAAGTTTAAATTTAAGGACTCTTTTACAAGGAATGCATCTACACATGGATTAGTTCAGCTTCAAGCAAATCATCGATCTACTCTCTCGATAAATAAGTACAACTAAATGGAATTGCATGCGGATGGGTGTACAGGATGAAATGCAACGACACGTAATCAAATATCAATAAACATTTTGCTGGTTAATTGAATAGTTTTTCGTTTATTTAACATTAAACAATACTAGATATAAATTTTGGTTTTCGATTTGAATAATTTTTCACAAAAACACACAAAATAATTTGCATTCATTTTCACCTAATTGGGGAGCTGAGTTTAGTGGGAGAGGGAGTGTGGCCATGCAGGGGGTAGTCGTGGGAGGGGAGGCAGGGGATTGTGGTTCTGCTGCCGTTTCTTAAGGGTTTCGTGGGATTCTTTCGTTCTCTAGAAGCTGTTCGATGCTGCCGAATTCGACTCAAAGTTGCGCCAGTACTTGTCGAACTCTTCGAAGATCTGGGAGCGGAAGGGCGAACCGGCGAATAGCTCCTTCAGGCCGCCATCGAACATGCTCGGAAGGGGTGACCGTGGGCCTGTCGAGGAGGAGTTTATGTTGCAGTTGGACTCGGTTGAGGTTGAGGTTGAGGTTGCGGTTGCATCTTCTGTGTGTAGGAGTAGAGTAGGAGCAAGGCGCACACAATGAACAATCGAGTGAGAGATATTTAAAGAGAGAGAGAGAGAGAGACAGATAAATACAACAGAGAGGGAGAGTGAGGATGTGCGTGTGAGAGGGAGGAAGGGAAATGGCCATACACCGATGAGTAGGAAGGAGTGTGAAAACTTTTAGACAAACTTATTCCAGGCTGTCAGCAGGGACAGACCCACGACAAGGGCAGTGCCCAAAATGGTGGAGGCAGCGGAGGAGTTGGACTCCGACTGACGATTAACATTGATGGCGGTGCTGGATGGAGTGTCTGTGGGGGAGTGGGACAGGATGGGGGAGAAACGGGAACCACAACCACGATTAGCAGCATCTGGTTCGGGCGATGAGCGGGCACTAGTTACGGAAGCGGTTAGTCCAGTTAATCCAATGGGAATATTACGACTAACGAGCCTCGCCGTTTGCGAGCGATTGCGATAACGATTGCGATAACGATTATTGGTATTGGCATTGGGCGACGTCCCAGCGTCTCCACCTGCACCTCCGATGGCGTAGGCGGAGGCGCAGTCGGAGGAGGATAACTCACCCTGGACGGAAGGCGGCAGACGCGACACCTTGTACGTCTTCACGATGCTCGTCTTGTGGCTGGCGCTGCTGTGCGTGTTGTCCGTTGCCTCCTCGCGCCTCTCCTGCTCCTCGTGCCGCTCCACCTGCGCCCCATCCGGCAGCTGTTCGCTCGTCGAGAACTTGGCAAATTCGCGCAAATGCCGCGGCAGCTGCCGCAGACTGGCCTCCGCCTGGCCCTCGAGTATGCGCACGGGCGCTGCCTCCGCATCCGACTCATTGCTGGCGGCGACTCCCGCCTGCGCCTGCGCCTGGGGCTGGGACTCGGCGCCGCTCTCCCAGTCGCTGTCCGCGGGCATGGCCAGCTTGTGGCGTCGCTCCTTGACGGCGCTGAGGAACTCGTCGCTGATGTTCGACCGCTCTGTGGCATGGTCCTGCTCGTCCTCGATCTTGGAGATTTTGATGATCTTGTGCTGGCGGCGCTCCTCTCGCTCGGCCACCTTGTTCATCCACTCCTCGGCCATCTGCTGGCGGAAGACCTCGTCCTCGCTGAGCGTCGGCAGCTTGGCCGCCGGCCGATAGCTCTCCCGTCGCTGCGGCGGCGGCAAAACCGGCGCCCGCTGCATCTCCTCCATCAGCCGGCGACGCTCCAGCTGCAGGCGCTCCACCTCCAGGCGCAGCTCCTCCTCCTTGGACAGGATGTACTTGAGCTGCTGCTCGTGCAGCTCCCGCGGCAACGAGGATCGCCGCTGCTGGCGGTCGTAGGCTGGCGGCGGCAACACATTCGCCTGTGGCACGGGGCCCGGACTCACGCCCCGCCTGGAGGTGGTGCTGATGTACTTCGGATTGGGATCCCGCTCGATCATCGAGTAGCAGCTGGCATAGTGCGGACGCTGCTGCTGCGGCGCCTGGCTGAGCATGGGCGCGTGTGTCCTGCGTCCCCCATAAGCGTTGAAGCTATCGAAGCTGTGCTGCTGCTGCTGCTGCTGCTGCTGGTGGTAGCCACTGCTCAGGTCATTGGTGCTGGCCGAGAGACGTGGCGCACGTATGGGCTGCGACTGCCTGGGATTCTGTCGCTGGTAGCAGATCTCCACCTCGCGGGCAAAGGGTCGCGCAATGTTCTCCGAGTAGCCCAGATCGCTGGCATATTGCGACCAATCATCCTGCGACGCGCTGCTGTTGTAATTGTAGTGCCCCGCGGAGGTGTGTGGCCGTGGGCGTGGCTCGCTCAGGTTGCACATGGATTCGGCACGACGGGAGCGCTGCTCCTGCTGCTCCAGCTCGATGGGAATCTCGTGGGTACGGGGCGTTTGTCCTGTGCTCTCCACATTCCGTGGCACCGAGCTCATGCGCTCCTGCCGGGATCTCGATGAACGCTCAATCTCTCGCTCCAGCTCCTGCATGTGGGCGTGGCGACGCTGCTTTAGCTCCTCCAGCGGGTGTTTGCCCTGACCCTGACCCAGACCCTGACCCCGCGTCATCCCGCTGAGATCGAAGAGCGAGGCAGACTTCTCGCGCCGCTCCCGCGTTGACTGGAGCTCGGCGTTCATCTGCTGCGAGAGTCGATCAAAGTCCTTGAACACCTTCTCATTGTCCAATCCGTTGGTGGGGGGCCCTCGGGGTGCTCCAATGGCATCCACGGCCGCCTTGGCACGCTGCCGAAATTCCTCATACGTGCCGCCGCCGCTCTTGCTCTCCCCATGGCCGCTCTCTCTGCTATTTTTGGTCGCGTCATCATCCTCAATGAAAGTGTTTGCCGTAGTCGAACCGTTTAATTTCGTTGCTGACATAATTGGCGGTGGTGGGATGGGCGGCGGCGGGGCATGATCGGTTGAATCAGCCGCCGGCAGATTGCTCTGCCTCTCGTGGCTGGAATTCGTAATGTCATAGATCACCTGTCCATTCTCCGTGCGCTTCTTCGACTCGTACGAGCTGGTCTCAATGTTCGAGTACCGCTTGGTGTGATGCTGCACCTTTGGCTGACTGCTGGATGTCGTTTCGATGTTGGAGAAGCGTTTGCGCTGCTCCTCAAAGATGTCTCCCTGCTGCTGCTGCTGCTGCTGGGCCATGCTGGGGAACATCTTGGCCAGTTCGCTCTCCATGCCACCGATTGTGGTGGTGGCTGGGAATCTCACGTCCGTGCTGCTGTTCATTTGATGGCTGGATCGGGTCTGCTGCTGCTGCTGCTGCTGCTTCTCTGTGTGCTCGCTGGGATCAGCTGCTTGCCTTGGTTTATTTTCACTCGATGACGATCCGTTCCTCTTCGGATCGGCGCTTGCGTCATCTCTCTTGGCGCTCGCCTTGGCCGCTGTTTCGGCGCTCTTCACTGGCACTGGCGGTGGCTCTTGCGTGGGTGTCAGGCTCTTGCGCAACTCTCGCATCATGGCCGCCGTCTTGAGCATCTCGCTCTGCTTTTGCTGCTGCTGCTGCTCCTGCTGCTCGTTGTCGAGGGCACGCACTTGGGCGCTGCTCAGTTCATGGTAGCCGCGACGCTCCACGAACTTTTGATGATCATCCAGCAGCTGATCGGCTTTGGTCTCACCCACCAGCGGACGTTGTGCCGGCGACAGGCATACCAGCAGCTTGGGATCCGCCTGCGTGGGCATTCCCAGCCAAGCGGAAGTGGACGAGGACGAGGACTTGCTCTCGTGCCTGCTGGTGCTGGTGGACAGCTGCAGCTCCCTTATGTGGGGCATTGCTGGCAGTGGGTAGGGCATCGTGGCGGCTGCCGCGGGTTCCTGTGGGTGCTCGTGTGCTCCTGGCTCTGCTATATCCTGTGCCACGCTGGCTAGTTCCTCGAGCACTTGCTCACCATACGGCATGGAAGCCAAGGTCTCGGTGCACAGCAGCCGCAGCTTCTTAATGGGATCCGATTCTGCTTCTGCTTTCGGTTCGTCATCTGCAACTGAAATCTCTGACTCTAGCTGCTGCTGCTGCTGGGCTGGGGGAAGTGCTGGGTGGGTGCAGGTGGAAGCAGGAGTGGATTTAGGAACAGGAAATTGTGGTGCATGTTGCGGCTGTTGTCTGAGGGGTGGTGTGGGTGGCTGTTGCTGTTGCTGTTGCTGTGTCTGTGGCGGGGGACTGCTGGCAAAGCAAGGCGGGGGCGAGGCCAAATTGATGGCCGTGCACTGGCTGTGCTGTGTGCTGTCCGAGCAGTGTGACTCCGCAGACTCCTGCCGACTCAGCAGCAGTGGCGGCAGGGACACTGTGTGGATTGTTGGACTGTTGGGATTGTAGTGCTGTAGGCCAGCGGGTGGCGGCGGAATGGGCGGGGGTGAGGGCGAGGGTGAGGGCGAACGTGGCTTGAACTGCTCCGGAGCAGGCACTCCGTTACCGATACTCGTCTGTTGTGGCTCCCCTTGCTGCTGCTCCTCCTCGCGTCGCGTCATCTCGATCAACTCGCGCACCTTGTCCATGTTGCGAACGAACTCCTCTCGCGTGGCCGACAGCGTAGACGCTGCGCCGATACTGCCGATGCTGCCACGGACTGGCGGCTGTTCGCGAATCGAATCGAAAGATACAAATGTATCTTCTGCTCTCGGCAGCTGCGGCTGCGGCTGCTCTGCGCTGGTGGGCGGCGTCGGCGTGGCGGCACTCAAAAGCGAAGACAACGAGCTGCCAGCCGATGCCAGTCCCTCTCCCCGGTTAACAGGTGTGCTCTCGCGGCTCTCCGTGTCCGTTTCCGTTTCCGTTCCCGTTTCCATCTCCGGTTCCCCCTCCGTTTCCGTCTCGTTCGACGACGTGGCCGCGTCCGTTGTGGTCGTGCTGCTCATCTCATCGTCGGGCCTGCGGAACAGTTTGCTGGCATCCGTGTCCAGATCCACCAGGGCACGCTCTGCCAACGCTGCGGCCTGCTCCAGCTCGAGCTCCATCAGGTCGGACATGCTGCTGGAGGCGGAGGAGCTGAGGTACACCAATTCCGCGTCCTCGGACTGCGGCGACAGTGCGCTCTGCAGTCGGGTGCAGCTCTCGAGGTCGCTGGCCTCCTCAATCAGTTTCGTCTCGAGCATGAGGGCCACCGGCTCCTCCCTGCGCTTGTGGCGGCGGCTAAAGTCCAGCTGGCTCTTGGGGAACGTTTCGGTGAGCTTCGGGTGGAGCCGCATCCCCGCCTGATCGTTGCCGGAGGAGCTGCTGCGATGCAGGCCGCCGGCCAGTCCGACACCTGCCAGATCGCTGTTCTCCTCCAGTATGCTGTCCAGGTAGCGCGGGTTCATCAGCTGCGGCAAGAAGTGCGACTCCAGGGCGTTCCGTTTCTGGGCGCGCTTCTGCCGCAGCTGCTCCTGTTGCTCGGCGCGGCTGGACGGCTGCAGATCCAGCGGGGCGGCTGCCTCCGTCTCCGAGTCCACCTCGCACACCAGCGGCGACTGCAGCACATTGAACTCCCCGGAGCTGCAGTCGCTGCTCAGCTCCAGCTCCAGCTCCTGTATCTGCATGTCGCGTGCAAAGTGCCCAAAATGTCCCACAGCTCCGGCTCCAGACACGTTCTTGGGTGACTCCACCAGATAGCGCGGCGGCGGTGACAGTGTGCCGCCTGTGCCGTCTGTGCTGAGGCTCAGCGCAGCTGGTGGTGCTGGTGTCGTGGTGCTGATCTCCTCGAAGGTGGGCTTACCTTTAGGTGCTTGCTCCACATCCCTCTCCACGCGTATCTGATGGATAATCACTTTTGTGCTGCGCTGCAGCGGCTGTGGAGCAGCAGCAACAACTTCCTTTTCTTCTGGCACTTTGACTTCTTCGTCTTTTAGTTCTGGACTGGTGTTTGACTGCTGCTGCTGCTGCTGCTGCTGCTCATCCACCTCCCGCACAATGCGATGCACTATGACCTTGGCTTGTCGCGGACTACCCGGAGCCTTGAGTGGTGCCTGCTCCACCCGCTGCTCCGTCTCATTGCTCGATCGCTTGCCGGATTTCTCCGACTGTTGCTTGGAGTTTTTGGCACCCATTTCTGTTGGTTCGCTGCTCGTTGGAGGTTGCTCTGCTTCCGTTTCGTTTTGGTCTGCGTTTATTGTGGATTTCTCTTTGTCTTCGCCTTCGCCTTCCGTTGCTGCTGCTTCTTTTGGTGGCTCTTCCCTCACCTCTAGCTGTGGATCCACGGCAACATTGTGGCTGTTTTCGCTGCTGTTAGCGTCCGTTGCCGATCCATTTGAAACGCTGCCAGAATTTCCATTATCATCAATGGAAGAAGAAGTTGCCTCTGGCTGGGTATCCTCCTCCCGCTGCTCCTGCTGCTGGTTTTGATTTTGGTTTTGATTTTGGTTTCGATTGCGTTTGTTGCGATTGCGATTACGATTGCGATTGCGATTATTGGGCATCGTCTACGTCACGTCACGTCACGTCACGCGTCTTCCCGGTCACTCGACTAATAATTGCAGTTCAAATTTGTTGTTTTAATAAATCGGAAAATCTCTCTCTGTGTGTGTGTGTGTGTGTGTAATCAGCGAAATCTACAACTAAATTCTTGTTGCTCCTAATTCCTATTGCTATTCGTTGTCGTTGTTTCTTTCTTTCTAGTATTTTGCCTCTCTGACTGTGACTGTGACTGTGTCTGTGTCTCCGTTTCTGCCTGCCTTTGGTGTGTCACTCGTCGCCAGATACCCAACTAGAACTGAAACCGCTCGGAGCGGATCTGCCGGCAACAGGCCCACGACACGACGACACGATCAACAGCCGGCAAAAACATGGGAAAGTGAAAAACGAGGAAAAATTAGAATGAAAAGAAAAGAAAAGAAACAAAATGTCGTCAGCGTCGACTGCGACGCCAGCGTCAACCGTCAACGCCCGCCCAGTGCCTGGCACGCGTCCGACTTCCCCTTTTTTTTGTTTTTGCTGCACAATACAAATTCGCGTACAGATTCGCGATATTCTTCGGCCCGAATCGGGGATCTATGTCATTGTTTTGGTTGTTTTTTTATTGGCCAAATTGAATTGCGTCTCAACTCTCAACTTTCGCTTTTTCGTCGGCGGTTCGATGCGGTTCGAAATATTTTTCTAAATATTTATCCCGTGGGTGTTGGTGGCCCGCGTTTCCCGTTCCTCGTGGCGCTGGCGACTGACCGACAAGGAATGGCCCATCGGGCTGGTTGCTGCTTTGGCAGCAGGGAGCCAGCTCCCCACTCACACACACACACGCACACTCACACACGCACACATCAATGTCTAATTGGTTGCACAGAGGCACGTATTTGAAAATATACACAAAAATCAGTAGCAGCAAAAACAAATCTTGAATTCATAAAGATTTCAAGATAGAGAGAGAGAGAGCAATGATGAGTGGGTGTGTGCTGGGGGAGTGCAGTGCAGGGTATTCCAAAAGGCAGCGAAACAACCAACCAAAATTCTCCTCTAGGTCAATGCAATTTCCACAAAACCAAACAAATATGAAAACTTTTATATGCCGAGAATACAATTTTTGACACATCCATAAATACTCGAAAATGCTTTGGGAACAAACTTATAATTTGTTGGAATTTAAGCTGCATAAATTCTTTGTTTAAATGTCTGAAAATATCATTTAGAGATTTGAAATGGCTTTCAGTTTCACCCCAAGACATTTTTCAAACATTTCTACCGGAATGATGGAACAAATTTCTACAAGGAAAAGTCTTCAACTTTAGAAGCATTGATTGCAGATTTATAAGTGTTTTTTTAAGCTTTAAATATAAGAAATTTAAACTGTAATTCTGGTCAAAACTCTGAGTGCAATATGCCCAAAAGAATCGCATGCAGGGCATCGTCGGAGAAGAGAACTCAATACGGAAATAGTTTGCCACAGTTCGAGTTTGTCTAGATGTGCGTGTATCTGTGTATCTTTGTATCTCTGCTGACTGGTGCTCTGTATCCATACGTACAAATACAGCTTATGGCATTTTCAAGATATTTTTCGTGCGTAATTTCTTTTGATTTTGATTTTTGTGGTCACAAGTCTCGGGCTGCCGCCGCTCCTGTTGCTGCTGTTTCTGTGTACTCTTGAATAATTGAAGCACATATATGTATGTTTGTACTCATGTATATCTCATACATATATATCCGCGTGTATATATAGCACTTGGGTGTTTCATCCTAGTGGGCCATGCGGTTAGTAGTATTCTGCTTTTATTTTTAAAGGTACTTAATGGACCACAATCTCTCAGTTTGTCTCTTGTTTGTCTGTCTGTCTGGCCGGCAGCCCCTCCATCATCGTCATCAGCAACTTCCTCCTATCCGATCTGATCTAAAGTGAAGTAAAGTGAAGTGAAGTCTGTGGCCCTGTCAGGTGCCAGACAGCCCCAGACACGTGATGTGCCTTTGGTGTGTGTGTGTGTGTGTGAGTGTGTGGGGCAAAGGAAGGGTTTGGCCTGCATTCAATAATTATGCAATCCCCATGCACAGTGTGACAAGGTGCACAATGTGGGCTGCAAACGAAACTATTCGAATTTGATGTGGAAATTGGTTTGGTTTCCGTTGGAAATTCTCCTCTGGCTGGTTCTCTGAGGTGTGCTTGAATTAGTTATTGTACGTAAGCAATCTATAGATATTTGCTACTTGTTAGTTTATAAAATTGAGTTCTTCTTTTCATTTTCGATTGCCGTAAAACAGCGCACATTTGTGTTATCTTTTCGTGCCACCAATCGCTGATAAATTTTGCATTTCCGATAAGAAACACTCGCGAAAAAGGCCTGCTGTTGCCTTGAGCAACCAAATCGAAGTTGGAAGAAGTTAGGGAGGGTTCTTCGCTTCCCATGGAAGAAAATGCAGCAAGCACATAAAAGGGGTGTTCCGATGAAGGTTCTTTCTTGTAAGGAACTTCCTTTCATACGAAACTCATTTTATGGGCAACATTCATCCAACTGTCGTCATTTAAAGGGTACTGCTAGTCTCTGGTGGGTCGCTCATTTAATTTGTTATTATTTCTGCATGGATTATTGTCTCTGCCTGTCTGTGCTTTGCGCTCTCCCTCTCCCTCTCTCGCTCTTGCTCTCTTTCTTTGGTTGTATCACACTGGCTGTCTGTTTTGTTGTTGCTTCTGCTGCTGCTTGTGCTTTTGTTGCTAATTAGCATAGATTTTTGAATCTCTTTGTTGTTTCTGTTATTTATTTGGCCAGCGCGTTAAGCATTCGGTTCGTTGTTCCGCTGTTCTCCCATAAAGAGGAAAGCACATGTTTGGCTCTCTCTCTCTCTCTCTCTCTTGCTCTCTTGCTCGTGGGAGAAGCACAACCACAAAACCAGAGTCACTCACCCACACAAACAGACACACAGACATAAGCAAAGAAACAAACAAACAACAAAAATGTGTTTAGTAAATTAATTTATGAAGCGCGCTCCGATGTACTTGCCACCCACCCACCTACGAACCAACCAACGAACAAACAGAAGCACCATCAATCGCTGACGTCACGTTCTGCATGCACACACACACAACATGTGTGTGTGCAGGCTCTGGGGGTCAACGGAGTCTTACAATTTAATTCGCAATTAATTGCAAATCGTCGGCATCGGCTGTTGCCTCAAAGGAAAAGCGCACTTTTATCCGCCGCGTACGTGAGCCAACTGAGGCGTCGGCAGGCACATGGCACCCAACAACATCCAAGGGGCCGGCGCGCTCTCTCGATGCCCCGCACAGTGGGTCTGGCTGGGGTAATGCGGGCATAATGGATGTGATTTTGTCATATCACACTAGCACACTCGTATGCCCCTCTGTCTTATCTGCGCATAATGAATTTGTCGATTTCTAAAATCGAATAATGATCTCAGCCCCTGGCCGGTTTCTCGGTTTCTCGGTTTCTCGGCTTCGCGGCCTCGCATCTAAGTGCCAAAGTTTGCGCGTAATTGCCAGCGATTTGAGTGAGAAGCAAAACTACACATTAGTACCGTAAAGGTACCCCTCCTCCTCCTCCTCCTTCCTTTGCTCTTATATGGCAGGTTGGTATAAACAAACACATTACACTCTCGGCCCTATTGCGTCAGTGTCCGTCTCCGTCTCCGTTTCGTTCTCGCTTCGCTCCTTCTGTCTTTACAGTTAAAGTTGAAGGCAAACGCTGGTACACACACACGCAGACACAGCGTTACAATGGGAAACAAAAAAGAAAAACACACACACAAAGCTATTTATAAACGGCAAAATCAATCGGCGAGCCCCAAACCACAACTGAGGGGGGGGTAAACACTACAGCGGTACTCGAGTTTGTGTTCGTGTTTGTGTAGTGCAGTGTAGTTCTCGACGGCTCCGCTCCACTCCGCAGCGATCGACACAACGTCAAAGTCGAAGTTCTAATGTCAAACTGAAGCTTTGAAAGCTCTGACACCTGGAAGCGGTTCCGCCAGAGAGCCCGTTAACTTTTGCTGATTGCCATTGCCGTGCTACAAACACCTCACCTCACCTCACCACGCCTCGCCGCCACCTCTTCCCCATCGCTGGAACCCCATCTGGGAGCGGGTTCTGACGACTGCTTGCCGGCAGCCAGCTGTTTTGCTGAGCGCTTGGTATTGCGAATAGAAATGTTTTGGCGTGCGGCCAATCTATTGACAGCTGGAAGCAGCTTTCGATTTCTGGAATACTTGACAGGGCGGCGTCAATAGGGCAGGATGGGGCACGGGGTGAGGTTTGGACTAGATTATAATGTAACTACGACCGTCTAAGCTGTATGAGCTCACTGCTGGGGGGGGGGGGGGGTTCCATGAACTTCCAGCCCATATGCGGCCTTGAGGAGCAAGAATTGATTCCCTCTGTTTGTCTCAACCTTCATTTAGAGACGTTCATCTTGTGATACATTATCAACATTTCTGAGCACATTCGGAAATCGGAAAGGCAGCACTCAATTATATGCTAAAGGTACACCGATATTAATCCCTGTTCGCATCGTGACGCAGCGACGGCCAACTCCGATAAGCAGCGAAATTCAGCAAGTCGAATATTCTTATCAATTGTTTATTCAAAGGTTTTGTGCTGTGATTTATTTGCTAGCCCCAAAAACAAACAGAACAACAAGGAATCATGTAACACCAAGATCATTTCTTTTGGCGAATAACAAATTCACGCTAATTGCATTGTCAAAATTTGCTTTCGCGATTTGTTTTTGCTTTTGTTCTGTTGTTTTCTGGGACCCACTGAATCACAATTCGATACTAAAATTCTGTTTTGTTTCGCTTGTGCTCTCAAAAACATTGCCAAAATGCCGCAGAAACAATAAAAACTGCGCGGCAGCTGCGTCAGCCGATGAGCGGCGGCAAAACAACATTATAGATACCACACCAGCCATCATGCACAAACTAAATTATTAGAATGAACTAATGGCCAAACGAAAATGGTCAACGAATATGGATAATATTCGGTTTGGGTCGATCTGTGTGGGCGCTACCATAAACTAAGAATGTCAACAAAGTCAAGTCAGCTACCCAAGAAACTATTCAACTAAATTGTGCACTAAGCCTAAGGATTAGTCGCTATTAGGGCATGGGCGAAGGTCATTTCCTTTTAATTTGCGCCCAAAAGTATGCAAAATTGAGTATCACGGATCTAAATTAGGAGAAAATCTATCGATTTAAACAGATTTCAGTAAAAACTCCAAATTTGTATTCACACTTGACAAGTCGTTGACATCATTTCATTCTCCATGGCTAATCAATGTGGCAAAAATCATTAAAAGTGACACCCGACAATCAACTTTGATACAGCGAAAGAGAAACCATCCGCTGCGCCCCCCCCCTCCACTCCATCGGGCAACCAGAAACCGCGACAATGTCTGTCAAATCAAAATTCACTGCCCGGCACTTGCCACAAGTGCTTCAACGACCAGGGGGAGTTCCGCACGGCAAGCCAATGACCGCACACCGCACTTGATTGAGTCACCACAGGAGAACGAACGATGACGATGATGTTGATTTCCCTAAATTTTGTACAATTATACATGAGCTGTCCGTGTGTGCACTTGAAAAGGGGGCATGGCAGGGCATTCTTGGGACAATGAACAGCTGCACATTACAAATTTAAGTGAAAATATTCACTCGCTTTTCGGTTCACTGTGTCAGGGGCAGCATGTTTTGTCCCAAAAATCAATATCGGTAAACAAAGAAATTTAAAATTGAACATTCTGGAATAAAGAACAATACAAAAGTATATTTTCTGCTTTGAACTTTGATGTCAGTTGTTGGACTTCGCTGTATTAAAAATCGAATAATTTTGAGTATAATTTTAAAGGGGTATTCCCTTTCAGAGTTCATTTCCATCAGCTCTTGTTTAGCTGCCCAAACTCGTGGGTACCCTCCCTTACAGCTCTATCTCCCTCTAAAGTGTATCGCTTTTGACAATTGACAATCATATTCTGTAGTGTTAGTATTTACCAACACGAAGGTAAATTCACACACAAATAGTCAAAGAGAGAAACCATTTACAATATGAAACTTTTGCCAGCTGAGGCTTATCAAAATTGTGTGTCGCGGCTGTCTGAGGGGACGGCGGTAAACAAACGCAGAATAATAAAAAATAAATAATAGTACATAGAAACGGTTCGTATGAGCATTGGCGCGGCTTTCTTTCTGCTCACAATGCCAAGCGCAAGAAGAATGTCAAATGGGAATTATAATTAAACATTAATCATCCGGGGAGCTGGGTGTGCCACGGAATGTCTCCCCGCTGGCCACCCCAACCACAAAGTTAATTCAATTTATAAAATATAATTGTACAATGAAATCAAAACTATATTCTGGAACACTTTCCGAGCATCATTTGCATGCAGGGCACACAGACTCAAACAGACACACACACACTAACATCCGGTCATTAGAGACTTAATTGAAGTATAGCCAAATGCTGTGGCTGTTGCCTGCCACAGAAAAGTGCAGGAAAAGGGTTGCACTGTATAATTTAAAACAAATTAAAACCCCATATGCACACAGCGACTGTCTATCCAGATCCATATAAACATAATATCTACTGTACGGATTTTGTATATGTGTCTATAAAGCGAGCATTTTGCGCCGTTTTTGGGGCATCATTATCGCCACAGACAAATTCAATAATTAACCCAAATGCGGTCTGCATTCGCCTATCAGCTGAATTTAAAATAGAAATCCAATATTGGAGCGTATTCAGGCATTGCCTAATGGGCGTTTATCGGTTAAGCATAAATTGATTTAAATGCTTAATGAAGCCGCCACAACGAGGCACGTAGAACAAATCAATGAAGTTGGTTTTCCGCAGAACAGTGAAAGGTCTCTTTTCCGCACGTGGTGCACTTAGGGAGATGTTTAGCACGGAAAGATTTCCGCGTTCGCGGTGTTCACTGTATAACAATTGCAACGCCGCGACGTAGCACAGTCTGTGGCGTTTCTTGTGTTAAATCCCCTCTTAGCACAGTGGCACGGAAAAAGGGCGCCAAGTCAAAAAGTGTTTGCCAGAACCAAAATCAATCTCTGAACACATTCAACGAGGGGCCCCCAATTATAATACTAGATACGTATCGGATTTACATATGTATGTATGTGTTTATGTTAACAACTCACTTTGTGTTTGCCAAATTGTTAGAATCTTTCTTCTTTCTGCTTTCTTTTTCACTTTTATTTGTGCACAAGCAAACAGATGCGGGGGCTAGTACATTTCACTCGCACGTCCTAACTGTTGTCGGTTTATCTTTCCGCTGAGCTTGACGATCGCGACGCAGCCCGCAAAATGTTATTCGCTTCACTCACGACAGTCGGCTACGACAACGACAACGACAACGAGAACTTGACTTGGCAAAACTTTGGTAGTAACTAAATAGCTGGGGCCCACGGTATCGCATGGCACAAACAACACACACGAAAAGTACGAAAGCAACGGCAACAACGCCAATATACATAGTAACAACAACAACGCTCTCTCCGCCGGCAGAGCAAATAGCTAGCCTGTTGATTAGTCTGACGCTCGCGCTCTGACTTGTTGCTGCTGCCCTGACTCTGCCAGCGTCTCTGCTTACGTTGGCGGCGTCGCGTTAGCGCTACTGCGCACAGTGGCTCGTTTTTAGCACACTCTTGTCCAAAAAACATTCAATGCACAGCGGACAACTAAATAGGTCTTTGATTTACTTTGTATTCCACCATATAAGTGCAGCATTCGTAGTGTTTGTTTGCTTGATTTTGCAACATTTTAAACAGTTAACTTTTGTTTTTGTCAAAAGTTCTTGGAGAGAGAGCCACAGTGCGTTGAGTGGTGGGTGACTACTCTCTGCCGATGGCTCTGTCTCTGTCTCTGCCAAAGCCGGCTTAAAGCCGTGACTTGTTGATGCTTTGGTACGTACTGTCATTCTTCGTTCCTCCTTCCTCGTTTCTGCTTTTGCGCTGCGTTCGTTCGGCGGGCACGAACCACAGATCCGATATTTTTCAAATTTGTATGCATAAATTTACACACACACACACAGTCACATAGAGACACAGAGTAGCTCGGTGAACAGTGAGGGTCGCATAGGTCAGAGAGGGGGGTTCTGTCGTGGGGGCGGGCTGGATAGGGGGATAGGCTGGGCAGCACACAAAACAAAAGAATCCAATCATTCAGCGTATGGCCGCACCATGTGCGCATCTGGTTCAGGGCAGAAGCTGGAACTGCGACTGAGAAATGGAGAGAGTGAGAGATGCAGGCGGAACATGTGTCTGGAGTGGAGACACAGCTAATGACTGACGATGACGGCATGGCTGGTGGGACTGCACATGCTCCATGGGGCGATTAAAGAGTTGTAAAACTAAGGGCCAGACTATATGTATATATTTTAGTTAGCAACTGCTGGAGTAACCCCCGCTCTTATGTAGATTTTGTTGTTGTATGTTTTGCCGGCTTTAGGCTGCGTTGTCCACCCTCCCGTTATATTGGGTCACCCATGTCCCCTCTGCTTCCGCACTCCCTCTCCCATTATCCATAATGTCAGCGTCATTGTCATCGACGCGACATTCGCGTCGTCAAGCTCCAACAGACAGTGGAGGATGGCAGCAGAGCCGCAGGCGGTGGCTAGAAAGATGGGGTGGCTGCGAATGCGAGGGCCCTGAACGGGGTTTAGCTTTGGTATGGCGGTATGGTGGGGATGGGTTGGCGGCGTGCACTGTTAGTTATTATTCCCATGGCCATGTGAGAGAGAGGGAGAAGCTCACTTCTCTGTGCTGCTCTCCTATCCATTGCATTACCCTGCGCTTTTGTCATTGAATTTTGTTTTAGTTTGTTATCGTTTATGCGTCGGCATGTTCCGCGAACAGCAACATAAAATGGAAAAGCAACACAAATGTAAATGTCAGCAAGTACAAATAAAAACTTTAGTGATAAGCCAAGCCAAGTTTCAGGTTTAGTAGCATGCGGTTAACATCTGTCTTGCAGTTACAAATTCATCACTCACCTGTTGCCTGCGCTGCTGCCCCGTTCTGGGGCACCTTGCGACTGGCATATGGCGTGCCGCAGTTTCTACAGGTTCCCGTCGGACTCGTGCCCGAGCTGGAACTGGAGATAGGGATAGTGACTCCCTCTATAGTCGCCTTTTGCACTCACCTGCTCAGGGCCAGTACTAGGGGGCCATGCTCCCGCTGCGCTTGGAGCATGCGAAGCAGCTGGGTATCGCTCAGCTGGACCTGGTCCTGCAGGCGCAGCGAGGACTGTGAGGGGAAGCAAAACCACATCAACTAACATTACAACAAAATCACTCAAGCACACTTTATTACACATGGCATAACACTTAGACGAACAACTACTTGGAACTTAGCCTAATTTGTCATACACTCTTGGACACACGTTGGCCTGTGGACTCCTTGCCGCGGCGCAGGGAGCAGAACTTCAGCATGGCTGGTGACTGGCTGAGATCATCCACAGCACTGAACTGAAAGGCCATCCGTTCGTTCGGTTTCCAGCTTAGATTCTCTAACCCGCAGAGATCTCTGTTTTTTTAGGGGGCGTTCGGTGGTACATTACAGATTGGGGCTGGCTGGAGATGGGACAGCGATAAGACTACGCCAGCTCGCAGATGCCGCGGCGGTCCATGAAGACCTCGAGGCAAGTGGTGTCGACGCGATCGAAGAGCAGCGAGCCGAAGCGCCTGGCAGTGTAGTCCACGATAAGCACCATCTTGCAGTTGATGCACTTATCGCGATAGTGGAAGAGCAGCCCCACCGTCGGGTGAACCACGTGGTCCACGAAGCCTGGAGCGGCGCGGTACACCTGATGGTTGCCCATCTCCACGATGGAGCGGGTGTTGACCACCAGCTTGCTGCGCACATAGGCGGGCATGATCTCCAGGGTGCGACGCACCTTCGACTGAGTATACAGCAGCCGGTTGAGGACGTGGCCCGGCGCATTGAAGGTGTCGTTGCTGTCCTTCCGGTAGAAGAACACATTGCGAAAGACAAAGCCGGTGGTGCGGCCTTCGTCGCACTGACGCAAGTAGTCCGCCAGCGAATTGTGCTTCAGGGGCATAAGCACCTCGTCCAGATCCACCACGGCTGCGTACCGATAGTTGTCCACGACATTGGCACGATAGACGCAATCATTGAACTGCGCCACAATCCCGGCATAGTGCAAGTCCTGCAGATGCGGTTGCACATTCCACTCGAAGACATCCGCCAGGCCCAGGCGCTGATAGTGGGTCAGCACACGTCGCACCTCATCGCTGGCCTCCACGTAGTAGAAGTAGAAATGGGCGGCACCCTGCAGCCGGTACATCTCCACGAACTCCACCAGGCGCAGCACATTCGAGTAGTTCTCCTGGAGCGGACCCACGCACACGGAGATGGCGGGTCGCGACTTGACAAACAGACTCGACATGTTGCGGGGATAGCTATGAGAGGGCGAGAGGGTTAGACCAGACGTTGCTGTGGGTTCTAATGACCTCACCTAATCTGTATGAAGCTGGGACTGAGGTGGCTCAAGCGATTGGAGGCATAGCTGAGGGCCACCGCCTGCGGCAGGCGCATCGGGTCGCGCCTTGAGGCGTGCAGCGGACACATGATGCTCCAGGCCGCAAAGCTGTTTTTGTGCACCTCGTGCATGGCGCCCGCCTCCTCGGACAAGATCTCCTGGCTGCTAAAGTCAGCGAAGCGCACGATGCAGCTCACCTTGGAGTCCCTCAGGCGCACCGGCAGCGTGGCGAAGATGCGCAGCGAGCCGATGGTCATCTGTTCCTCATCCAGGCGGACATTTCCTATGCAAAGAAAGGAATTAGTATGAGTCGTTGCGTGCCTATATAGATACCCTTACCTATGATCTCAGTGCGTGCATCGAAGTAGGCCGAGTAGATCTCATGACGCAGCGAGGCATTGCCGATCCTGCGCCAGCTGTTGTTGTAGTCCCAGTGCGGATTCGGCTTCTCCAGTATCAGCTGGCGCTGCAGGTGCTCCAGGTCGACACGCAGCCGCTCATTCTGCAAGCAGGATCAAAAGAGAACAGAGCAGAGGGTCAGTCCAATCGCTGCAGATGGATGTGTGGCCATCGCCGACTCACAAGGCTCGTGCGCATGGAGATGTAGACCAGGACGAGCATGGCGCTGGCCACCAGCCCGGACAGCGTGAAGTACACGTACTGAAAGCGATTCTCTTGAGCCGCCAGCATGGCGAGGCCTTGGCGTGTGGAGCGTGTGGCAGGTCGCCACACTTGTGGCACTTGTGGCCGAGCCGATTGTGCAGGTGTCGCCGCGACTGGACGCGTGCTATGCTGCTGTTCCCCAGGAATCACCGCCAGCAACTAAAACTGTTTATTTATTTTCTATTCCACCGTTGGCCGAGCGAGGCGTTGACAGCGACGCTAACGCTGACGCCAACGCCAACGCAGACTTTGTACGTCGCGCGACTTGGGGCACAGACAGTGCTGAAGAGCGCGGCTCCTGTTGCTTATTTGCTTAGCGCTTTGGCGCTTGATGGGCAGCCATCGATTAGCAGCGAACAGATACTGGCGGGGTGGCCTCCCCCCAGTGTCATCATCATCGGCCTGCCTGTCCTCGGCCGCTGACCGCAACAAACCGCAAAAGTTGTTCGCTTGGCGCCCACTGTACGCAAATGATTACGACAACCACACACAAACAAACACACACACGCACGCACTCTCTCGAATAGGTAACGGGGGAGGTCGGTCGGGGTGCTGGAAGGGTGGCTGGCTGGCTGGCTGGCTGGCTCCCCTTTTGCTTCAGGATGCGCATGCAACAAGTTAATCAACGCACGCCTCGCATCAAACTGGCGCCTCTGTCGTCCATTCCATAGACGCTGTCATCAGAGGAGCCGCAGAGCAGAGCAGCGCTGTGGCAGAGCAGCAGCTGAGACAGCGACAGAGTGGCGTTGCGTTGCGTTCCGTTGCGTGGGGTTGGGTTGGGTGGGGGAGAGCCTTGTAAGGGTACTCCATAGATTGTCTATGTGTGTGTTTGTATGTCTCTCGATTGGATTGGAGTGTCCCTGGGACACACACTTTTCTGCCTCTCCTCCACTGTGTGAGTCAGCAGCGTCGCCTTTTTCCCCGGCTATTTTTAAGTAAATGAAAACGTCTTCCAAATTCTTTTTTATTATGGAAAACGAAAACATTTCAATTATACATACATATACAATGTTCATGTGTGTGTGAGAATGGGATGGAATGGGAAACGAAAGTTGGCGAAGGCGATGACCACTTGATGCTCGATAGGGGGATGTCTACTCTGTAGGCAGTTCGCACAGTGGTGCAGTGCCGTAAACAAAAATGTGTATTTGAAATGATGAGATTTACACTGCACATAAATGCTTCAACCTTTGGTAAGTTTTCTATTGATTACAGACAGCCAATTATAACGAGTGTGTCCCAGTCAGATAACACCATGGAGATATGGTTTCTTATTTAGAAAGTTAACTCGCCACTCTTGCCGCACTGTGCACGATTGTGCCTTCATGTTCCACAGCGAAAATATCAAATTAGTCAAGATTTTCGTTTCATTTGAGGCTCCTCAAAGCGCAATATCAATTATTCAAACCATTAAACACTCAAATGGGTACCGTGCCGAAATGTTTCTTGTGTTTGTCTTCAATGCAGCTTACGTTTTTCGCTTCACTCACCTGCAGATGTCTGTAGCCAAAGATAAGGACTAGATAGACGAAGAACGCAAGCAGCGGCAAATGCGTTTGTCGGGGCCGCAGCCAGTGGGAAAATCGTGGCATTTTCCCTACAGCAACGTCATGACTTTAACTGGCGGACACTCTAATGTGACTACTGAAGTGAGTGCGTGGGTGCCCAATTCTGTGGCACTATCAGCTCATTTGATAACTGTGTTATCATTAGATTGATATGCCTAGAGGCAGGTGTGTGACCAGGTAATGATAGTTAAAACTAGTCAAAAATCCGAGATATCCGAGAGCGGCACGGCAAGCAGTTCCCTGGCAATGGTAGATAAATTTATTAATCTTTTTGGAACTTTTCCCATAAATAAGACAAAGACCAGTCAGGGCTTACAGTTCGGGGAGATGGGCAGCTGCAGCTGCACTTTCTGTTTCGTTTTTGGCGCATCCCTGACCCGCATTCTGGCAGTAGCCAAACGATGTGCAATTGATGATTCCACAAGAGTCCTGCATGGAATTAAATGTAACCAGCATAACTCTGTTGGTGGGCCCACCAGTAGCTGGCAAACTGACGCAGAGCTAAAAACCTACCCTTACCATGGCCAACTGTTTGTGTTATCATTTCTTGGGCGAACCCTTGGGCGAGCACCATTCTGGAGTTGCGCCTGCCCTGAGCGTGAGAAACTGAACAAGATTGCCAGAGAAATAGCAAAAATCTTGACTAATTACTATGCACTCAACTGGTAGCAGTAGATCTGTTGAGTTCTGTTCAGTTCGGTTCGGTTCGGTTCGGTTCCCATAGGGCACAGACGCACAAGCGCTGGGGGTGAGCTAACCCTCAGCTGGAACCCTCCACCAAGTGGCAGGGACAGGAGCCAAGATTCTCGAGATTCGAGAAGCAGAGCGATACCAGCATGAAAATGAAATAAACATTTCCAATTCAATTCATTTCTTAAAGCGAACCCTCCTCGTATTGTCATTGTTATGGCACAACGGCACGCACCCGGTTCCCGGTTCCCGACTCCCGGCTCCCGACTCACCGTTCCCATTGCACGAAATTCCCCCTCTGCTGGCACGCCTGCGTCATGCGAAAGTATTTTCAATTGTCAGTTTTTGGTGGTGGATTCGACTGCAGAGTATAAATAGCCAGGCGCGATCGGCATTGCGGCACAGTTCAGTTGGAAGTGCCGCCGAGAAAAGACAGACAGAGGATCGACAAGTCTCTCACTAAGCCAAGCCGCCACCGCCTTGTGCGGTGCGGTGCGGGGCGGCCCAGCCAAGTCCAAGTGCTCGCCCAACTTAATTAAAGTCAATTAATTGCTTTACAAGTGAATCGACAAAAGTGTTTTTCAATTTACCCAGAAACTGCCCTCGAAAATGTAAGTACAAAGAGAGTGACAATGCTTGTCCCACAGCTCACAAATTCCTGTTTCAGCTGTTACAGGATCTTCACAATAGTTCGAGTCCTTCATCCAGATTGAGCGACAAACCAAGCAAAAAGAAACATTGCTCAAACTCAACAAGTTGTCAGCAGCAAAGGAAAATTCTATAATACTTCCAATCCAACAGCTGTAAGAGGGTTGGCTTTATCCACGAAACAGAAGACTCGACTCAGACCATGTGGGGAAAAAAAACCAACCTAATTCACAAATCTATCAAGAGATCAAAGAAGTACAAACCATGTGAACCAGGACAAGTCACGTTCCAAAAACAAAACTGGAATGAATGTTTTCTTTCAATCATTTTACAAATATTGTTCTTCAGTTAAACAGCTTGACAATTTATTTGTTTTGCAATCTACAAGAAAAAATAGGTTGAGGATCTAAAGAACCATTTAAACTATCCAACAAATCTTCCAAAACAATTTTGACTTATTGAACATCCACATAACATTTTAGTTGATCATATTTTGTGCCTTTTTGTTTAGTTTCTTATAATTTTTGTTGCTGTTTTCGTTATACATTTTTGAAGCTATAAATTTGTTGGTCTAACAATGCCCTCGACGACAGCTTTCACTTAAGATAGGAGTCAGGAGACTGTTTATCAGGAAGGTATCTTCGACGTGTATTGCCAATAGCAAGCCTGTTTTTGTTGCATAAATATGAATTTAAGTCATCCATATATCCTTAAGCGTCCTGAGCTGGTTTTACATTTCATTTATTTTGTTTCTTCCTTTTCTTTTTGGGTAAGTTACGATTTCTCTTAATTTCAATTATTTTCACTTGAATATTTCATTTGTTTATTGTGTTCCGTTTTTGTTTCGTTTTCAAAATTATTACTTTTTCTATTAAGTTTTCCTTAAACGGAGTTATACATTTTTTGTTGTGAATAATTTTCGTTCTTCATCATTTTGGATGCGGTAAGTTTGTATTTTTCATTTTTCCTATGTTGCAATTAATTTAATATAATTTAATTGGATTTATTTTTTTGTTTTACAATTATTTTTGTTATCTTATTGTTCCTCTTTTTAGCGACTCATTTTGTAAAGTGGCTTATGTTTTTTTTTTCTTTGTTAAATTGTTTTTATTATATTTTCCATTATCTGGTCATTATTAGTTTTACCAAAAATATTCAGTTCATTTATTTTATTGATTATTTCATTTTTTTTTTTCAATTTAATCAGTTCTTTAATTTTATTTCTTTGTATTTTAAATACTTATAAATTTCATTTTATTGTGGCTTATTACATTTTTATGTTCCCTTTATTTTGTTTAACTTTTTATTTATTTATTAAATTACTTTTTGATTCTATTAATTATTTGATTTGATTTCATTATTTGTTTCTATTTTTCGTAAGGGTAATATTAAGCCTTACTTCACATTTCTACTATAACTTAGTATAATTTCATTGGTTAAATATTTAGTTTAATTGATGATTTAACATATTTTTATTCTTATTTATTTCAAATTGGGATTCTAAGTTATTTATTTGGTTCCATTTAGTTATTTTTGTTTATAAATAAACCTTTTTAAGTGATTTTTGATATTATTTTTGTATTGATTTTGTGTTCATTTCCTATTCATTTCTTATAATTTTTGTGTTTGTTTGATTTGTTCTATATTTGGCTCAGGGAATCCAAAAAAGAGTAAGAGTATCCGCAATGGATCATAGAACTAAAAACATAAACAATAAAGCAACGTGTACTGTTCAACCAGAACAATTTGTAGTTTCATTCCCCACCCTGGAGATGAAGGGAAACTCTCATCCGTTGAGGATCTTTGAAGATTGTTTATTTGAGCAGAAGCGTGCCACACACATAAATAGTTTCTTTGGAGACTTACGAAGTACACATAAATACGAAAAGGTAGATTACACCTTGCGCTGCCACATCGGGGCAGTGTCTGGCTTTGGTTCCGCTAACGGAGCTACTGCATTGGATTGTCCACCGTCTGGCCGGGATTGCCCTCGGAGGCTGTCTGGGCCGCGGGCATGGGCATTCCTTCTGCACTGATTCCACCACCACCACCACCGCCGGCAGCATGCGCCGAGTCGCTTGAGCCATCCGAGGAGACGTCTGCGGGATTGTTCGAGTCACGTTCGAGCAGGTAGCTGACGCCTAGAGGACGTGGTCGGCCACCATAGGAAGAGCTACAAGGGGCGACAAGAGAGCGAGCCTAACTTAATGCTTTGACCGATTCCTGGCTGCGACGAGTGCTGGGAGGCTGGAGCTGTGTACAGGAGTTGCAGGAGCCGGCGAGGGGCAGCACCCACTGCAACTTACCTCTGTGCATCGCGGTCGCGGTCGCGGTCCCGATCCCTTTCCCGATCCCGACTGCTGCTACCGCTGCTCAGGCCATTGCTGCCCGATGAGCCACTCCCTCCTCCATTGCCTACCCCGCCGCTGCTGCTGCCGCTGCCGCCGGACTTGTCCTGATCGCCCAGATACGTCCAGCTGCCCTGGCCATTGGCCTTGCCGCCAGCCACATCCGATCCGTGGACACTGGTGTGTCCACCAACGCGAGCGCTGTCACTGCCAATGGCCGAGGAGGAGACCTTGGAGCCTCCGGCATAGGGACAATTTCCGGCCAAGCGGCCGCAGGGCGAGGAGAGCGATGGAGAGGGCCGGCTGTAGGCGTAGCCATTGCCGCGGGTTCGCATGTCGCCATCATCCTCGTCGGTGGCAAAGTAGTAGCCACGTCCCGAGTTGTCGAAGCCCGACTGGCCCCTGATCGGTTGGGTCGATTGGGTGGGGTTTGGGTCGGGCGGGGTGTGCAGGTTAGGCGGAAAGGTGGATTGGATTGGATTGGGTGCAGTTTGGGGTGCAGTTTGGATTGGTTCCCGGGTCGAGGAGCATCCACAGAGTATCCACAGTGTTGTTGTTGTTGTTGTTGTCGTGTATTGGTTGTAGTTGATGTTGTTGTTGTTGTTGTTGTTGGTGTTCATGTTGTAATGGTGTTGTTGTTGTTGTTGTATGAAAGTAGAGAGTAGAAATAGAAATAGAAATAGAAACATCTTTGACAACACACAGAGATGGAGAGAGAGAGAGAGAGAGAGGAGCAAGTGGAGCACACAGTTACAGATGGAAACAGTTTAGCGATACCTGTAGGTCTCATCCCAGGGACGATAGTTGCGAAAATCATACCTGGAGTAGTACCGATCATAGGGATCATAACGATCGTAGCTGCTGGCACGCGAACGATCATAGTAGCGATCTGTGGAGTAGAGTTCAGAGAAGTTCGAGTTGGTGTAACTGCAAAGTAATTTCAATCGTGGGTCAAAACGAACCTCTGGTGGAGCTATCGCTGTAGCGTTCTGGATAGTAGCGATCCCGGCTCTCGTAGCCATAGCCATAGCCGCGTTCCCGTTCCGGATAGGAGCCATACCCAGAGCTTGAGCCATAGCTGGAGCCATAGCTGGAGCCATAGGCGGAGCTGACGGGGCGTCTGTAGTCATCGTAGCCGCCACGTCCCTCGTAGCGATCGTAGGTGCGCGGCGTGTAGCGATCGTCGTAGTAGCGGCTGCGATCGTAGGATCTGTCATAGTCCCGATCCCTGCTGCTGCTGCGATCGTCGTAGCCCGAGTAGTACCAGGCACTGGAGCGCTGATCATCGCCTGTCCGACTGGAGTAGCCGCCGTAGTAGCGATCCCTGTCCCGATCCTCGTAGCAGCGCACGCAGCGTGACTGGCGGCTCTTGCCACGCAGCACAGAGTCCAGCACGCCCACACCAGCCGTGGCCACCTGCTGATTCTGGCCACTCTGTCCGGGGTTGACACCTGATCGGGCCTCGGGTCCTGTCACAGCAGCACGGGCGCGGCCGCGTTCGCAGAGGAGCAGCGCCAGCAGGCAGAGCATCTGAAACACATCGTTGGAAGCGATCATTAGTTGATTGGTTTTAATTGCTTCTGTCGCAATGGAGCTGGGAGGCAACCAGCCAATACATATTTCGCGGTTCAGCGGACAACTGGGCCAATGCAGAGCTCCCCAACAGCCTCCGATCATAATTGACGAGAGTACAAAGGCCTGCGGAACAGCACACCCAGCCGCTGGCCATTCAAAATGGACGACAACATTGGGGGGCAGTCGGCGTGAAATATGATCAGCACCCCGCGATTATGCAACGGATTTCGGATTTTGGTTTAAGCCGAATGGCTCGCGGCAGCATTGACATCATTTCTGAGAGCCACTCATGGCTGCATGAATCACATTCTGGCCTGGATACAGACACAGATGCAGACACAGAATAAGTAGATTTGGATCGGAATCATAACGCTGCAAACCCCAAATGGTAATGGCCAAACTGGCCAACCAAGAGAGGTAATCATGAACAGTGTTTTGTCCAGTTCCCCGCCCCCCCCCCCCCCCCCCCCCCCCCCCCCCCTCCCCCCCCCCCTCCCCTCCGCACAACCCCCGCCCCTCNCCCCCCCCCCCCCCCCCCCCCTCCCCCGGTCGCCACGCTTTGTTAGCCAAGCATCAGGAACAACTTCCGGTGTGGCTGCTGGGCGCTGCTTTTCGCTTTTCGCTTTTGGGCTCTCTGCCTGTGGCTCCGACTTGTCACTGACTCTGGCCAACTTCATTAGAATAATTATAATTTTTCGAATGGAATATGAATATGGGAAATTTGTTACACCCGATCAAGGGTCGTTGTCATCCCCAAATGGAATATAGTTGCGGCCTTTACATAACATTACCGCTACGCTTGGCTATTGCATAAGGTTTATTTTGTTCTATGGCCCATGCTTTGGAGACCTTCGGATTAGTTGAAATGGAAAGCTAAGTAAATGTTCTAGGAATAATTTGAATCAAGTCGGAATCGTTATCGAAACTAATAGTGTTTCCTTATGCAAATTGGACCATGAATATTTGCTTAGCTTGATTGAAGAAGAAAGATGACTTTTAGATGGGTTTTAGGAGCTTAGGGAACTTTTTAGGGTTTTCAAATTATAAAAGAGGGAGAATTGGATAACTGAACAAAACTATATCCTTTGTGTCTTTCCTTTTTCAATTTATATTATTAAAATTTGGACCTACGCTATACAGCTTTGGGGAACTGCTAGCAACTCAAATATTGAGATACTTCAGCGTTACCAATCAAAAACTTTGCGACAAATTGTCAATGCTCCGTTTTACGTATCTAATGCAAACATCCACAAAGATCTGAATATTCCAACCATTAAAGAAGAAATAAAGAAAACTAGTAAGAAATACATCGACAGACTCCACAACCACGAAAATAATTTAGCCTTAAGTCTATTAAACAATAGCCTAACAGTAAGAAGACTGAAAAGATACCATACCCTGATAGATACATTTAACAAACTAAAAAGATGTTATATATAATAGCAGGGCTCATTGGAAAACTGCCATTTCTGTTAATTGAATATTAATTATACAATTTACTTATTGTTTAAAAACAGATTGTAAATATAAAGAGAGAGAAAAAAAAAAAAAAAAAAAAAAAAAATATTAAAAATTATATTATGATTTGTATAGAAAAAGAAAACGGCTACTAGAAATCGAGTTCTCCAAATAGTCCTCCAAAAAAGAGTTTTAATGCATGAGAAGAGTGCAAAGTCGAGAGAATTATCCATCATAAGCAGTCCGTTTATCAAATGATTGCCCCTGGCATTCCCACTCACCAATCCAATAGCACGCATGGTGTCCGCACTTCACTTTGTTCTTTGCTCCAACTTAATCACAAATGTTGCACCAGGCACGGGCGCGTGTTGTGCCTCTGCAGATTGATGGGGCACACGAGATTTGGAGTCCGAAAATATCCTTGCAACACTTTTTCACGAATCGGAGTTTCTCGAACTGGCGTCGGACCGCGAATGATCTGCCTAGAGCGGGGGCCACCGTATTTATCTGTACTCCAAGCCCAAAGGCCCGAGATGGGTTCTGCTTCTGCCGCGACGAGAGCACTGAACCGCGAGGCGAGGCGAGGCGAGGCGATGGCTGGCTGTGGTTCGCTGGCATTCGCTGGCAAAAGGTGTTGGCACTTGGACTCTCGGCAGGGGCGTCGATTTGTCACTTCAGCTGCCAGCAGCCCAACCAGCAACACCTTGGGGGTGTGTGCTGGCCGTGCTCGGCGTTTGCCTTTCGCAGAATGACAGGGAGGATGTGCTGGAAAAAATGCCTTAATTATGTGTCAGAAAACTCGCGCTAATTATGCGTCTACTATTGCGTAATATCTCAGCACAGAGACAGAACACTCCTGTGAAATTAGCGCAGATTATTTCGATCGAAGGCGTCGAGTCAGACACTTCCAGCTGGCATTTGCATTTCGGTGTACAAAAAAAGACTACGAAAAAAACCAACACTCCTCGGCGCTTGCATAACCCACGACCGTGACCGTGAAAAGGCTTTCCAGATGAAGACATCCAGCTCGGGGTGAGAGAAATTACATTTCACGAATGCTGGATGCTCTATGGGGGAAAAAAGAGTAGTAGGAGTAGGAGTATTACGAACTTGTTCGTATTATAATGCATGCCCGGCACCAGAGCTTGTCACAGTTTTAGATGCATTTATGTAGCTATATCTGTTAAGGACTGCCATATCGCAATTCTATCAAGGTATAACAAATTGACTTTCCGCTAGAGTGCCATGAAGATCTACCAGCTGCTGCCAGGAGGAGTTGTTGGAGGGCAGTTACTAGATCACCATCTTCATGTGCGTGCTCACTGAACCCCAGTGGAGGTCGTTGGCTTCCCACATAGAGCGTACAAATAGCCGAAACAGCAGGCAGGCGACAAGTTTAATTAAACGATTTAATTTAGTTTTTACACAGCGCGCAGCCACGCTGGTTTTTTTTTTGGGTTTTGAGTAGTTAGCTAGTACATGGAGTTACAGATTCGATATGGATATGGTAAATACCTTGGGCGTTGCTTCATGGAAGAACAATTTGTGATGTGTGTGTGTGTGTGGCACTTTTGGGGGCGCAACAAGTTCAACAATTAAGCTAAGTCAACGATTTCGCTAAATACGAGTTATTGTCTCCAGTTGTAACATATTTTTGGTATTCAGATACGCAGAGAAGGCAGCACTCTCGCGTCCAGAAGTGTGTGATGGGTGATCCTTCAAGCCGTAGATGGATCAGCCCCTTGGTAAATGTAAACGTATCACGAGTGCAGCTTGGCCGCATTGGCAGCGGCTATGTCATCGCGGAAGGCCAGGAAGCCGAGCTGGGCGTGCGAGGCCTCGTTCAGCGCTCGCGATCGAATGCAGGCGCGGTACTGGTCCGCGGTCAGCGAGCTGGCACACACCTGGCGAGGAGGCAAACATAAAAAAATAAAAAAGAAAACAGTTTAAAACATCACCAAAGGCAGTGCCTGCGTTTACCTTGGTGTGCCAGCGATGAAAGATGCCCGGATCGGTGGCCCTGATGATCTTGATCTTGGATCGAATGTACTTGCGGTAGAGCATCACATCCTCGCCGCCCCAGCCGACGATTTCCTCCTCATCGAAGCCGCGTATCTGCAGAAAGTTCGAGCGATACTGGCAGGTCATGCCATAGCCAAAGTCCCGCCAGAAGCCCGTGTCCTTTGAGATGACAAGCTGCTCCTCCTCGCTGGGCAGCGGCTTGCCCTGCAGCGTGTACACCACATGCGGGTTGTACAGACTGAAAACCACCGGATAGTACACCTGAGACAGGGCAGATGATTACAGTGCTTGTGCTGCTTGTGGCTTCGATTGTGGACTCACCTTCTTGCCGGGTGCGGCATTCCAGCGACAGCGTTCCAGGAATCTGGCCGTGAACATGATGTCCACGTCGCACATGAAGAGCAGCACATCCTCTGCGGTGGCAGGCGCAACAATGTGCTCTGCCCCGAGTCTGAGGGCCTTGGCTGAAAGAGGGACAATGAGTGGGGAGAATGGAGAACAAGGAAACTCCCTTTGCTCACCCCTGCTGAAGGTCTCGTTTAGAGCGAGGAACTGCGTCCGCTCCGACCGCTCTGCCATCCGCTTGGCCTGCGCCAGTCCACTCTCGCCGAAGTAGACGACAATCAGTTCCAAATGCCGATCCCCGAGGCTGGCAAACATCTGCATGAAGCTGCGAAAGCTGTGCAGGCGACCGGCCAGCGGCACTATCACATGGATCACGGCCGGACTGGGGCTGGGACTGCGGCTGGCCGGTGTCTCCGACAACTGCACCGTCTGCAGGGGGGCGAACGGGCGCATAACCAGCGCTCTGCGCACAGAACTCGCCTGATGCTTGACGCTCTGGAAGTACAACTCGTACTGGGTGCCCGTTGTGGGCTCGGTGCGGTAGATGCCCTCAATGAAGTCGTCCAGCGTGTACTTGATGACATCCCCTGCCGCACCCACTCCTGCTGCCTTGGCGCGCACTCGGGCCGAATGATTGCGATTGAGACTCTCCAGCGCCTTGTTGACCGCCCCAATGAGGTCACGCCGGCGATAGCCAATGGGCTTCTCCACCACCCGCTTGCCCAGGCCCAGGTCGATGGGGAAGACGCGCGTGAAGGTGAAGTGGTTGAAGGGAATCAGCTCGTACTCGTTGTTCAGGGGCAGGCCGTGCAGGATCTCGGCGGCGCCCACCTGCTTGCGGATGTAGCTGCTGCAGTCGTAGTGGTGGGCGAGTGGCGGCAAGGCCGCACCCACCGTGGTCTCCTGCAGGTGGAGGCTGCTGGCATTGTGGCCACTTCGATTGTTCTGCAGAATGACGATCTGGGCACGCAGGGTGAGCACCTCGTGCTTCAGGCGCTCAATCTCCGCCTCGCGGTCCACGCCCAGGACATCGCTGGGGCCGTTGGCCTCGCTGGTGTGGTGGTGGAGCGACTCCTGTGCCGTGAGCTCCTCAAAGCCGCATTTGGTCAGTACCACAATGGACACGGCGCTGACCAGGACGAACAGCAGCAGGAGGCGCCCTACCAAGCGGGAGGCGAGCGAGCTATGCATTTTCCATACTTTCCACTCAGTTCTTGTGGCTGCAAAGACAAGTTTTATTTCCGTTAATGTATTTTGAGAGCCAAGCATCACGAGGTGTGTACACACTGCCTGCCAGGCCGTGCTGCATAATTTCACAAGAGCTTCGACCCACAACACTGCGTTCACATTTATCGATAGCCTGTCGGCCTATCGGCGCACAATTTGAATTTAATTCTTTTTTTGGTTATGTTTTGTTATTGTTGTTCATCTATAATATTCCATATAATATTTTAAATATTGTTAGTTAATGTTCTGCCGCATAGATGAGGATTTGGTAGAGTTCTACACGACGAAAATAAGGTGTATTATTTTACGCTGTTTGAGTACTGTTAGGTGGGGGTTAACCCACGTAGTTAAGTTATTTTTCTTCCTCGGTATATTTCGGTATATTTTCTAGGGTCAATCATTGTCCGGTCACACTGCTTGTCATCATCAAATATAATTTTTAAAATATTTATAACTCTAAAGAATCTGGAATTTGTTGCTAAGCAAGTAGCAAGACAAAAGAAGTAACATCTGTGCATACAAAGCAGTATTTCTTCAGTAACATTGTCAGGTATGTGAGTGTGTGCAAAGGCTGCGTATGCGTAGGGCATGCAACAAGTTTTCGTTCTTTCTTTCGTTTGTGTGTGCGGCGGGGGGGGGTGATGGCATTTTTTCGCCTAGCTGCGGCCGTGGAACTGGAATGAATCATATGCCAGCAAGCAGCGGCTACTCACTCGGCCGATAAGGTGTGTGTGCGCCAGTGCTCTGGATTTCCATTTTGCTGGAGCGAATTTAATCGCAATCTTTGTGTCCCTGTGTGTGTTGGAAATTGCATTGTGGCAGTAAACATTCATAGATTAATGTGTGGTTTTTCTTTGCCAAATTCACAACAGAACTTCCACAATGGAGAACAACGAAGCCCCCTCACCGTCTGGCTCCAATGCAAACGAGTAAGTTGGCCCTCAGCTTGAGTTTCACGGAATCTGCAGGCAAACGTCGCACAAGTGCAAGCCAGGGGGAAGCCATTGCTATGGCCGTGACGTCACTCACTCACTGATCAATTGAAAGGGTTGGCTGCATCCCATATGACTTGCATTTGTGTGGCGCTGTCCGTGTGTACGTGTAAGCATCTCTCCACCACACGCATAATATTGTACAGTTTTCCCATACTTCCGCCACCGCCAAACGCCTACAACAACAACAACTTTGCCGACCCGAACAACAGCAACAACAATGCCGCAGCCCAGAAGCGCCTGCAGCAGACACAGGCCAAAGTGGACGAGGTGGTGGGCATAATGCGCGTCAACGTGGAGAAAGTGCTGGAGCGGGACCAAAAACTCTCGGAGCTGGGCGAGCGTGCGGACCAGCTGGAGCAGGGCGCCTCTCAGTTCGAGCAGCAGGCCGGCAAGCTGAAGCGCAAGCAGTGGTGGGCCAACATGAAAATGATGATCATACTCGGAGTGATTGCCGTGGTGCTGCTCATCATCGTTCTAGGTAAGCGTGGAGCCACTGCTCTTGCTTCTGCTTTTGGGCTTTAGGGCTTTAGCTTTGGCTTAAGCTTTAGCTTTTCGAATCTTCGGGCAACGGTTGTGGTTTACTGCTTTAGGCCTAAGATCTGTCCATCTATCTAGCTTGTGTGACTGATGCCTAGTTATAAGCTTTGTACTACCAACGCCCTGCCATGCGTCTCTGTGGTTAACCCCGCCCGAACTTTCAATGGATCTTGGACTAACACAATGATTGATTTCTGTATGATTTTATGCCGAGCCTAACTGATGACCAAATGGTTGTCCCTTTTTATTGTTTCTACTTGCAGTGTCGCTTTTCTATTGATCCAAAAACAAAACACACACAAAAACCACAAATTCCGTTTTCTACTATACAACAAAGTTTAAGTTTCATTCACACACACACAACACACACGTGTACAGTGTAGATGTATGCATGTATATTGTATATTTATATGTATATTAAATGTGTAATAATCGTCTAGGCTAAGCCAACTCCAAAACAAATCTAAAGGTAAATTGTTGCTCGTGCTCCCCAAGTGTTAACTATCATATTTGTTTAGTTTATAAATGTGTAGATTAGCTAACGTTTAAGTGTGTGTGTGTGTGTGTGGCGAAACCATGCACAGCAGAGCTACTTGCGGCTCAAGCGTGTGAAGGAATTTATCTTGCCGGCATCCGGGCGTGCACAGCGCAGAGAAGGAAGACATTTCAACACTAAGCTTAGTTATTATGCCCTTTAGTTAGCTGCTGTTTGAACCATATTTTGTGTAATTTAGATGGCATTTTCTGATCAACTAATTGTTACTCTCATTTGCAGTATCGGTCTGGCCCGAAAGCAGCGGCGGTGGTGGAGCCAAGTCCATTACCGAACCTCTGCCCGTTACGGCGGCACCACCCCACTAAGGGTGCGCTCCTTGCAGTAAATGGGAAAACAGCAGAACACAAATGGACATCAAACATACCAGGGACATGGACATGGACATGGACAGTGTGGCCTTCGCTGTGGACACATCGCGCAAATGAAAGTTAATTCAAAATGGAAACAAAAATCAAAAAAAGGGAACACCCATCTACACGTATATCTTATAGCCAGAATGTAATTATTAAAACCTTAATGTTAATGCAACATTTTTTCACGAGACCACAGGTCTGTCTGTGTACATGCTAGAGTATATACACATTGATATATATGTGTGCGTTATGTGCTCTGTAGCTGCTCTTTATATGTATTATTTGTATGTCAGCCAATTGGAAATACATTTATGCCACACGTACACTTTACAAAGCCAACGATAGCTATGCGCGGATACGCCGAAAACTCTCGCGTTGAAAGCCATTTATTTAGTTTTCTTTTAGGTTGGAAAATGAGTATTGATTTTCAGCCGTTCGAGGCGCACGTGCACACCCAGTACTCGGTGTGGTCTGCCACACTGCTACCCGTACCGAAGCAAAACTGTGCTGTTCCGAGCCGTGCCAATTGCAACCGGGCCACAGGGCAACTGACTGGACTGTGAACAGGACGACGACGTGGTGTAAACACTACGACATTACGTTGGTGTCCCCCAGCTGTTGCGATAGTCGGCGCATGCTCCAGAGCTGCTGCTGGTGATGACAGACGACACAGAGAGTGACAGCCTCGTGACAGCCACTATTTGAATAACTCTCCAATGCTGATGTTCCATCCCATAAGCTGGAAGCCGGAAGCCGTTGTCCACACATAGCCCATGTACAGGGCATAGAAGTTCAGATAATACAGCTGTCCGATGAGTATGTGATCGCCAGGCGGCTCGAAGTGGTAAAAGTTTCGTTTCCTCATCGAGGCGGCAAATACCACCACAAACTGCAGAAGAGAGTGTTAGAGGAGCGACAGCAAGGGAGGAGTACAACAAGCCTCTTACAATATTCGACAGAATGGTGTAGATGAGCAGCGTTGGAAACTCGATGGTGACTCGCTTCATTTCGGAGCACACGATGATCCCAAAGCTGGTGAGCACAAACAGACGCTCGCTCCAACGGATCACGTTGTGGCGTGATATCTAGCGTGGGTTCAGTCAGTAAGAGATGTGGCCTGGCTGGCGGCTGTTTGTTCACACTTACGAAGAGTCCTCGCCGATGGTTGACCGCCAGATTGCCGTAGCACAGACTGATGCCCATGATGGCAAAGGTGAGCACAAAGGAGACAATGAAGCTAACGTATGGCGCCGTCTTGGCTGGCTTCATGATCGATATGGTATTCACCTCGAACTGTCAAGACGCGGAACTGTTAGTTAGTTGGGCCAGAGGCCCGGAGCTGGTTGGATCACACGACTCACCGTCCAGACGCCGACCAGGACGCGCTTCCACACGGGCTTGTGCACAATGATGTGATAGAAGAACACGTACAGCTGGATGGATATGAAGCTGATGAAGAACTGCACCAGGCTGACATAGTAGTGCTCCTCGAGGAACTTCTTAACGGGCTTACTGGGGGCAGGTTGTGGGAAGGAGTACAAACGGTCACACATTGCCCGACTGAGTCCCTTCCGGGGCCACTCACATCTCCATGAAAATCGAAACCTGAATCTGGCCAATGATCAGCATCAGGATGGTCACCTTGTATGTCTTTAACAGCAATCTTCTCGTTTGTTTTTCGGCACCTACGCTCTCGTCCATAGCTGGAGAGGGTCTCTGGTCTGGTCAGGTGTTGGATTTGCTTTACATCAAAAATTTACGTAAGAAAAAAGGAAGTTCAAATCCATTTCAGAAAACAAAATGCCAACTGAGTGGAGTGCCAGCGGCCGTAGAGTTCTGCTGATATGTTCGGGCCTCAGCGATGTCCTTGGCCTTGCACGAAAGCGAAGCTCGACTGCGGTTTGTGTTGGCGTTTTGCACCTGAAACTTGCTCCGATGCAGTGTTGGGTCGATGTGTAGTGATCGGAGGCTTTCGGCTGCTTTTCCTGAGTTCTATCTAGGCATCAGACGTGCCTTGAGTTCTACAACATTTCGGCAGTTGCTACAAACACACGTAGACAGAACACAGAATGGAGCGACGCGCTACGAGGCTGCGGACCTACCAGCGTGACAGGCGAAAGTTTGCCTGCATATGCTACACGCTGACACTGTCCTGGCTGCTGCTCGCCCTGCTCCAATGGCTGCTCATCTCTGTCATGTGAGTGGCCCTGGGCTGTCGCAAGAGTTGCCCCAATCCTTTTTGCACTTTCAGCGCGCAGCTCACTGTCGTCTTCATCGAGTATTACTGGATCAGTTTGATTTTCTTTGTGGTGGCCATGGTGCTGGTCAGCATTTTCGTCTTCTACGAGAGGGTGCGCGCCATCACAGGCCTGAACTGGCTCATGTGCCTGCTGATAGTGAGTCAATTTGTGAGTCCTGTGCGTCCATTTAGTCCTGTCCACCTTTGCAGGTGGAGTTTGTCATAATCGGCGTGTTCAATCTGGCCGCACTGAGCCACTGGCAGGAGCTGCTCGTTTGGTGCTTCTCCTGCATGCTGCTCTTGTTTGTGTTTGTACTTATTGGATCCATTATACCGGTGAGCAGAAGGCCCCAAGTCTAGCTAGTCAGGGGTAACTCTCCCTTCTACTCTCCCCCACAGCACGATCTAACGCTGGATGTGGTCATACTTTTTGTCTTGGCTTTTATCTTTCTCATCGTTACCGTGTGGTTTGCTATGATTAGCATTCTGGTAAAGGTGCCCTACTCCTTTGTCGTCTATCAGTTGTGCATTGCCATCGTTGTGCTGCTGGTAGGATGTGCCACAAGTGATCAAAGCGATCTTTGCATCTCCTTTTCTCTTGCAGTTTGTGATGTACCACGCTCAGACCATCAATGGCGGACGTTTTGCGGAGATGCGTCTCAATGATTACCTGCTCGCCGCGCTCATCCTTTTCCATGACTTTACCATACTCTTTCTGCTGACATTCTATCAGCAGCTCGTCCTGAGATTCATTGCGGGCGCCACCACAACAGCGAGGCCCGTGAGTCAGGATATTCGTGGCATGGGTTACTTTGATCCCATCATAGGACCAGTTGAACAGGACTACGTGGACGATGATGACAACAACAGCACCGCAGCAGTCCAGTAAATGAACAAACAAACCCTGCGGCATGGAGCGGCCTTTTTTATTGCAACAACAAATGGAACATTAAGTGTCATACCCGCAAGCCTTGCCAGCAGTTCACAATCTCAGCTTTAGACAGGCATAGATATAAGCATAGTAATACGATTATTTTGTGGATATTTAAGTTAAGTTTTTGGTTTGTTTAGCGATTGGAGATACAATTTGGTTGGACACACACACACACAGCGACACACACACAGAGACACACACAATTACCAACTAGAGTTGGAGCCAGAGCTAGAGGGATTCCAGCGAGGATGCACCTGAGCAAATGGTCGCATCCGAATCGCTGCAATTTGCTTCTCCATCTCCTGGCATCTGCTCGCGGGCCGATTGCATCAGCTGGGATGAGGGCGATGCAAATGAGCCGAGAAGCGGTGAGGCAAGATCATTGAGGCTGCTCCTCGGTGTGGGCGTGGCCTGGCCACCATCCGCACTGGGAAAGCTCAGGCAGCTGCTGCTGCTGCTGCTGCTGTCCGTCGAGGAGTCGCCGGGGGATTGGGATGCGTTCGCGTAGCGCTCCAACAGAAGTTGGCCAAAGGTCTTGGCCGGCCAGTCAAAGTCCTCCAGCTGGTGGTGGTCGGTGGGCGTGGCAACGGGTGTGGGCAGATGGTAGACGCTGCTGCTGAAGCTGGAGGAGCCGTTGTCCAAGAGGCTGCTGACGGGCTCCAGGAACCGCCTGCCATGGTACATGTCGCCGTGATTGAGGGGCGCGAAGAGAGTGTCCACAGAGACGGTGACATTGCGGCCTGTGCTGGAGGTGGAAGAGCTGGAGCAGGGGGAGGCTGGTAGGGGGATCGGGAACAGGGAAATGGGCCGAAACTGGTGCGTGGGACAGGAGAGGGAGCTGCTGTTCCGGCAGAGTTGCAGCAATTCAGTTTCTACACAGAGACAAATGGAAGAGAGATTCAAAATGGGCACAAGATCTGGCTCCTACGGTGGGGAATTTGTGGCTACCGAGGCAATACACTGGCAATAGATCTAAGTGGAGGACTACGCTACCTGGGCTTCATACCTTCCGCCGACTCCTCATTGTCCTCGCTGATGCTCGCCTGGCCACCGCCCTGGGCCGTGCCCTCGCGCACCGTTGTCCGGCCGTACGAGTTGGTGGTGCTGCTCGTCTCGCCGGTGGTGGCATCCAGCGTGGTCTGCACCACCACATCCATGTGTGAGTCGAGCGAGAACTGCTTGCCAGACATGAGAATGCCACGCACACGTCGCCGCATCGATGGCGATTCCTGATGCTGCAGGGGGGGGGTGACAGAATTTAGGATGCAAGTTGTCCCATGGCTGTGGGTGGAATGGACTCACCGCTATGCGAATGCCAGCATAGGTCTTGGCCAGAAACTCATCGGCATCGAAAATGCCGGCAAACGAACCGTTGACCACTTTGGGCGACATGGGAGAGTTGGACAGCAGCAGGCTGGAGCCAAAGGCCTCGCTCTTCTCCTTGGTGTCTACGGGGAGAACAACAGAAGGGAAAAGGATCACTCCTCAAACTCAATGGAGGAGCCAAAGCCAAACCAAAAAACATCAACTTGGGTTGTTGGGTGGATCGAATCGAAGTGCATTAACGCATAAACACAAAACTTAAACAAAAATAACTAACAAAAAGAAAGGCAGGCAATGGAACAACAGTAGAAACAGAGTTTTGGGAGCACAACAACTAGAGGCGATAGGACTTGCGTTTACCCTTCAGATACACGCGATTCGAGATGGTTATGTTCATCTCCTCGAGCACCATGGAGGCCACCTGGCGAATCTCCATCCAGTCCTTGACAATGTCATCGAGGGTCGTGTGCGTCGAGGTGATGGTGAAGCGAATGACATACTGCCCCTTCAGCGAGGAGGGAATGCAGTGCAGATTCCCGCGATGATTCAGTCGCTTCAGCAGCTTCTCCGTGATCTCATTGTCGCCGCGAATGCGAAACACCACCAGGCCCAGGTGCCGCTTGGCTGGCAGCTCAAACCGATGGTCGGCCAGGACGAGAGCCTCGAACTTTTGGGCCAGGCGCACACCCTCGCGTATGTGGCGCTGCAGCCCCTTGATGCCGAACGAGCGCAGCACGAACCACACCTTGAGGGCGCGGAAGCGGCGACTCAGTGGTATCTGCCAGTGCATAAAGTCCACGGCCACGCCCGAGTTCTCGTGCTGCAGATACAGCGGCTCCACATTGAAGGTGCGATGCACCGCGGTGCTGTCCCGCACCCACAGGGCGGTGGCATCGAAGTGCACCATCAGCCACTTGGAGGGGTTGAAGGCAATCGAGTCCGCTCGCTCAATGCCGCGCATCCAGGTGCGGAACTCGGGACAAATGAACGCGCTGCCAGCATAGGCAGCGTCCACGTGCAGCCACAGGTTGTGCTCCCCGCAAACCAGCCCGATCTGTGGGCAAAATTAAAGACGCGTGCGAATTGTCGGTGTCAGTGGAAGTGGAACAGATTAGCGGGGAGAGTAATCAAAGCCAAACCCACCTCCTCCAGATTGTCAAAGCTGCAGCTGCCGGTGGTGCCGAGGGTGGCGCAGACCTGAAATCAGAGGGGACCACAGGGGAACATTTAGCTAACTGCTGACGTATATTAATTGGCTCCAAGGGGAGTTGCGGAATCAGCTGCTGCTGCTGATGCTGATGCTTTTGCTGGCCAATTACTTTTGACAGACTTCAACTTACCCAGAAGGGGACGAGTCCCTGCTTAACGTCATCCTCGATGGCCTCGCGCAACAGTTTGCCGCGCATCGAGAGCTTTTCGTCCGCCTCAATGTACCGCATACGCACGAGTCCTGTGGGTGGGAAAAAAGATAGAGAGAGAGAGAGTAAGCCTAAGCTGCTTAGTTGACTGTAAAAGCTGTCGACAGGACACACGCACCAATCAGCGCTGCTTTCTCCACGCTGGAGTGGGCCTGATCCGAGCAGTAGGCCACCAGGCGGGCGTTTATCTCGGCATCCTGGTAGCCGGGATGCCGCTCATGGAAGCGCTGGATGGCCCGAGTGCGTCCGGCCAGCAGGCAGACCAGCGTCGCCTCACTGGCCGTCGTCTGGAGTACACCGCCGCCCTTGCTGCTGCTGCTCAGGTGCAGGAAATCATCCGGCAAATTGATCATCTTGCCCAGCCAATTCATCACGATGATCTCCAGCTCGGTGCAGGCCGGGGAGCTGGCCCAGGTGAAGCCCAGGCAGTTGATGGCATCCGCCAGCATGTCGCCCAGCAGCGAGGGCATCGAGTTGAGGGCCGGGAAGTAGGCGTGCATGTGGGGCGACTGCCAGTGGGTCACTCCCGGCATGACAATGCGCTCCACATCGTCGAATATCTTTGGCCAGGGCTCGCCCTCAATCGGCGCCGATTCCGGCAGTAGCTGGCGCATATAGCCCGGACTGACATCCGGATAGACGCGACGCTCTCGTATATTCTCCAGATAGTCGGCTATATAGTCGACCATCTCCTTGCCTGTGGGTTGGGGTTCGGATTGGTGGTAGAGGGGATTCATTAAATGAAGACAAACGATGAGGACAAATCCCCAAGCGGATTTACATGCGCCACTGCCGCTGTGCAGTTTATGGCCCGAACCCGACTTCATTTGGCTCGACTTACCCCGCTGACGATATTCCTTAAAGTCCATGTCGCAAATGCCGTAAATGCCTTAACCCTTGCTGACGTAAATGCTCTGCAATTGTCTCTAAATGTTTGTGTATCCGAGTCGGATCTGTCTTGTGTCGTTATGAGTTTGGGCCTAATCCAGTTAGACTTGGTCTCTCTCTCTCTCTCTCTCGGCTCTCACTCACTTTCCTGGGGGGCAGTGGCTAGGCAAGCTCCATTTTCTGGGTGGATTCAAATGCCAAATTGGAACGCTGCTGACCGCTAGAATAGCGAATAGAGAACGAGTGTGGGTATAATGAAATGGAAACTTGGACTCTCGGACACTTCCGATGTTGTGGGGCTTCGGGGGCTGATTGGAAGTGAAAAAACGCGCTGGGAAGGGCTGCCAGCTGTGAAAACACGAGCTGGAACCAGGCCAGACCAGAATTCACCTAATTATGACAGCAAAAATATTAGTTCTGTGTGGGAGTATCGTTCTGCGAGTATCGTTGGCCGAATAGCTGCGATTGTGCCCCTCTTTTATAGACCTTTTGAGACACAACACAACAAAAATAATCGATTAAGCGTTTCGCTTCGAAAATAATGCACTTTACAGATGCAGACACGTGTTTGTGTGTTGACAAGTTGGCTAATTGCGGAGATGAGAGTCATCACGCCACACGCCATCATCCTCACAGTATTTGGACAGAGGTTCGAACGGAATCCCAACAAAATTCCGTTTAAAGTGGAAAGCGCCCTCTAATTGTTTATGCTTGGTAACTCGCCTAGCTTGATTATACTTTAAATACCGCAAATTAATTATATCTGCTCGATCTGGACTCGGGCACAGCTTGTACACAGTCCGAGTTCGTTTCGGTTTGGATCGTGCATCGGAGTGGCTGCTGGAATGGCTTTTTTCTGACTTTTTTCAGCAACTGCATTTTGTCATGCATTTAGAATGCAGACTACATGAGATCGAAGCTGTTCGACGCTTGTGGAAAAATCCATTGAAATGTTGAAACTGCAACAAAGTAGCTGCCAGATACATGCTGGAGTTAACAGATAAATGCTGAATTATCTCATCTAAGCCTTCAAATATTTACTCGTCAAATAGGCATAGCTTTTGCTGCAATCTCTGACTGTGTGCCAATAATTATTGGATAGCTCTTTCTCCTATAATTTCTACAATTTGCAGAGTTAAAATATGTTAAAATATATGTTGGAATAATCGAAATTCTATCTGCGGTAAGCACAATGGTTCATCAATAAATCCACAAATTGTTAATCTTTCACTTTTATAGATCACCCACACAATGAAGAGTTGGACTCGCACAGGACTCGCTTGGAGCGAAACTGAATGGATTTGCCTGCAGCAAGGAGCTATTTATACCCGAGAACTAGTTATCAGGCCGAAGGACGAATGTGCGCAATGAAAATGCCATTAAACAGCGGGATGGTTCTTTTCCTAATATGACTCGAATATAATAATAAGAACAACGAAACAAATGGCATGCGCCAGGGAGAACTTTGAATGCTCTTTGGAGAAGTCTGCCAGCTAATTGTTAAAGATAAATCAGTGCAGTTGGAATGTTTTGTTCAATAATTGTATTTTAAATATTCTAGATACAATTGTTCGAATTTCTTCTCGCTCCCGAATAGAGTATTCACACAACAGCAACAGACTTATGGTGGGTACAAAACGAAGGGCAGAGAGCGAGCGAAGGAGTCCATAAGCAAATGGAGAACAACAGCCAATAGCGGGAGGCATCCTTTTGTAGGGATTGTGTTCATTGACCAATCGCAAGAAGGCGACCACTAACACACACACAAAAACACAAACAGGATCAACAGGCAGGCTGTCAGGCTGTCAGGCACAATCCCCATTTCACTCCAATTTCATTTGCTGCAGTGTCAGGACGATGCTTGATGGTTGCTGGACCACATCTGGGGGGGGGGGGGGGATTAAAAGAGCCCACCCCTGCTCCTACCACCCACCGCAATGAAAACCATAAAATATTCTCAGAAAGTGCAGGGGAGGAGAAAGAACTAGTGAGGAAGTATCTGAAAACCGCCGAAAAGTTCCCTGGAAGCTTGGCTTTAAATCATGCTACCCCCCCCCCCCCCACTCCACCATCTCATTACACACTTGTTACAAGCTTGAAGACGGGGGGGAGGGAGGAAGAGTCTCTGCCGCTTACGGTTGGGGAGGTCAATGAGCTTTGGCTGGCTCGGTGGCTCGTCTTGAGACTGTAAATTTCGACAAAATACCGCTACATTCAATGGCTTTTGCACGTCTCTGTGTGTGTGTGTGTGTGTGTGTGTGAGTGTATTGCCAAATATTGAGCAATAAGAATAAGAATTTCGGTTTCTTTCGCTTGTCATACTACAGACAGTTACAAAGCGGCTTTTGTTGGGCCACAGACATGCCCGCCCCACCGCAGCACCGTCTCTCCCTCACTCTTTCTCTCATTCTCAATATCTCTCTCATTTTTCTTCATTGAATGCATTCTTATTAAATTATCTGCTATAAATACATTTCGTTTAAGCTCACGAGTTGATTGAGCAACAAAAAAGAACCGAAAAATCTGTACTAAAATGCATATTAATACACAGGCACAGGGCACACGGCACACTGGGAAAAGAAAGAAAAAAAATGCAATTTAATTTTCGAAAAAGTCTCTTCCGCTCTTCAATTACAACGCTCACCTGGTGGCGCTCTCTTCAGGTGGTGGCTGCTGCTGCCTGCCTTCTCTCTCTCTCTCTTATTTGGCGCTCGATCGTTTTGCTTTCTCTTTTGATACTTTCTTTCAACTGCTGGCGCTCTCTTCCGACGCTTACTCTCTCTATCTCTCTCTCTCTCTCTCTCTGTCAGCATTCATGTTGGCACACACACATGCTTGGCGTTTTTTCGTGTGTTTTGATTCCTTCATTCTTGTGGCCGCCGTTGCTTGAGCGCTAAGAACGTTCGTTGACCTCTGCTGCTGCTGCTTCTGCTGGTTGCTCTCCGCTCTGCTCTGTGGTGCTCCAAGTGGACGTCTTCTTCTTCCCGCTTAGCGGTACTTCTCAACCTGTTTTATGTCTCTCCCTTTCTAGCGGGCGTGAATGTGTATGAGCTGTATGAGTGTGCGAGTGCTGTTTGCCGTAGAAGTCTTCCTGTTTATTCAGCGATTAAAGGTGCAACTGAGAAAGCTCCAACGACGTCGCGACGGGCCCCAAAGCGGCGGCGGCAGCGGCAACGTCACGGGTCTCGGGTCCCTGACTCTCGGACATTTCTGATCTCTCTGATGAAATGCACGCATGACTCTTTCTTACAAGTATGTACATACATATGTGTGTACATTCATATGTACATAAATACATACATTTGTACATATCTGTATATGAATGTTTCATCTTTTATACCTTTTGTGGTTGCTGTGTGGATATTTTCGGGCACTGATCACGCATTTAATTAGCAGGAATTTTGATTCTTCTTTCAGGTGTGCGTGTGTGTGTGCGTGTGTGTCTGTATTAGTGTGTTTGTGTGTTGGAGGGTGGCTGCTCTTACAGCTCCTTTCTCCTTACTCGGCTCAAGCGCAGCTTCTGGTGCTTCGTACACCGATTTTCGCTCACTTGCACACAGGTTCCCATCGGTGGGGATGACGATGACTCCACCGCTGAAGATGATGATCTGCCTGCCCAGTTGCAACGGGTCTTTGCCTTGGCCTTCTGCCATTTAGTGTGCAATCGTGTGTCCCCACGTCCAGTCCAGTCCATTTGGTGTTGCTTGGAAGCTGGATTTTGGCTCTCATCGTCTCTTACCCTCGATTGTTCGGTTCGGTTCGGTTCGGTTCGGCCTTCTTCCTGATCCGATTCGTTGAGTTTCGCGCGCGACTCCTCCCTCCGCCCGTCGACCAGCTGGCGGGCCAGGGTCTGGCCTTGCCCATTTTACCGTTTGAAATACGTTTGGTGTCGTCAGCTCCTGCTGCCCCGGAGCTAATTAAGTGACAGCCATCCCCTTGCCTGGTCTCCACTATGATTCATCCGCAGCCCATGATCTTGCTGAGTGAAGGGTTCAAGGCTTTGACATTGATGATCATCGGGTGAAAACTGCCGCACAATCTGTATATACCCGTAGCTGCGATCCGAGAAACTGTATAACATGCCAAGCACTATCAGGGGTGAGTTGGAACAAACGAGAATTACCTTTGGTAAAGGAAAAAAGGAATTTATTTTAGAATATTAACTAATAATAGATAAGTCATTATATTCTGAGATTTCTGGTTAAGTAAATGGAAGATCGACAGATTAGTTGAAGATTCTTTTAAAATGAAACATCCTCAGATGGAGCTTACGAATGGTACTCCCCACATTCCTCAGCACAAGATTTACACCAAAGAGTTTTTATTTATTTCAAGTAATTTCAACAGAAATGTTGAAATGTGCTATGGAAAATCAATCGAAAACCAAAAACCTCTTCGATTTTCGCAATAAACTCAAGGGTGAAAACATAAAAGTTTCGCTGGCAATCAAATTACAAACATAATAAGCGCATATTTCTGGTGATATTACGCCTCTGCGGCTCGACTATTAACCTTGCAGGGCTATGGCCTATGGTTTGATGGAATCATTAGCCAAGCAGCAACAGCAACAGCAACCACAATTAATTGATCATAATGGGCAACGGCTTTCAATGGCTGCTTGGAATATGCAGTCGAGCCTCAAGACATGCAATGGATCTATGGACCCCTGCCCCTGCGCTTCTGTTGGATTTCCGATTCTAGCCCAAAAAAGAGACTTTACAACATCTTCAAGGCGCTGAGCGGCTGCTGGCGCAACAACAGCAACAACAGAAATGAGCGCCAGCCAGTGTTGCCTCATCGACAGCAGCGCTGCAATAAACCAGTCGTTGGCGGGGGCAGTGTCGGAGGCAGAGTCGCAGAGCTAATCTTGCAACACAGTTGCGCAACAAAGAATCCGAAGCAACGGTACTAACGTGTTTGTTTGTGGGGCTTGCTGTTGCTGCCGTTGCTGCTGCTGCCATGTTCTGTTCTGTTCTGTTGGCAGCGGCAAGCAATCAAATCAGCTTTGAGCCAGTTGCGTGTAACAGGTTTTTCCTCTTGAATAACTGGGACTTTCTTACGGGACTTTTTCGGAGAGTTCTGCACAATGACGATGGAGTGGAGTGGTGGAAAACAGGTTGGCATCGGCATAGACTCGCAATAGATGGAGCGGCAGCAGCAGCAGCAGCAGCAGCAACGGCAAGAAGAACCAGCCTCGATCGGGCTGCTCACAACGGTGAGGCACACATTTCACGTTAGAACCAACGGTTCTCTAGCCAAGTTGCAAGCCGCAACAGCAGCTTGGGGGCCAGGCCAGAACAAGTTAGCTGCTGGCAAGCTCTTGGTTGCGCAAGCGGCGAGACGGCACCTGAAAACCAGCACAAAATAAATCCAACATGATTTACGCAACGGAAAAACATGAAATATTAATGCTGATGCTTCCCCCTCACTCTGCACCTCTCCAACACTAGCTTGGTGGCTGGTTGACGCTGGTAACGGTTGACGGTTGACGGTTGACGGTTGCTACATGCCCCCCCAAGGCAGCAGCTCTAATGAACCGATCCGTTCCGATACGTAAAGGGCCAAATCTGAGTTGGGTAATGCGCAGCTTGATCGGAAAACCCGTTTGTTGCTGTTCTCAGAAACAATTCCAAATTCTGTGGTTAAATTCAAATTTGCCGCGCTGGAATTTCCCTTAGAAGAGTTTTCCACCTCGTTGAGAATTTCCCTGCCATGAAAGAGCGAACTTGCTCTTTTGGGGGTGGAAAATGCTGCGCAGCCAGGCCGAGTGCGTATCGACTCGAGTCGCGAGTCTAGAATGTGTCCACTTCCAGTCCTTTCCCGTCTATGCACTTGGCATTATGCCTACTAACCCTATTTCGCAGCGAGTCCCATTTTTCCGCTGCATATGTATGCCGCGCACACACACACACACACATGTGTCTGTGTGGAATGCGATTTTCCCAGCGGAGTGCGCAGGTGTATGTGTGTGTAGAAGTCCTCCCCTTTCCAAGCGGAAGTGCGCGTAGCCACCCCGCGAAACGGAAAGTTTGTGCAGCGGCAGCAGCAGCAGCAGCAGCAGCAGGAAATGTGGGTTGGTGGCACTCGAATTTGGGACACATTCCTGCAAAGGACGCAGCTTCGGTCAGCTGCTGCCAACTGCTGCTCCAGTCCGAGGAGTGCACCTGCAACCAGAAGCCACAAAACGCGCGCGCGACGCATCCAAACCAATGCATAAGTTTTTCTGCACACAAAGAGCTTGAGAAAATTCGGGAAAACTCTTCGAAGAAAAGGTGATCCAACGTGAAAGTGAAAAACAATCAAATTGCGAGCCTTGTGGCATGTGAAAGTGTTTTAAAATTAAATCAAAAGCGAAAAAAGGAAAAGGAAAAGGGAAAGCAAGGAGCCCCGCAGGAGACAGCCCTCCCCTAGGATCAAATCGATTTGCATTTGTGTGTGTGTGTGTGTGTGTGTGTGTGTGTGGTGTTGCCGCTGAAAAATCGATTATTAAAGCCACTGGCAGGCCACTTTCCACTCGCTAGCAGCTGTTGGTTGTCGTTGTTGCTGCTGCCACGGATGGTGGCGGTGGTGTTGGTGGTTGCGTGCCACAATGTGGGAAATAAACAGTGGCAAGAGCAGCAGCGCTGGCAGAGACACACTTCCAACTGATTTGACGTTGGCGAGTTCCAATGGCGCTGATTCCACCGAATGCTGCAGCGCAGCCTTGCAGCCATCCAGCAGCTCCTCGTTGCATGTGCAGCAGCAGCAGCAGCAGCAGGATACGAAAGCGAGGATGACAACAACGAGGACGAGAGCGACAACGACTGCAAGCAGCCGCGGATACAGATACAGATACAGATACAGGCAAAGGCACAGTCACAGATACACAGCAACAGCAAAAGCAACAGCAGCAACAATCGCATTGTGGCAATCATATTGTGGCCATAAAGGAAAATCTTTCAACTATATTCAACAGTGAGCAAAAAAAAAGACAGCCAAACAGTTAATCAATCAGAACTATCGCTGCTATCGCACAACAGTGCCCCCGGGGGCTGTCACGTTAAGTATACGACGCGTACTTCCAGCTGCACAAAACGTAACGTAACGAAACGAAACGAATACGCAACGCAACGCAACGCAACGCACAGGTGCATTAGTCCCCCGTCCCAACCCCCCGAGTACCCTCCCCCCCNACCCCCCCCCCCCCCCCCTCCACGGTATCTACACCATTTGACAAGCAATCGCGGGCAGAGAAAAATATGTGAGAAAAGAAAGAAAAGTAGAATTATATTTACTCGTCGTATGGAATATGTTTAGTAGACAACTTTTAAGTGCACTTTCGTAAGGCTGATTTTGAATTAACTTATTTTCGATGTTGTGCTTCTACACCCACACAAAAACCCAAAGGAAATGATAGCCACAGACCAAGGGCAGCAATCAAACCACGAGCAATAAACAAAGTGAAAGTGTTAAGTAAAGTATATAAAGCAAAACAAAACAAAAGAAAAGGTTTAGGCGACCAGCAAAGACTCTCCTTAGACAGTACGCAGAAACGGCCGCCACGACGGATAGGCCCCGAGATCTCCTGCTGATTCAGCAGGCAAAGCCCGCAGGCAGCAACAACAACAGCAGCAGCAGCAGCAGTCGTGCAACATCGTACATCGATGCGGATGCCGCCACTGCCGCTGCCGTGGCCAGCCTGCGCAGCAAGGTGCCATCCATATCGATAATACCGCTGCCAGTGTCCACCACGATCGTGGCCAGAGGCGGTCCATCGCAGCCGCCGCCGCCGCTGCCGCTGCCGCTGCCGCCGCCGCAGCTGACGCATGTGCGCAGCACCTCCAACAAGGCCACAGCCACATCCCCAGCGTTGGCCTTCCTCTCGGATGCCGGTGCCACCCCCCCACTGGCGATACTGCAGCAACGACCGCAGCAGCAGCACCAATACCAGCAGACCGACAAGTGCACCGTCCTGAAGCTGGACATGCTGAAGCATCCCATGAACACCACCAGCAGCACCACCAGCAGCACCACCAGCAGCACCACCAGCAGCACCAGCACCAGCACAAGTCACAGCGCAAACTCGAGCGCCACGTACCTGCAGATCGAACAGCAGCTGAGCGAACTGGAGGCCGCCGACGAGGAGGAGGAGAACATGGCCAGCCTGCTGGGCAGTGCGCCACCGGCCCAGATCCTGGCCAATCAGCCCATCATCGTGAAGATCGAGCCGACCCAGTCCTTTCACATCGTGGACGAGGGCGACACGCGGGTGCTGAGCCTGCCCCTCAGCGATGCCGACAAGCTGGGCGCCAGCTGGATTGACCTCAAGGACATTGCCGGCCTGCAGGCGGGCAGCGGAGCCACGCTGCTGGACGTGTGCTTCGAGCAGACCAACGAGGATGGCACCATCATAGCCACAGTGCAGCCCGAATCGGAAATGGAGCTGGAGGCAGAGCTGCAGGCCGAACTGGAGGCAGAGGAGGAGACGGACCAGGAGCCGCCAGCACCCAAGCGATTGGCCAGGCAGCAGCCATCGCGTACGCAGCACAAATTCATGTCGGAACCCCCAGCCCTGGCCCGCTCGAGCAGCTTCAGCAGCCTGAGCAGCTTCAGCAGCATCAGCAACATTAGCTCCGTGTGCAAGCAGTTGCCCAGCAACACCAGCGAGCAGTCCACCATCAGCAGTCCCGTCATCATTAGCCAGACGAAGGGGCGCAGCCAGGACAGGGATAGGCCCAAGGAGCGAACGACGCCACCGCCAATGCCGCAGCTCCACGCACAAAAGTCTGCTGCAACGACAGCGGGCACAGCTGCCACAACGGCCAGAGAGCATCACGGCAACAGCGGTGGCAGCAGCAATGCCATGACAGGTAAATCCGATTAATAGCCATTAAGTTGCCAACTGAGTGGGGTTAGCCAGCGGTCTAAGCTCCTCCTTAACCTCTTTAATGAGAGCCAATCTGGGGACTCATCTTTGGTGCATCGTAATCCATTCTGAATCTCATTTTTGGCTGATTTCTTGACCCCATGTGTAGTAGCTCTTGGGTTGAACAATGGCCCATTCGGGGCTTCCCTTTGCCCGAGTCTAAGAGTCCAAAAATCGTAAGCCATGCAAATGAATGAACGATCGAATGCTCATTGCGCAAGCATCCTCAGTGGCAGTGGCAGCGGCAAGCGGCAATTAACAGGCTGACACATCAGCGACTCCAGCAGCCAGTGGCAGTGGCAACAACAGGTGTACACACCCCACTGCTAAAAAGAATTTTCAATTTACAAGCCAACTCGATTTATTGGCTATTCACCTTTGTGTGTGGCTGCAGCAGCAGAGGCAAGTGTCCCACTTTCCACAGCCAAGCAGCGAACAGCCGACAAGAACATGTTTTGACATACTAAATAAGCCTCGCTCGCTACGGCCATGTCTAGGCGTTCTTTGCCATTAGGTTCTGTTTCTGTTAGTTGTTCTCTTCTCCCCCCCCCCCCTCCCCCTACCCATCCCTTGCCATACCCGCTGGCGTTTTTTGCGACTCTCGCTGCCCCCCCATATTCGCTTTACTGCTGCTCTGCTCGAATGTGAAGCCAGCAAGCAGGCTCTGCTGCTGCTGTTGCTGTTGGTTCTTCTGCTCGGCTCATATTTTTACCGTAGCTCGAACCCTAGCGGTAAAAGCGTCAACTACAAACTATACAGTTAGCTGAGTGGAGTCTCTAGCCGCAGAAAGAGATAGACAGACGGCCCAAGAGCTAAAACATAATAGAATTAACGTCTGCACTCAAGCTTGAAGGGAGAGGATTGGCTTTGTGACATGGGGGGGGGGGGGGGGGGG